AGGAGGTGTGACAGGTGACGCAGGAATAGCACACTAGCTCCAATGAGGCGCCTAGGTAGGAAGGCTGATTGCTCGGGGGTTATGACTTGGCCAAGGGCAGGGCCTAGGCGGTTTGCCAGCACTTTGGTGAGCAGTCGATAGTCCGAACAAAGCAGGGTGATAGGACGGTAGTTGCCAGGGAGTTTGGGGTCGCCTTTTTTGTAGATCACCGTCAGTACCCCCTCCAAGAAGCCCTTCGGCACCTGCCCCGTCAAGCCTATGGCGGTGAGCAGGCCAGCCATGGTGGTGCCAATGGCCGACCAGAATTTCCTGTAGATGTCGGCTGGGATGCCGTCCCACCCCGGGGCCTTGCCAGGCTGGCTTTTCTTAAGAGCCTTTCGTAACTCGGTGGCCGTGATGGTTCTGGATCCCAGCTGTTCATCTGCCTCTGCGGGTAGCGAGATGTTGGCGGCCGCCAGGGAGTTTAGCACCTCCTGCTGGGCTTGGGGGCAGATGTAGTTGGGAGCTCGGCTCACTTCACTCCAGAAGTCTGCGACCACCTGGGGAAGCTGGCTAGGATTAGTCACTAGGCGTATGTATGTATGTTGTTACAGGGTGGTTAACTTCGCCAGCGGCCCCCTTTCCCGGGGCAGTCCCTGCTCTCCCCTGCTAGAGGGGCACCCTAATCCGTCACCCCATCCGACTTCAGAATGTATTCGTTGGGTTCGGCAACTCACCACCAGCATCCAACCAAATCTAGCGGATCAACGGCGCATCAACTTAGTTCCTGGTCAGCTCGCAAGTTGATATTATCACGTCCTACACCGTCCATAAGATGGGGGGCCACCTCCCATTTCATCACTCCTCAAACACCCGAGGAGCCGCAGGCGGATTTGAACCCGGGTCGACTGGGTCGACTGGGAGCAGAAGTCAGGCCTTAACCTCTGCCAGCCGCCTGCCTATATGTATGTATGTATGTATGTATGTATGTATGTATGTATGTATGTATGTATGTATGTATGTATGTATGTATGTATGTATGTATGTATGTATGTATGTATGTATGTATGTATGTATGTATGTATGTATGTATGTATGTATGTATGTATGTATGTATGTATGTATGTATGTATGTATGTATGTATGTATGTATGTATGTATGTATGTATGTATGACTGGTATGGTATGACATGAAATGTGTAATGCATTGGAACCTACTCAGTTGCTTGACAGCTGGGCTCCCGGATGGTTGCGTACCCTGCATCATACGTACCTGGATCAAGAGGTCTATGTATTTACACACGCATGATGACCGTCACGCGGAACACCGATGCAGTCCTTCCTCTCCCATCGTGACCGCTGGGTCCTTTTTGACAACATTCGACAGCATTCCATGATGTGTCTGTACCATCCCGTTGCCATAAACAGACATGGCATGAAGTGTGTCGCGAGGGGCATGCAGGGATACGGGCTAACAACGGTCAGCCTTGTCCTGCTCCTGCTTGCCTGGCTCATCGGATACGGCAGACTCGGAGAACGACTAATTGAACCACGGGTGGCGGGAGATACAAAGGCCAGGGGAAAACCATGACCTCTCCACCCCGCCCCTTCAATACACACGTACGTTTTTGGCTGAGGCATATTATTACTCTTATTATTGAACTATATGATTTATTTATATAAATACTGTTGAAGCCATATTCGGTGGACTTCCTTGAATAGATGACGTTACAGGTTATGTGACCGGATCACCGGTGTTGGAAACGAAAGGCCCAGGAAGATAGTAAAGCAAATCTCCACCACGTGCGAAGATCCGTGGCAACCTCCTGTCGTTCAATCTCGCGACATGCGGGATGGGCTGTGTTTGCGACAGACTCGCTCTGCCATTTAAGAGCGGAAATGCGACCCAGGACCTAACTACATCGAGAACTTGTCAGCTGTGAAACCTGCCGCTTTACCCAACCTGCCTTGCGAGTACTGCGCGTTAACGAACCAGGGTGATGTTCCACCCATTAAATACCGAAACTTGCTTGCCAATACACAACCAGTATCGCACGTGTGCACTGCGCTGAGCATTCGTAAGAGCCGACTGTATGTACACCTGGCGCCGCATGACTCTGAACACCTCTCATCTTTCGCATGCAATTCTTAAAAAGCAGTCACCGTCCTTAGGTAATAATTACAATACACTTACATCCTAAAGACTGCCAAAACAGCTACAAGCTTGCGACGAGAGGTCAAACCCTCCTACTGACTCAGTGGTGGAACCCACCATGTTCCGGCGAGGCGCTCCGCATCCTTGCCAGCCGCCTCACTATATGTAGGGGCCCCATCCTTTGCCCTGAAACAGCCACCAACGTCCCAGCACATCACTATGCTGTTCTATCACAGAACCCGCATGGCAGCTGCCGAGGCTACTTCGACCTAAAGCTGCCGCCCTGCCAGCTCAGCGGGACCACGCGGCACCAGCTCCAACGCGCTGAGCGCCTCCTTGAGTGTCGCCGCCTGGCGCTTCACCGTCGCGGAGCAGCCCACATCCGTTAGCACCGCATCGAAAAGGTCTGCCAGCTCCCCTGGAAAGCCAAGAGTAGCCGCAGCCGGTGGCGAGGTGCGGTTATTCCCTGCGAAGGCTGAGCTGGAGGTAGAGGTCGCCAAGGTGGCGACGCTGGGCACTAGCTGTGGCAGTGTCAGCATCGGCGTGGTGAGGCTGCGGATGCTCTGAGACCGCAGCGCCTGCATGTGGGAACACATGTCGCCGGACAGCGCCACTGCCATCATGGTATTGACCTCGCCGGCGTAGCTGGGACCCGCAGCGGCAGCATCGGCACCGCCGGCACGACCAGTGCGGCCTGAGAGGGACACGAGCGGCGTGCCATCTCTGTTCCAGCCCGCTTCCACGTCGACTTCCGGGCTCCCAATGCCAGCACGTCCTGCACCCGTGCCGGCTGCCACTGCACTATTTCCCCCGGTCAATACGGGATTGTGCCCTGGGACAGGTACAAGGAAGGTTGCAAAGCCGCCCTCGCGAACCTGTCATCATAGGGAGACCCAAGTATAAATTAAGCGAATAATTACAAGCGAACATAGGTGAAGATAAGGTGATGGAGGGTAAACACCCAGGCCAAGCAGCTCACGGGCTCATCCAATTGTAAGAAGAACTCCCAATGGAGGGTTCACCACGCTGGCACTGCTGCACAATCGATGGCATGCATTAAACCGGACTTAACACATCTGCCGCGAAACGGAGCTGCAAGAACCCTAACATCCCAGGCAGTGAGAAACCAAAGGCCGAGGTATTCCTTGTAACCCTTCTTGAAAGGTTCAGTCATGGAGACACAGTCCAGAGCAACAGGGACGGCCAGCTAGGCGACCTGTTGGCCCCTTACAGCTGAGAGACAGCCGACCTGCGCGGTACAGCCCTTCCATCTCCTTACCTCGTGTGGATCCTCCGCCGCAAGCGCTTTAGCGGTGGTGGCATCGAAGCCCGTGAAGTCCAGCCCAAGCTCACCACCACGCAGCTTCAGCTCTATGGGCACGAACCGCTCGTTCATGCGGATGTCTGCAGGTGTGTAGCTGTGGCGTGCCTGGATGTTGTTGGACGTCATGGGATCCACCCCCTCCATGAAGCAGAGCACCTCAGCACCCAGCGCCTGCAGCTCGTCCAAGGAGCGGTCGAAAAGCGGACTACCTGGTCTGGGAACACACGGGAATAGAGTCGTACAGCAGGAGACAGTTTAGAATGCTATGACACGAACGGGAACGTAGTCAGGGCATGGCTCAGAAGAAACCTATGACGCATTCGTAGACGGTGAAGACCCAAGGGCCAGCAATAGTATAATTAAGGACGGAGGAGCACAAGCTTGTGATGACCGGATGGGTGCAGGTACGCAGGGCGCAAACTTCCAACGCCGTGTTGCGCATCACCTGATGATGTGATTGATGTGGGCGTGCAGGCCTAGCCGCAGGTTGGCCACCTGGGAGGGAAGGTCCTCAATGGGGAGCTCTCGAAAGTTGAAGTGCGCCAAACCGTTACCAATGCCATTACCGCCGCCAGCGATGGCGGCGCCAGAGGCCTTGGAGCCCGCGCCCGACCCGACCCCTGCAGAGTCGGGGGCCCCGCCAGGGGGCCGGCCCCCTACCAGGCGGCTGTCGAGGGGCAGCGCGAACATGAGCGAGATCTGCGCACCGGGTAATGAAGCACGGATGAAGGGCAGATGGCGAGCCGTAATGTGGGAGTAGGCACAAACTCCGGGGTAACATAGGTTCCAACATGGGCTGGGCCAAGGGAGAGGCGTCAGTTTCCCGGCGGCGGCTGCGGGCGGGCTCAAGAATTTGGGAGTTATCGACTCGCGGGTTCGGGATGCGCTCAAACGGAGAGACGTAGCACGCTTTAGATGCATTGTGATGCTGTAGACGTGCACTTATATTTTCACAAACAACGAATTAACGCTGAGCATCTTGCCTGCGTGTCGACCCCCCAAAAGCTAACAGCAGCAGGGCCCGTCACCCGAAGCCCGCCTACCCTACCCAACCCTACCTGCGGGTTAATAAGGCTATGCTTGCGAATGTTCGCAAGTCGGAAGGACAGGCACCACAGGCCGTCCTCAGGCCGCTGGAAGAGCACCGCAGTGGAGGAGAAGCGGATAGTGAAGGAGCGCTTATTAGGCGAGGCGAACCTGGGGGACCGGATCAAAGTGGTGCAGGGACGGGCGCACACCACAGTTCCCGTTGCATATTCCCTGACAGAGCCGGGATAATCCACGTGCACAGTCATAAGGGAGGCGCACTGAGTAGCAAGGTGCGAACGCGCCATATTGCCCTTTCGCCAAGTCCCACACCTACCTGGCGAACACCAGTCCCATCATGCAGTAGTCTACGAGCGCGGCGCTGATGACCTGCATGGGCGAGGCGGGTTCTGGGACAAATGCTGGTCATCTGGGCTCCAGTGCTCCTACATAACGCAGGCTGAGCACCAGGACACCATGTCTTGTCCTTGAAGCATTGGTTCATGCTGGACACCGATACCAACGCAAGCAGTCGTGCTTCATTTTGTCCTGGAGAATGTGCGCGGACTTCAATAATCCATGAACCACCGTACAACAACGACAGCTCTAATTAGTGAGAGGCCCCACCCGTTAGTCCACAACCTCCTTCAACCTCACCTGCAGGATGACCAACATGTTAACCGAGGCGCAGTCGGGGTTAGGCTGCAGCAAGCCCGTGTAACCTGAGCCGAACAGAGCGCGTAAGGGACAGCGGAGCACGAGGGCAGAAGGTCGAGCGCTGCGGTGAAAGCAAGGCCGCTGAGCTGAACTGGCAACGATGCAGCTATAATACGAGCCAGGTAACAGTTGTCCCGTCCCACCCTCCAAACAGGAAGCAGCTAGTTCTGATCCTTGATAGCGCAAAAGCCACCTACTTCCGCAACATAGCAGCTTTAAAGCACCTGCGTCCCAATTCCGCTGTGCACCCGTCCTCCTGCCGGTTTGCCCGGCCCACTGCGCCTTCCATCCGCCTACATCGACTACCCACGCCCTATAAATGCTGCATTAACGACACCGCCGCCTGCGACGCATGAAAAAAGCCCTCACTGCGGGGGCCGCGGGGAAGGTGCAATCGCCCATACAAGCTGATGTTCCCCGTGTACCAGACCAGTAAGTGCAAGTGCAGGAACACCCACGCACCCAGGGTCGCGGCGGTCTGCACCGAGAACCACATGGCGTGAGAGAACTTCATGATGCCACCCACGCATCGGTCGGGCTGGGTCAGGTACAGCAGCGCGAAAATTAAATACTGCGGCGGCATCAGGGAGTGGAAGAGGCACGGAGAGAACCCAAGGGACGCGTAACTATCCAAGTAAGGCATGCATTACCCTGGCCGGGGTGAAAGCGCGGAGCCCCAGGGACAGGGTCCCATGTCGCGGAGCAACTATGGTTGCGACCAGGTTTTGGAAAGGCGAACACGTTGGCTAAGGGCAGGGGCGATGCTGGGCGGATTGCAAGGGCGGAACAAGATTGGAAACATCGAGCGCTAGCCTTCGAGCCGTCGTTACAAACCCGCCGTTCATGCCCTCAACACCCATACGCATCTCCACAGGGCCCTCACCTCCGTTAGATAGACGCAAAAAAAGACCAAAAGGAAGCGGTGCCGAGGCATCTGCGGTCCGAAGGGAGGCAGAAAGCGGGCCAAAAAGGGGGTGGGTTGCTTACTAGGTGCAGGATCTCGGGCACCGGGAGACGGGCTCACGATAAAACCAACCCAAGGCAACCCAACGCGCGGTCCGTCCACCAGGAGCGAGAACGTTGCATTACACATGCCCAGACATGTACTGATGGCAGGGTGCGCTGCTTACATCTACAATGCCTGGCCAGGAACCGCATGACACGCATAGCGGAACAACCCCTAGGTCCCCACAACCTATATTTCCTAATTTTCCAACACTTCCGGGTCCGCCGGATCTCACGCCAGAGGTGCACAGGCTGCATGCCTTACATTTAGCAACGTGTGGAAGATGTCACTCCTGCATGCGGCAGGAGGCGGTATGCAAGCGGTATGCGGAAGGTCGTATGTAGGGGATACGTAGCACAGACACGGGCCGAGAACGTACAGGTGCGCACGCCAGGCAAAGTATGTGTGGCGAAAGGGCGAACGGAGGCAGCAGGTGCTACTGCCAGGTTAATCCCTCCGGCGGGGCTTAGTTATTCTGTTCTCGGCGTCAGCTGGTGTTCAATCAAGGCATCGGACGAAACTTACCAGTACAGATACCATCCGCCTGCCGGCAAGCCAAACCGTACGATGCCTTTGCCTGCGCGCCTGCAGGCGCGGGCACTCACGTCTGCTTAGCTACACGAAAGCGCCAACCAACGCATGTCCCGAACCGCTCCAACTAATGGAGGTGAAGCGCAAAACCCAGATCCCACCCTTTATCTAGGAGTCGAAATCGCTGCCTTCCTTCACGGGTACTGCGTCGATGGCCAGATTCGTATGCGGTCGAGCTCGAAAGTGGAAGTGGTAAATGCATAGCTTCGTCGGACTGATCCGGCCCTGTACGTTTCCAACCTCGCTTGAAAAGCTCATAGGAAAACGTTGCCATAACGGAAAAGGCGAGCCTACTCTAGGAACCAAGCAGGGAAATATAAGTTGCATTCGATGCCGTAAAGACCAACTGGATAGGATGACATATTGTAAGGACAACTATTTGATGCTGTGTAGCGCATAACAACCCGGGTATACGGCAAACGGTCGAACCGGAAACAGAGCTGAGGTTCCTTGTTACCTTACAGCACTGTACTAAGTTATGTATTGGGAGTAACTAGAAAACAAAGATTGTAACTGGGGCTAGAGTGTCTGGTCGGGACACGTCTCCGATCCGGTCATCTCCGCCGTTGCAACAAGTTGCAGCGTTCTAGAGATTTACGAAAAAGTGCCAATTTTTGCTCAGATGTTTTGCTTCTTGCCCTGATACGTTGCAACCCAAAGTCACAAAGCGGAGAAACGTCAGTGGCATCCTGCAACAATGCAGTCCTATGGCCCCAGGCCCGGTGCTCCAGGTAACCAATGGGAGCCGAGAGCAGTGAAGAGATGTTGCCTAGCCTCGATGTGTCATGTGACATGCTCGCATAGATTTTGTTCTTCAGATCACAGCAACGTCGCTGTGCGTCGCTGCTCGAAAGCCTATAGTCCAGTAGGGTGTTCGTTAACCTGACAGGCAATCATTTTGCATTTTGCGCAAGGTGTAGACCTAAGCTTTGCAAAACCCTGGGCACAAGCTTGGACCTTACATGTCCGCTGATGACCCAGCAAATGCATCCTGATCTGCGGTATCTCTTTATGTAATTGCAGGTGGCTTGCCGCCGCCACCAGGTGGCTATGGATCGATGCCTGGTTTTCTAGGCCCTCCGGGCGTGCCTCCGCCAGGAGTCCCGCCTTCTGGTCCGCCCCCTCCTCCTGGACCGGGTGGCTTCCCACCGCCGCCTGGCATGGCTCCGCCTCCTGGAGGCGCTCCTCAGGGTTCTCTGAATGTGGCGTTTGGGGCCATGAGCCTGGGCCCGCCTGGGGTGCCGCCCCCGCCAGGGGTAAGCATGGGTTCGACAGTGCTGACAGGTTTTGTTATGGCGTCAGTGCCTGCATGAACCCTCCTGGCATGAATTATGGAGGGGCCTGTATATTGGTTTATAGATTTGCACGGACGTCACCGCTTATGCACCGAAGCTGTTGCGGACGCATTTCTGTTGGAAGCTTTTAACGCGCTGGTTCTTCTAGGCGTCCGGGTGCATGCGATGCAGGAAGCACATTCACCTATGGCTATCCCAGTGCAGCTTTGGGCTGGTCGCTGTGGGAACCGCGCATTCATAACCTCGACGACGTGTCCGCCTTTCCTCGCAGGGTGCACCCCCTTTAGGAACTATACCGGTTAAGCCGCTGGGAGGCCCGCCACCGGGACCGCCTGGGATGCCGCCGCCACCGGCGGGGAGCCATCCGCCAGGCGTGCCGCCCCCGCTGCGGCCTCTCGCTCCTGGCACTGGCATGCCGCCCCCCCCTGGGGCACCTAATGCGGGGCTCATGGGCGGCTTCCCATCGAATGCTGTGCCACTGAGCCTGCCTAATGTTTCGCCACCGTCCATGCATTCGGGAGGCCTCGTGGGCGTGCCGCCAGTGAGCTCGCCGAATGGGTTACACCCGCCGCCTCCTACACAGGGAAGCACCGGGCCGGGCATCCCTCCGCCGCCGCCGCCAGGGATGCCGGGGCCATATGGCGCGCCGCCGCCGCCGCCACCCCCAGGAGTACCAGGCGGCATGCCGCCCCCACCGGGTATGCCCGGTGGCCCAGCACCGCCACCTCCTGGCGGCTTCATGCCGCCGCCACCCCCGGGCATGCCACCAGGCCCTCCACCACTACCCGGTATGGCTCCGCCACAACAAGGACCGCCACAACGTGGGGCTGTAGGTCAAGTCCAAGGTCCTCCAAGTGCCTCGAGCCGCATTGACCCTAGCCAGATACCACGCCCCGTGGCACAGCCCCCCAGCTCTGGACCTTTGGTGTTCGACACACGGATGGCAGGGGGTCATGCGTTGCCACCACCGGCATCTTCTCGCTTCGTGGTGAGTCCAGCCTTGGGTTGCCTTGCTCAAACACAATAGGGGCTTATGGGAAGCTAGGAAACAAGTTATGCATGCAGCAAACACGGTGCAAGTTTTGTGTATGAAACCAAAATATGGAGCACTTCCGGGTGATGTTCAGTGGGACTGACTCAGCAGCCATGTCCAATTATGGTGTTGGACATCATCTGTGTATAACAGAGTGAAACAAAGGGATAAGGACAACAGTAAGGTACTGTATCAACAACCTTGGATTGGGACTCGGGTTTAAGGCGTGGAAAGCTGTTTATGAAACCCTGGTGTCCAATCTAGACTCTACTCGTTGTTGAAGTTATTCTTGCGCTTGTCTGTTGTCGATGAGCAGACGTGCTTCTACGGTTTATAACCAGATAGTCCCTGGAGGCCCGAGCTAAGCAATGAGAGTGGAGGAATGCATAAGCCTGCGCCAGAATGGAGGGTGCTTTTGTACATCTCGCCTGAAGCTGTACCTTGGATGCTCCCGTGCAGGTCCGTGACCGCGGGAGCTGCAGTCCCCGCTACCTACGCTCCACCCTCAACCACGTGCCGCACTCCCCGGAGCTGCTCACCAACTGCGCCATGCCCCTGGCGCTTGTGGTGTCACCCATGGCGTTGCCGGACCCTGGGGACGACCTCATTCAGGTATGGCGAGTGCAAACAAAGGGAATGTTCCCGGTGGTGCTTGGAAGGGGTTGTTCCAGGTGGTGCTTGGAAGGGCTGCACTTCACGTCTGTGGAAGGGCGTGGACATGGCTGAGTATCCGTTTGCGTGTAGCTTTCACTGCAGTCCATGGGAGTTGCACGTTTTAGCAAGCGTCCACGTGCACAAATGTACAGACGTGTGCTTACGGCTGCTCGGAGGCGTTCCTTCTTCACGTTAGGCAACATATTTTGCAAGATATATGGTCAATACGCCCTATACAGTTGGGACAATAGCGCTGTGCATCGCATTACGTCCCTGCGTGCGACATGGTCCCACATCAGGCGTATAACATATTATTTAGTTTGCGGATGTGCTCTTCTCGGTGCCGCCGTTCAGATTGTGGACGTCACTGAGTCGGGGCCCGTGCGCTGCGTGCGCTGCAAGGCCTACATGAACCCCTGGGTGCGCTGGACAAATTCAGGACGTAATTTTAATTGCAACTTCTGCGGCATCTCCAACAGCACCCCTGACTATTACTTCTGTCATCTGGCGCCGGACGGACGGCGCAGGGACGCTGGTGAGGAATCGATTGGATTGCGGGTGTAGGTCTGTCTGGTGGTGCTGCGTTGCCTACCTCGCCTTGCTAAGACGCGCATGCACTTGCACTTGCACGCCGGCCAGCATGGGCCGAGAACGTGTTCTTGGATTTTTTAAAGGAAGTTTGATGTGGCGGTCCTGGCATTGCGCGAGTTTTGTGGGAGTCGTTTTGTGCTAATACTTTGCGGTCGTTCCTCTCCCTGCCTTCTTCAGATGAGCGGCCTGAGCTGTGCCGGGGCACGGTGGAGTACCTGGCCAGCAAGGAGTATATGTTCCGGCCGCCGATGGCTCCGGCCCACGTGTTCCTTATTGACGTCAGCCAGACGGCCGTCGCAACAGGGGCGACCGCGTCGCTGTGCAGGGCAGTGGCTGCAGCGCTGGACCGGATTCAGGGTAAGGCGTGTCGGGGGTTGAATGCTCAGTGGATGTAACCATGGAGACCTATAACTCGGCTGCGGCTGCAGCACAGATGTAAAACTGATGAATGCTTATATCTCAGTTGAGATTGTCCATGTGCGTATGGGGCCGGGTGCGCTTGGTCATAGAATGGCTGTGCTACGAGTATTGCTCCGCCCTCCATCCATCGGTAGCCTGATAAGCACAAGCGCACAGCTTACTCCCAACTTTTCATAACCCCCTCAGGTAGATGCTCTGCATTTCTGCGCGAGTTGCCATTATAATATTTTTACCGGCACCCTGTCCCTGTTTCCCCTTGCCAGGCGGGCCCCGGGCGATGGTTGCGGTTGCGACTTATGACACAAGCGTGCAATTTTACTCGGTGCGGACCTCGGGTGCCACACCTCAGATGCTGGTCATGTCGGACGTTCAGGATGTATTTGCGCCCACCTCGGGAAAGCTACTGATGGGCCTGGAGGAGCATCGCGAGCAGCTGAAGGAGTTGCTGGAGGCGCTGCCGGGCATGTGGACCAGCAACAGGATAAACGAGAACTGTGCGGGCGCAGCCATCGAGGTAAGAAGGGAAGCAGTGGTAGAGGAACGGACCCATACGAGCCGGGGGCCCAAGGCTCTGACGCCAAAGATCCAAGCGTTTAGCAGGCCTGTCCCTGATAGCCGCATGTGTCCCATGTGCATATTAGTTGTTCTCGTGGTGGCAATTCTGTGGGCGCCGCCAGTTCGCGCAACCCCTACCTCAGTGCCGCAAAAAATTGCCGCCGCCTTTCGCGATGCTGCAGGCTGCTATTGACCTTCTCAAACCATATGGCGGCAAGGTACACGCGTTCGTCGCGTCGTTGCCGTCTGTAGGTGTGCACGCGCTAAAGCCGCGCGAGGCTACAGGGCTGGGCGAGAAGGACAAGCTAGCGTATCTCACAAGCCAGGTGAGGGTTGTGCTGTGCAAGTATGGCTGCCTTCTTAAGACCTGATGATGGTCTACTGCTTATCAGTTTTTCTGCTCAATTCCTTAAACGGATTGTCATACGGATGATCCGCCGCTCCATACCCTCACCATAGCACATTGTCACAGAAGTGCACGGCGCCCGGTGGAAGTCAACAATATATTTTGGACGCGCTGACATTTGTCATGACCAGCCTGTGTTACACTGTCGCACCCTGCAGGATAACACGCTCCGCTCCCTGGCCGCCACGGCTGCCGACCACATGATTTGCATTGACCTGATGGTGCTGGGCCAGGGCTACTGCGATATCGCAACTCTCTCAGACCTGGCCACCACCACGGGAGGCACCGTATACTCCTATACGCCGTACAATCCTGTCGCGGACTTTGATCAGCTTGTCAATGATCTGTCGTGGAACGTGGCGCGCCAGCAAGGCCTGGAGGCGGTCATGCGTGTGCGGTGCTCCTCTGGGTTGGATGTAGAGTCGTACTCGGGACACTGCTACAGGTAACGAGAAGTTACGGAAACGACCGATTTGGGTTACGCATTTGCTTTTGCTTTAAGGGTCCTAATTGGCACGCAAGCTTGTGATTAGAATGGGCCATAGGCAACCCTTAGTTAGGGGCCCTGCCAACAACGGTTCCGATTATGTGGTGCTTACATCGCATGCATGGTCCACACATTCTCGGTCCCGAGCGGTTCAGCGGTGTGTCTCCTGGTCATTAGGCCCTGTGGAACGAAGAAAGGCTGAGAGTCTCAGCAGGTTTTCATCTTCCCCTTTTTCCCAAGTGCACTGGCTAGCATCACGGTAGCGGTTTCCCTCCGTTCGCTTCGCGCAGGCCTCCTAACACACCAGACGTGTACCTACCTGCCATCGATTGTGACAAGGCGCTATTGGCACGCATCATTCTCACCGAAAAGCTGGCGGCGGGTTCGGAATGCTACTTGCAGTCGGCGCTGCTGTACACGAATGTGGCAGGTCAGCGGGTCATCCGGGTGCACACGCTGGCGCTACCCGTTACTGACAACATATCCATGGTCTTCAAAGGGGCGGACCTGGATGCGCAGGTGGGAACAGCGTTAGCAAGGAATGGCGCTGAGTGTGCCATGCTGGATGCGCAAGGAGTGTTTTAGTTGAATGGCACCAGCTCATCGACACGTATCTACTGATCCGTGCCTGTTGCATGTTGGATGGTCCGGTCTCGGACCATGGAGAGCTCCCACCATGTGACATAACGTTACATGTGGAATAGTTAAGGAACTTCCATTTTTTATGTAGCTTCGTCCGGTCAAGGTGTATCATGTCATCCTAAAAGAGACCAGTGACATGAATTTCAGGGGGGTCACGGCCAACTTCTGTTGAAGTTTTGGTTCCTTAGCTCCGTGCTTACCTTACTTCCGCAGATCTGCACGCTTGGCCGTCGTGTGGCCACTTCGCTGGTGGGTCAGCAAACGCTCGGCGCCTGTCGGGAACTGGTCAGTTCGGCAGTCGTGGCCACGCTGTACTCTTACCGGCGCTACTGCGCCTCATCATCGTCGGCAGTGCAGCTCATCCTGCCGGAGGCGCTCAAGCTACTTCCGTTGTACGCATTGTCCTTGCTCAAAGGGGCGGGACTTAAGGCGAGTTGGTGGGAAAACGTAATTGACTGCCTTGCATGTTTCTTCACGAATACACGCTGTGGTAGGTTTGTTGGTTAAAAGTTACAGTTCGCACAATTGCTGAGATGTTACAGCCCCAGTGTGGGTCAGAGGGTTACATGCTTGTGCCTGAGCCTGGTGTAGTCCCGCCCGTCACCTGAACCGCAGGACAACGTCAAGCCAGACGAGCGTGCGCTTTGGATTACTCGCATGAGCTGCTTGCCATGCAGTCGCGTGGGCCCACTTCTGTACCCTCGCCTCCTGCCCCTCGCGCGGCTGCTGGCTGAGGCACGGGAGGAGAATGCCACCGCGGCGGATGGCAACACATTTGAAGGGCTGACGCTCAGCAGCGAGGGCCTCGAGGCAGGCGGTATCTTCCTCCTTGAGAATGGGTGAGTGCAGTGCGCCGTGCAAGTGGGCGTGAACTAATTTTGGTGACGAGCGGCGCGATGTCAAGAGGTATGTCGAGTTGGAGGTGCGGGGCTCTAATGGTACAATGACATGCCATTTTTCCCTTCGCAAGAAGGCGCTCATGCCGCAATCCGGTCTAATGCATGCAACCCGTGAGATTGTTGGTTGCATGGCAAGTGTGTATTTTCCTATGCATAGCCTGGGTGAAGGTGTCCAAGCGTTTGCATGTAACACGCCAACGTATTGTTATGCCACGCTATAGTGCACCTCGAAGTTCTCTCAAGTCCTTTACCTGACTCGGCTGCCTCATCATTACCTGTGCATTACCTGTGCATTACCTGTGCATTACCTGTGCATTACCTGTGCATTACCTGTGCAACTTACCCCTGCAGGTACGAGGCCATACTGTACCTCGATCGTGGTGTTTCGGGCCAGCTGCTGTTTGAGCTGCTCGGTGTGGCATCCTATGACGACCTTGTGCGTGTGCCAAACGTAAGCTCGTTATGTACCAAGTAATGCATATAACTTTTAGCGCTGTCGGAACGCTGGCCTTAAATGTTCGGGGTATTCGGCAGGGCCCCTCCTGGGCCTCGGCATCGCGCTGCAGCTATTGCCTTTGTTATAGTGTCCGTGCCGTGCCTGCAGTTTCTCACCATATTCAGGTCACATCTTGCGTTTTCATATATGTCCGATTCTCATTTTTTTGTCCGATTCTGTCTGCACATGTACTTGTTGCCATAGGCTATTACGCTGCTGCCGAGGGACAACTGGCCTAGCCGTCTACTCCAGGACCTATTGACCAAGATTCGACTGCAGCGCTCGTCCTTCATGCGCTTGCGCGTGGCACGCAAGGGTGATCCGGCCGAGAGTGCGTTCTTTAACATGTTGGTGGAGGACCGTTCCAGCGCCGGAATGAGTTACGTGGAGTATTTGTGCCAGATCCATCGGCTCATTCAGAACAAGATGGGCTAATTGTATCGGCGCGTCGAAGCTATGCGGTATTGGAATGAACGGTGCGTCTGGTAACGGAGAGTTAGGGGGTTCTCGGTTGAGCGGAATTTGTGTGTGAGCTGTCAATGTCTGGGCATTAGGAGAGCGCGGGGAGCGTCATGAGCGCGGCTGCGGGTGCATTTTGCTTGAACAGGGGCGTGTGCATTTGTACTTTGTTGGTTCGCTGTGACACGCGCCCGGGGGCCCATCGGGGCAGTGCACGCCGAAGCCAGGTGTCCATAATTTGTGGACCCGAATCGGCTAATGTCATTCCCCTATACGCTGTCCTATTAATTATTTCTTTTCAGTGGTAAATGCGCGGTTCAACTCGTTACGGAAGGATTTTCGATGCTTTATGTTGTGGAATCACGAGCTTGGATTGGCCCACGGGCGCTCAAAGCCCTTAGCTTACCCCCGCCCTAAAAGTGCTGTGTCTTTCGCACACCAAGGCGTGATTTGGCGGCTGGGGCTTTGGATAAATGCTTGTCTGTGCCTTGGCCAGGGAATTAGGATTGATTTGGCGGCTCTCGAGCAAGCCGGCGTGGTGAGAGGTGTGGGTAGTACTGTTGGCCTGCGCAGCTGACCTCCTCCCTTTAACCGACATGGCGTTGGTTGGGCCAGGAATGTTAACGTGCTGCCAGTGGGGTTCGTCGTCTGCCTCGGGTGGCACTGGGACAGTAGCGATGTCCATTTCCGGCAGGTTTGTACGCATTGAATTGTGGCAGGGACAGCTAGTGCCCGCGGAATGGTGTCTGACGCTTCAGTCACGCGCAGTCCAGCTTGACGGCGAAAATTGCCGGTTCCAGGCCTATGGCGCTTCTTTAGATACCAATTTGCAGCGGAGAGAGCTCCATATGTTTACAGGAAAAACGCACGAATCGCCGTGTCTGTGAGCATGCTGATAGGGGCATAACGCTACCTCATCTTCGCCTGGGCTATGGATTATCAGTTTCCTTGTAGAGGAAATACGCCAAGAATCGTATTAGCCTGTTTACGCTACGCTCGTGTATCATAAGCAACGCCAACCTGAGGTGCTGGCGCTAATCGTTTGAGACTTAAACATATGCGACCAAACAAACGGTTTTTCCACTATAATTTATCAGACTAGAAAGCAGTGGGATTGACTTGCCATCGACTGCTGTGGGACCATGAAGAAGTTTCAGTGTACCTGTACTACTCGCGGATATCGCTCGTGCTGAAGGATCCAGACGCTACATTTAGAGAAGCAGATGGCATAGGCGTGTATGCATTCATCTGCCAGAGGGTTTTATGGATTATGGAGACATACTCTAATTCCTGAATGCAAGAATGTCGACCTCAAGTTTTAGGGGTTTTGGGGGCCCCTTAAGTTTTAGCGCTCTGGGAACGGCACATGACGGTCTGCGCCAACCGGCAGTTAACTTTGGCAACCTGTAGAGTGCAAACCTGTGCAACCTGTAGCAAAACGACTAATGAAGGCCGAGTAAGTAATGCGCGATGATGGCTCGCGCTGAAGAGCTTCATGGTTTGACTGATAACTCGATATAGGGATAATCGCATCTTCAAAAACACCAGCTGCAACTCTTTGCGTACATCGTGCTTCCAGATCCTTTGTGCGCGAGCACGGGGAGTAAGAGGGTTGCACGCATCAGCATCTACTCATTTGTTTATACCGGCGCCGATCGGAGGGATTTTCCGTTGGCAATGTCACGTGCTCGGACAAATGGCATGGTTCATGGTCCTAAACAGAGGTAGCGCCTTTGGAGGGTCCGCTCGTGGGTGATAATGTTCGAGTGGCGTACCAAAACTTGAGGAAGGAAGTTGTTAAAACATTGTTACTTTACATTAAAGTATACTTATAAGCACGTGTGCTGGACATAATCACCAATCCAGGGTGTGGAGCAAGGTCGAATGACTAGCTACTCGTAACATGTCGTGACCCATACGAAAAGTATTTGAAGTTGGTACCCGATTGCATTGCAGGATATTATTCAGGTGCCATGTTGAGAAAACAGAAGCAGCAACTAACTAGCTTGCCCGGTGCTTTGGATTTTGGAACCTATAGTTCAAAATCCATCCATTTGGCACCAAGGGCGATGGAGCTCCGGTACTTACCAAAAAGGACATCTACTTGCTTATGCAGGATATCTTCTTTGGTAGCTTAGATAGGAGTGCTGGGAACTTACGATAGGGTGAGCTTTTTGGAGCTTCTGCAAGCTTCTGCATGCGCAGCTGTAGCCACATCAACCATAAGAACTTCCATAGTATATAATACAGAAACGGATTGAGGGCCAGTAGCCAGCACTGCATCTTACATCCCCGACTCCACCCTTGCTCGCCCATGGATAAAGGCACCTCATCCAAGTGACCCTGGAAGGGCGCCAGCAAAATGAATAGCAGTAGGCAACCTCTCAGCGCTAGCCCAAATGATCGCTTGGGCTCGCCCGGATTCCTTTTACATCCACCCGATATGTCGCTGGCAACTGCGCGAAGTCTGTCAGCGCGAGCAGACGGCACAACACAAAGCCCCAGTCAGGCAGGCAGCCTTCGACGGTCCCGGGCCCGAGTTAGGACGCGGTTGGAACCTGATATCTCCGGCACACCGACAAAGCACACCGGCCAACGACCTCCGGCTTCGTCCGCCTGGCGCCCGTCATGGACTCCTTCCGGTGCAGGACAGCCCAACCCTAACTCGATGCCGGCACATGTCTCGATGTCGCCTCATAACAGCCAGCAACCTCAGACTTATTTGTACGCAGCGCCGCGTGATCAGCAGCCCAGATGGGTGGAACACGGCCTTTCCGTGGGCGGCGCAAGCAGCGCAGGCGGGTGGGACAGCAGCTCAGGGGGGGCCCATCAGTCGGGAGCTTATTCTGGGGTCGTAACTGGTGCAACTTTCGCTGGTGTCCGCCATTGCCATAACTCATTCGCTTCAACCCAGAAACCGTTGGGTTACACCTTCGAGCGCTCTCCGCAAAGGCCCAGCCCGGTGCCTGAGCACGATAGGACACCTGATTACTCAGGTGCCTCGACACCCAACACTGGGCGCATGGCTGACTATTCCTACCCCGCATTGCGAGGGGAGCTGAGCCCGATGCCCAAGTACATGAAGGTACAGACAAAGTGAACGCGCAACTCAACCGTCCTGCAACTAACTGTGTACTCCGCTCCTGCTAACCCCGCAGGTCTTCACTGTGCCAAAGGACGTGCACTATGAGGTGGGCTGTCCTAGAGGTGTTCGACAAATGGCGTCACTAAGCATGAACGAGTATCCTTTTGACGGTCACTGGCTTGGGGCAATCTACAATATTCGCGGATACGCACGTCAATACTCGGTTCTGCTTCTGTGCAGGAGGAAGTCGTCATCGAGCCGATTATCCAAAATCTTGGCATCGGCAATAAGGAGATGGAGCAGCGGATTACGGAGCAGATGGGCAATCTGTACGATTTCTTCAGGCGATTGTACGACCAAGATCAGGAGGAGATCCGCTGCTTGCAAGCGCAGATGGAGCAGCGAGACATGGAGCTCCGGCAACTGCGCCGGACGAAGCTGGCGGCAAATGAGGAAGAGGGAAAGGTCACCACGCCGCGATCAGCCAGCAAATGGAGAGAACGGAAGGACCAGGACCAGCTGCACAGCCAGCCACGCCTTGTCCAAAGCGCCGCATGCTCACCTGGGCCGCCACCATCACCCCCGAAGCAGCCGAGCAAGCCGATGGTATCCGTGGTTATGCCACCAGTTACAAGTCCGGCCCGTCCCCTTTTCAAGTAAGCAAGGTTTGCTCTTTACAACGACGTTCCTGGGTGCTGTCGTGTTGGATGGACCTAATCCCCTAAACGGGGATTCAGCTACCACTGTAGGTCCTTCTGGAGCGCCACCTGTTTTGCAACTGCCGCTGTGAACTCTTTTTATGCGTAAACCGTCCTTATTGACAGCTATTGGCAAGGCTTTCGCTGCTGCGGCCGAAACGCCGAGTGTCAGCCTTAGGTTCATTTATTTAGTATTTAGCGTTCCACCGCTTCTGCATACACTGTGCACCCTTGCGCCTTACTTATTACTAACCATTGCATGGGCGGCAAAGATTTGCAATGCCTTAAAAGCTGCGGTAGTAATATGCGTTATTCTCGAGTTGAACTAAACTACGGGTTGCCGCTACAAGACACGTCCTGCGGGTTTGCTTGAGTACATTCCGCGTCCCTTATCCTAATGGCTGACGAAACGCCGTAGTAATATGAATAGCAAAAAGGAACCATGAAGTATGCGCTGCCGCAGGTGGTGGGCCATCGTCCACGACCTGTACAACCGGCATTCGACACTGTGGCAAGGCGCTTTGTTTCTGCTCCTGCTTATCCTCGCAGTCGGCTTGCTGGCAGGTCTGCTGACCAGCCAATCCTCAGACGGCTCCAGGGGAATGTACGCAACCTTCACGGACCCTGACCCCGCTGTTGTCAGCCTCTGGTCCACAGGAATGGCATTTTCTGTCAACATGTCTCAGGGCACTACAATGTACTATGCCCTCGTTCCTGTTGTATCCCTCCTGGCATCCAACAAGACACCCTCCGCTGCAGACATCAAAACACTCCTACAGGGCCCCACGCTCTCACCACTGCGTGGCTTGGCAGCGGCATGCGGTGAGCGTATTGCCGTGCAGAGCCAGGCCTTCACTTTTAATGTTGCTACGAGCTCAGTCGCTGTGGATAAGTCGACGGCGGGAAAGCCCTGCGAGGTTACCGGCACCCTGCCAGATCAGTGCAGCCTCTGCCCAGAAGTGCAGCCGGGGACGACTTACACCTTGCTCGTTGCTTTTTCGCAAAGCGATGATGTTTATAAGATGCAGGTAATAACTGCGGGTAGCAACTTGATACATTAATGCTTGCACTCGTACCATCTGCATGGCCTGCTGCTTGCGATGTAAGGCCTTCCGCAGATCCCATTTCAGGATGTACAACGGTACGCTTTATCGCAGGTGACTACCGCGCCGCTGCCATTGACAAGCAGTCGTCCCCCACCTACGCCGCCGTCGCAGCCCTTGCCGCCTTCCCCGTCGCCATTGGCTTCGCTGCCACCGTCGTCACCCTTGCCGCCTTCCCCGTCGCCATTGGCTTCGCTGCCACCGTCGTCATCCTTGCCGCCACCGTTGCTACCGCCGCTACCCCAGCTGCCGTCGCCATCACCGACATTAACACCTGCGCAGCCACCAGTGCCGCCGTCATCGCCACCGCCATTGACGCCCCGCGCCCCGGGCCTCAAGGTTATGCCCGCAGTTACTGTTGTCGGGCAAACAGCTTTCGATTTGTCCTTTTCACTTTCCAATCCGGGCGTCGTGCGCTTCATGGTCATGTACCCGGTATTGTACGCGCAATCAGGTGGAACTTACGTGTCCTTCGCCACTGCTGAACCCGTTGCCGGCCAAGCGCTGGTTATGACCTCAGCACCCTCATCGGCAATCCTTGGACTGAATGGTGTGGTCGCAGCTGGGTCCGTTAACGTCACCACTGACCTGCTGTACACAATCCGCGTGGACGGCAGCTTGCCAGGTGCCAGCAACGCGGCTGCGACGTGTTTGTGTGAAGCCCGAACGTGCAACTGCTCGGCACCGGCCCCATGCCATGGCCAGATGTGCAACGTCGGGCCCTCTGCGCTGGTGCCCAGCACCACGTACAAGGTCAGTCAACATGTTTGTGCGCGTGTTACGTGTACGCCTTCTACCTCCGAGGCTAGGAACACATCAAGCAGCGGTCATGACCCCTTTCTATGTGCATGTCGCTTCAGGTTTACATGTCGACCAGTACTCCTGACGGTGTCTCTGACACGCAAGGACCCATCTACGTCGGCAACGTAACCACAGTCGCCGATGCCGTGGCCCCCACGCTTTCTTCAAGCGCTGTGATTTCCGAAAACACTATTACCCCCAGCGGCTTCACCTTAAGCGGCCTTCAGCTCGACACGGAAGGCTTGTTATATGTCATGATTTCCAGGCCATCGGGGGGACAACAGGTTGGTTTCTCGGGGACAGCTGCTGCGCTTTTGGCGTCACAACTAGAATGTCTCAAGGCAGGCAGTTGGGTGCATGACCTCACTCGCGCAGTTGTCCTGTTTCGTTGCAGAGCATCCCCGCAGGCACAGCAACGGCTATTAAGGAAGATGTCTTCGGTCGACGGCGGCAGCTTTCAGTTCTACGGGGTCGGCCTCGGACCGTGTTGCAGCAGACAGTGCAGGCCTCTGATAATACCTCTTCGTACGGTTCGCTGCTGGTCATGGACCCAGCACCGGCTGCCCAGGTATTCACGCCGGCTTGCCCCCGCAAGGTTCCCTGCGACCCTGCTAAGGTGAGAAGATGGCATGCAATACGTATCCATGCCGCAATACATCATGCAACGGCGCACCGTCCCGTGTCTCAAGCGCTGCCTGCCTTTACCTTGCCCAGGTTTTAGCTGCGTATGTTGACTTAACGGTGGAGGTGCTGGCGCTGCCGGTACAATGCGTGGCTGTCGCAAATATACGCGATGGGCCTATGGTCCAGGTGCTAGATGGCCTGGCCAACGACACGACTTACATTGTCCGCCTCATCACCGAAGACATTGCCAGGTAGAGCTTATCACAGCATGTAGGATTTCTCAGGGAGGCTGTCCCTTGCGGGTGATTGGTGCGCCGGGTTACGAGCTTACCTTGTTGCAGCAATAGTGTAGCGATGTACGAGCGAAAGCCTGGCTGTGGTGCGCTGGTACGTGTTCCCTAAAGTCCTTAGATACATACCCTCGCACCTATCGGGGACGGTAATGCTGCCTCTGCAGTAACCAGAGGGTCTACAGAACGCTGATACGTACCGTCGACCGGCGGCCACCCGACATCAGCACCGTGTCGGTACAGGCTTCGTTCCGATCCTTCAATCTCACCATCACGCTGTCTGAACCTGGAGCCTTAGTGGGTTTTCTGTACACAGCAGAGGGAGCAGCCAACGTTTCGTTCACGCCGCCGCGATCCTGGCCGCCCAGTCCACAGGTCTGTTTGGAAGTTAACCGCGAAGGACTTTGCACAGCTTTTTATTTAGTGGCCTTCTTCATAGTTGTATCTGAGGACTAGGCGGTTGAGATTGAGTTGGGCTAATGCGTGCAAGGTGTAAAAGCCAATCTCTCGCGTCTTTCTGGCTGCAGGGCCCAGTCATCCAGCAGGCCACAGCTGCCACTACGATCCCTCCAAACGGGACTGTGCCGCCGAGCTCTACAAGCTACATTTTGTCCTTTAATAACCCCGCCATCAACCCCAAGACCACCTACAGCGTTGCTTTGGTCGTACGGGATCTTGCCGGCAATGTGCAGACAGCCACAAAGTTGGTGACAGTGCGTACAGACGATAATATACCGCCGGTTTGGCTTACAGTAGTTTTGCAGCCCGGAGCCTTTAATGCCACGTTGTCAGTACAACTCGATGAACCCTCAACAGCGTTTTGGTTTTGTCTCTTGGGCAATGTGCAATGCCTCCCAGCGACCACGGTGGGTAACTTTTCAAGCCCTAGTTCCAGATAGGTCTGAAATACTGTACGATGAATGCCGTTTCACCTAACTTGTTCTGCTCCACTCTGTTGCAGCTTTTCGGGTTGGTTGACTCATTGTCAGCTACCCCAGGGGGACTTGCGGCCATGGGCAACGTTTCCGTCACGTTTGACAATGGGTCAGCTTCTGCCACGATCCCGGGCCTCCGTGACGGCGTTACATACACCTTGTGCTTAGTTGCCCAAGATGCTGCGCCATTGAAAAATCGCCAAATCGCGACACGTCGCCAGTTGTTCACCACGCTTGACCGCACACCACCCACCCTACTGGTATCGGTCATCCCCGGAACAGATGGCAACTTCACGTGCGACAGGTGGGTGATGGCTGAACCTGGTAATCGTACCTGTTGAATTGCAGCGCCGTATGTACTGCCTTAATGAAGTGTGCCCAGTTTTTAACTGCTACCGGGCGCTTACCAGTTCTTTAATCTTCCTTCCCTCGGTTACGCAGGTCCGTGTTCAGGTGCCAGCTGTCCCTGAACATTTCACTCAGCGAATCTGGCAGCTCCGCCTTGGCCCTTCAGTACGCCGACGCGTATCAGAACAATTTCACCACGGACTCACTCATCGACATTAGCGTCACTAATCCACCGACAGGCGTGCTCCGGGCTGCTGTCGTAATGTTTAACAGCTCAGGTTTTTTATATGTTCACCTGAGCGACCTCCCTTCTGGTCGAGGATACAGTCTGGACATCGCTGGCGTTGATGTCGCCGGTAACATACAGCCGCTTCTACAGTCCTTAACGCTCCTCGCACCTGATGTAACACCACCGAACTTCACCCGTTACTCGGCCGCCAGTGTTGCTGACACGTTCATAACGGCCAATGTCAGCCTGAACGAGCCAAGCATAGTTCTGTGGTTGGTGACAAGTGCTGGTGCGCAGGTTCCCAACGCCACACAGCTAGTTGCAGCTGTTCAGCGTAACCAGAGCATGGTAGGTTTGACAGCATATGCCCCCATGGTTGCAAGTGGGCCGGTCACGTGGCACATTGGCGGCCTTATTGTTGGACAGGTCTACGATTTGCATATGTTAGCGCGCGATGCCAGCGGCAACCAGCAGGCAAATGTGACATCCATCCTGCGTATCCGTGTCCAAGACTCCACACCGCCCATTATTTACAGCCTAACAACTTCTCTTGCCGCAACGGGGAACCGCTTGATAATAAGCGTGAACGCGTCTAAGCCGGGGACGCTACGCTATGTCGCTATCACACCTGGGGCCTCTTCACCGACCCAGCAGCAGCTGCTGCAGGCAGCCGCTGCGAACTTCAGCGGGCAGCTGCCAGTCCCAACTGCGTTGACTATCGCATCAGCTGTTTTATGCGTAGCTGACGGTGGGTCATACCAGCTATGGGCGATGCAGGAGGACACGGAGGGTCAGTATCCTAATCGGCAACCCAATTACAGCAATGTTACAAGGTAATAATTGGGGTTACACGTAACATCAAAGGGGCAACAGTAGCTAGCCACACTGTATCAAGCCACGAGTAATCATTGTGCGTAAATGGCATTGTGGGCGCCAGTAGCAGTCGGTGAGACCATGCGCTGTTGTTCACATGTCAAGAAAGCGACATGGGATTAATAACAGCAGTTCCAACTCTACCCCGGGCATGCCTGCAGAGCTACACAGCTCCCTCAATCAAGCACAGATGGTAGCGTCTGCTCCCCTGAAAGCCGTATGCGGACCTTCGTAATGGATACGGCACTTGCACATGGCAGCTTTGGCTGGCCAGTAGGCCGCATCATGCCGGCAGCAGCTTCCACAACAAGCAACGCCAGCGTATCGTCATGGGTTCGAGATTACGTGCTGGTTGGCGGCTTGGGTGGAGGAGTTGTTAGCGACGGCACCGTTTTGGCGTTCGTGGAAGACCAGCAGCTTGGGAAACTGGACTTCAAGCCCGCCCGGTAAAACCCAGCACCTAAAGCATGCATGGCGTTCTCTTTCTACTTTCGTTCGCATTCTCACAAGCCTTAGTCGTTATGATTGTAAGCCTCTGTATAGTTTTATTCCTATTTTCTGCGTTTGCCTTGCAGGCCACCTCCAATGCAGATCCGCATCGTGGTGCAAACGCCGATTCTATACCTTGAGCCCGCTGCCGCCGTTGCCAGCACTACGGCGGATCCCGGTCGCAAGCTCCGGTTCGTTTTCCAGCTCCTGGACGGCGCATCACGCCCAGCGAGCTTTGATGGCCTTCGGTTCGTGCCAACACTGTCGACCAGCAGCTACGCGGCATTGGTGCTGTCCGATTGCAATGTGACTTCGGCAACGGCTGGGTCGTCTTCACTGCCTAGTGGTGCAGGCATGTGCCACGTCGAGGTCCCGGTACAGGCGTTCCCGGCCGCTGGTGTGTCTATGCAGGCCTCCTTGCGGATTGATCTTTACAACGGGTGGGTCCGGACCACAACTCTTCAAGGTGGATAGGTCTTAAAGGCGCGTGATTGCATAGCCGTAGCTACTTTTGTCTTTTGCCGAGTGTATGACCGGTCTGTCATTTGGTAGCTAGCAGTAGACGCCGCAAAAACACCTCATGCGACAGGCGTATACCGCCTTGTTTAGGTATTGTACATCGCTTTTCAGGCTGCTAGTTTAAGGATTGTGCTGGGCGCGGGTTGTAACGCAGGAGCATTTTTCTTCTTTCGTCTGTGACAGAGCAGCTCAGCTTGCGTAGCGCAGCCACGGCAATACCGTCAGCCCCGACGACTGGTGCAATTCTGCTCCTCGCGCTACCAACCCGTGCGTTACGACCTGGCGAGACATTCCGTGCCACACTCTCGGCCTTCGTGGGCAGCCAGCAGGTACGCCGAGATGCATGGTGAGCCATACCGTGTGCTCTGTACCATACGTATGTATGTCGCGCCGTATGTGTTGTACCATACCTGTATGTACCAAACCCACAGTTTGCCTGCAACTGGGTAGTTCAGTATTCCTTGTTTTCGCTGAAACCGCGCGCTTCTTTGGAGCTCCCAAGCGGTCCTTAAAGCAACATCTTGTCCCGCAATGGTGTGCGTCTATGCCATCAGATGATTACCGGCTTTACCATACGAGTCCTGTATAACGCATCCCGGATGAATTATGTCAAGACGGAGAAGTCGACCCTGTGGTCGGAGGTGGCTGCTGCGCCCTTGTCAGATGACAATGGTGGCATGGCATTGTGGCTCTCTGCGATCCAACGAACGGCTGCGGACTCAATGTAAGCATGGTTCCATGAGTGCTACGGTTCGACATCCTATAGAGTCGATTGAGAAGTCGGAGGCGATGTGAAACTAACCTGTCTGCACTAGATACCCCGCCACAGGGAAATTAAGGGCCACGGTAAGCTTTATCAGGCATCATAACAACACCCTTCAAGGTTTAAACCTCTTAACTGAGGCATGCGATGCCCTTGTAGGTATCAGAACCGCTCGGTTCCGTTGTTGGATGCTTACTTTACCCTGGCAGAATCTGCTGGCCCCGATGGTGCTGAGCTTATTGCCTTGGACATTGGAAGAGGTACCAACAGTGACAGCGTCGTCCTTCTTTCCGCAGCCCTTCCGTTTGTACCAGTGGTGATGTTCCAGGACTTCAATGCAATTAGCGTCGCAACCTCAGGGAGGATTACGGTTGCCACGCCACGGCAGCTAGGCTTGATGGCGTACATGACTAATCACGACCTGTTCAACTCCGCTGTGTTAGATGGAAAGGATGTAATTGCACCCATCCAGGTAAGATGTGATGCGCCTTGTAGTAGGCCTCTATAGATGCTGCCGGAGCGCCTTAGTGCGTATTTATCGACGATATGTGTGCCGTACTAAGTATAGTTACTACATGCTTACATCAGGCGCAGATGTGAACATATACCTACCACCACCACGCTTGTTTGGGCGCCAAGCTGTCCACACTGTCCATTGACGGGTTGAGGACGTTGCGCTCTGTCCCTTGACGGTAGTTCCCTCAACCCCGTAACTTTCAGGATCAACCTAGCTGATGAACGGCCAGTGCTTGCTTTCGTCCGTTGCACTGAACGCTCGGCTGGTGTACTGCGCAGGCTCTCGTTGTCGCCGATTGGTCCCCCAGCTTACTCATGGATGGAACCCTTACTATTCCGAGTGGAGCCAGCTGTTCTTGCGCTGCACCAACGAACACGATCAGTGCATTAACCGTTGCGAGCTGCCATGTTGTGCTGGCATCATCACATAGCCAGCCAGCGAGACAGGCCAGCCTCTCAATTACATGCGGCAGCAATGCGGCCTTGCGGGCACAGGTGAGTGCTTTGAAAGCTGCGTCGATTTGTGGTGCCCCGTGGCGAGAAGCAATCCTTGACACATGACAAGGTATCGTCCTTGTGTGCAGGTTGTGGTGAGTGTCTGGTATCCTAGTAGTTACAGGGTCGAATCTAGTGATCCAGACAGCACTCTTAGCAGCCTTCTACCCATAAACGTGCCGATTTCATCCGTTGGGAGCTGCTCGGACAGGTGAGAATCCACTGCCCTTGGCCCAAACGAAATTATCCTTGTCCTTGAATAGCCATGGTGAATCAAGTACTGTCATACCATGGCGCACACCATCAATACATGCACACGAGAGGCTTTTTTGGCGGCCAGCTATTCCAGTTAACCTGGTGCCAACCTTGCCCCCGGACTTCTTTTTCACATTTGGAGCAGCGTTCTAAATGATAGTTTAACACTACCTCTCTTATTGCTGCGCCGTGCATATCAGATACCAAAGCGCCCGGCTTTATCTCCTCACTACCTGGATGAATGGGGGTCGTTCAAGCGACGACTACATCACGGACGTGGATGTGACTTACCTCGTGGCGAACTGGACAGTGGATAAACCTCAAGCGTTGCGCCTTGTAAATGCCACAGCTACGGTGGGCTTTTGACTCATTTCTGTTATGGTCGGGGAAGCTCCAAGGCACACGATCTGACGTTTGGCGAATCATAATGGGTGACACGGTTGTGCCTTGACTCAATTTAGTGAGCCGCTCCCCACTTATCGTGCAGGGCCTTTCACCTGACCCGGCTGTGAACGTGTCAGCTCTGGGCGCTGGAGGCAAAGTGCTGGCCAGCATGCAACTTGGAGTTTCAAGTGAACCGGTTTGCGTTGAGGCATTGGAGGCTGTTGCAATCTCTAACGTCTCGGTGTCTGGTGACACACAGCCGATTAGCTTCAGCCGGTGGCGTGTGCGTTTCATTCCTCGACAGGTGATCCAGTGCATATGTAATGGACCTTGAGCTGGTTGGCATGTACAACCCACCTCCTATATACTTCGTGCACAACGGTTCGTTGGCCCATCCTTTCGGTATCCTCTGGAATGTTCAAAAGACGTGCCTGATATCTGGCCATCACAGCAACCTACAACATCCGAGCATTCGCAAATTGCTTGCAGGAACTCAACTGGGAAGGTGCATCTGCCAAGGTCAGCGTGTTTGCCAGTTTTAGCGACGGCACCGTCATGCCCGTGTCAGGCGCTTCCAGCACCACTGCGTATCAGCCTACAGGCAGCACACTTCCGTTCAGCCTTCAGACACTCTCCGGCTACCCAGCTCTAAAACTGACGGTTAATACTTCATTCGGTTCACCTGCGGCGTGTGGGGTTCTCCTGAAGACGAGTTGGAGCATTTGCAGTGGGACAACTTTTGCTGGTGCTGGAGTGATGATGGCCACTGGTGTGGACAACCCTATGCTAATGGCTTCCCTTTGCAACAGGGCCAGGGATAACCTTTTTGTGTTTTTCATTTTGCAGGTTCGGGGACAGTCAGAGTTGCGCTTCCTACACCTACACGTATCGATTCTATCCAGCCGTCCTCTCTTTTCGTTACCAGCACCAATAGTGGTGCATCGCAGCCACCAATCAGCGTGCCAACGCAGTCGTATCTTAAGGTCATGGTGGCTTTTGATGATGGCATAGTTCGTGACATGACTAACGACACTCGGGTTCAAGTCCTGGTCTATCAAGGCGCCGACCTGTGCCGGGGTGAGTTGGCTGGATTTCGTATAGGCTTGACGTTTAGGCTGCATTTCTGTAAGCTCGACGTATAGGGTCGACGTATAGGCTTTATGTGGTGAGTATCCTGAATGGATGGAGGCTGCTAATGTAGCTGCTTGTATGAGTGCTTATATTGGCTCAGGGATCTTCACATACTTGACCCGCCTTGGGTGGTGTGCACAACCGCTATGTAACGGGGTTCTTGATGTAGGTTGAGGTCCTTATTATAATTAACCCTTACGGCTGCCTTTTGAACTTTTGATTTGCAGTTGCGACGGCAGGTCAACCCTACGTGGAAGCAATCGCTGGGAAGTCAGGCAATTGCGAGCTTGAGGCCCGAGCTTCCTTTGCGGGCCTGCCCGTGCTGCGCAGTACCACCAACACGACAGTCGTGACGTTTGTGTCAATGCAGGTTTATGTGCCTGATGGCACTCCGGCCCTACCGCCCACGACGAACAGTAGCACACTTACCAACTTGGTAGTATCACAGCTTGACCCGATATACCTGTTCAAGTGCGATTTTAGTCATTACATGCCGGTGAGTATTCGCCATCGCTATCCGATATCCCTTGCTCTGGTTATCTTCAAAAACCCCAATTCAACTTATACAAGTGGCGGGTCTACACCCGCGGCGACCGCAGGCGAGCGTGTGGGCTATGGGCCAGCTGAGCAGCTGTGGTGTAAGCTGCAACCTCGCCGACTTGAATGACCCCATCATAACACGCCTGCTGCTTACCGATATATCAGTTGTCAACCTTGAGATCAACCCCTCCAACATCAGCCTTACCAACGTGCTCATTCCGATCAAGCCGGGGAAAAGTAATTTGCGAGTCTCTTTCGGCACTGCAATTAGCAACTTATTCACGGTGTCTGTGGAGGATCCCTTCCAAGCCGGTTGGCCGCGCGTGTTCGGCATTATGGAGACAGGGTTTACAATAGCCGCGAACATGAGCAGCGGGTCTTACAAGGTGACTTACCTTGTGCAATCACAGAACGGGAGTGGTATCATTGCGCCTGCTGCAGCCGAAGTGGAACGAGGTGCGATAACCGTTACAAATCTTAGACAATAGTTCTAACAAGGATTGAATTTGATTAGCCAAAAATATCACGGCTGCTGTCTAACATTGATGTTTTCGGCGGCGTAGCCGGCGTGGCTATGACTGCGGTCGGCTGTTCACAGGCAAGCCCCTGCATGATGACGGCGAACGTCACTGGTCTCGCTCCAGCCGTTAACTACACGATCTTCCTCGCGGTTCGTTTCGAGGTGATACGACAATCAAAGCTTATTAACACTGTCTTTGTCATAAACGGCGTCCTCACTCCAGATAATACGGCGCCGACATTTACGGCTCTGGGAGATGTAAGTGATTGATTAATAAGTCGGGGGGCTGACTGAAGACTTCGACAGCTCACGATAAGCTGATAACTATGCAGGAATTTCCTAGGTGATGGGGGGTTTGCTCCCTGTGCTGCGCGAACCCGCGGAAGCCGTTTCAGTCCACATCTGAAATGCCTGTGTCGCTTACTTCCCTATTGCAGGCGCAAGGTATGACGCAGGACTCGCAGCGCTTCACTATGCGCGTACCTGTTGCATTGAGTGAAGCGGGGACTGTCAGCTATGCAATTTACCGGAATAGCTCATGCATTACAGGTAGGTCACGACGGACTAACCGCAGACTCCTGAATCCTCAGCTCAGAGGTCTTGGTACGAACTTGGTATTATTGTTGTGCAGGCGCCGAGCAGCTACCCAGGCAGACAGTGCGCATTGCGGGAGAGTTGCCAACGAATATCTGTGTTTGTCCCGACACGTCACTTTGCCTGCCCGTGGCCTGGGGGAACATAACATTGTCAGGCGACCAGCTGAGTGACGTTATAACGATACGGGGGATGTTGCCGCCGAACCCGTACAACTACCTGAGTAAATTGGCGCCAGACCAGTTGACCTGCAGTACAGGTATGCCGGGATGTAAAGGAGGACGTCAAAAATGTGCGATTGGATGCATTCTTTGCCATGAGCAACTCAACTTCTTAGGAAGAAAACTTATTGTGCTGTTTTCCCTATGTCATGCCTGCAGACTACTTGCCCGCCCCAGCGACCCCTGCGCACATGCTGTACCTGGTGGCCCAGGACGATTTTCCAACCTATAAAGACTGGAACGTGACGTGCATGGCCCCGGCGTCATCCCCGGGAACCCTCTGTGCAGCGACAGCCCTCGCGCCCTGTGTAGCTACCCCGCCAGCAGGCTCTGGGGCAGGCGGCGTGAATGTACAGAGTGAACCGTACAAGCTGGTTCAACTAGGTCAAGTGTTACCAGCCAGTATGTCAGGTACGTTAGATGTTATGATGAGCCATGCTTGATTGGATACGTGGAACCATCTGACCTGCAACGCCTTGCACCTCCCCGCTGCAGAATCACCTATACTCGCATCGTTTAACTTGCCAACGGGAAACCAGGTGACCTTTGACCCGGTTGGAACTGCCGTAACGGTCACACATCGCACTATAACCCTGCAATTTAAGGTTACTAGGGCGGCGGCGGTCCAGTATCGCTTGGATCAATTTAATGGTGCCAAAGCCTTTTCCGGTGTATACCCTATATATGATCCAGCAGTGACGTACAATGTCACGATTAGCAAAGCATGCGACGGCACGCTTTTAGGAGAGGCTTCGTATACTCTGTGGTATTGGGCGACGGATATCTACGGGCGGTCAAATTCGCCAGTGTCTGCGTCGATTGTTTTAGGTTGACCGACATAATTGGTGTCACATAAGTGTTTGCAACGCTACTGGTTGGCATATTGCCGGTGCATGTCCGTCTCAAGGGAGCGTGGGCTTTCGAATTGTGTGTGCGTGTGTTTCGACTTGTGTGTGCGTGTGTTTCGACATGCGCAGCGTGCATGTGTGGACTATTGTCCGCCCTGAAAATACTGTGCTTAGCTTCCTGGCGGGACGAAACAAGTCCATCGTCAAGGGCTTATCAAAGGGTGCACATGTTGTTTATGATAGTTGGTGATGTGGCCCAAGGAAGGTTGCGTAGTGCGTTGAGTTTGTCTGGCGTGCGGGAGCTCCTCGGCCGCGGAAGAGATTGAGGTCCGCCTCCGGTAGCGCTGCTGTTCCAATTTTCTCCAAGATTGGTCGAGCTAGCGCTATTGATTTATGCGGTGCAGCAACGGCGGAAACTGAGCAGGATGTACAGAGGCAGGCGTCGATTTTGCAGTCATGACGAAATGATATAGCAGGTTGCCAAGCGCCGCGTTCCGTTTTCCGGCTGTTGTGCGCAGTTTCTTAAAATTGTCGGCATCGTCCAAAAATTTCGTGCCCGAAATTTGCATAGGCTTGAGCTGCGAAAGATACGAGTAGTCATCTACATGGGCAAGTAGCCCGCAGTAACAGCACGACTATCTAATATATGCCAATGGTGACTTGGCTGCTTGGGGGGGCCCGAGCTGAGTCTTGTGGTTATTGCCAAAGTAATCGCCTCATTTCCCGGATGGAATGCTGCGAAAAGACGGTTTTCAACTAATGACCTGTGCATCCTTCAGGCGAAAGGACGGAGTGGCAAGTACCCAGGATATGGCATACAACAATTTAAAGCTCCGCAACGTCATAATGCAATTATATGCTCAACCTCCAGACCTTCATCCTATGCGGGCAAACAACTCGTCTATGTACATCTACATCTAGCCTACACGTGACAGAGGCGGCGATTGGACATATACACCTCTCTCTCTGTCACATATTAGCGGTGAATACTCAGTTGCGCGTAAACCCACCAGGCTCCATCCACGGGTTTCCGCCGTCAGGAGCTGCAGCAGATTGGGCTAAGCAGGGCTCCGTAAACATACGTCTGAAGTTGCAGACAGTAGCGGTACAACTGTCAAAGCATTGTGCTTCAATGTGCAGGGGATAGGTCCATGGATGCCTCACCAAAAAATATGTATACACGTGTCCCTCTGCTTCACGGCATGTCAAATGGTTATACGTAGATGTTCCGAGCCACCAAAGTCACCGAAATTGAAACCACGTGCCAAAGACTTCAGCCACGGCCAAATAAAACAACCGCGAAGGCAGGTCAAGAGTTATCGACCAATGATTGCTTAACGTAAATGCAATATTATTGGCCAGATTGCTGGCCGACTCATCGCACGCCTCCTCGACGTCTTCAGTTTGCATCTGTCAGGCAACAACACGACAACACCAGGGACATGGCCCTTCGCCCAACGTTTGTCACGATGCGTTGGTTTATCCAGGGCCGCAAATGCACTGGCCACCGTGCACGAGCAGTGTTTGCAATGTAGCGCATGGCTGCGCCGTACCTTTCGGCCATTGGCATATCGCTGCCACCGGGGCTGGCTGCTCACAAGATGATTTCAATAATGCACGAGTACACACCCTGCCGATCCTTTCATGCAGGTAACTATGCATGGCCAAAGTTTCCGCAAAGCTGCCTCCCGACTTCAGCAGTACTCCGGAACCCGAGATTCGCACGTCATAGCATTCAATACTTATGTGGAAGGGCCGCCTTACCATATTTTGTTAATCATTCGCAGGGCGCCAGACCGCAGAGGATCAGCGCGCGTGGTGTGTGGTCTGGGCCCTGCAGTAGCCACCTTCGGCACCAAGGCGCTTCTTTTACCAGGAGTATGCAACGCCCACGGGCCCAGTCACATACGAGCGACGACACATTGAGATACACGACAATACAAAACGCTGTGCTGATTGCAGTTCCCAAGTACAGCTGTTTTAATGACCATGCGCCGGTTAAGTTCCTCACCTTCCCCGATAGATGCCAGAGCCCCGGGCGGCATTTGCAGGGCTACTTGCCTGAAGGCCGCTGTACGGGACTCTTCGCCCAATAGCGATGGACGAAGCAGGGTCTGCAGATTGCAACAACCCAAATGCCCCTGGACGATTTACGAAGTTGCTCTCCTGTATCCGTGGTGCTGTGGCGGCGGCGGCCACCGCGCGCACACTCGCACTCGGCTCCCCACCACCGACCGCCACCTGATCTCCAGTGTTGCCACGGCCCGGCATGTTGAGCGAGTTGAAATCCGGCGGCAGCGACACAGGGCTGCTCCCCAAATTCCTCAAGCCGTGAAGGTTCGCAGCGGCAGAAGCAGCGTTTAATGACACTGCCGGCTGCGGCACAGGCAATGGACCCGCTGGAACGCCCGCATGATATGTGGCCACCCGCCGCTGCACAGCTGCGACACTGCTGTGGTTCGGTGCCCGCCACGGCCCCGGAAGGGACACCATACTCGCAGACTGATGACCCGAATTCGGGCCAACCGAGCCTGGGTTCTGCGGCTGAACGTAGTTGGTGCGCCATGGCGCGGCATCAAAGGCAATCGCCTCCCCGCGCACCGAAGATACACCACTGTACGGGCTTCGGACCCATGGCCGCCCATGCACCTGTAAGCCGGGCCCCCCGCCGTGCCTGGTGAACGGCGGCGGCGGTGCCGTCAGTAAGGTCACCGTGGGCACGTTGCGGTTCCTGTGGGCGGTGTCCGCTCGCACGGGTTGCACTCGGCCGCCACCAGTGGATATGAGGCCCACTCCAAGCAGAGCCACAGCTGCAAGGAGCAGCACCCCACCTGCAGCGAGGCCGACTACAGCGCCCACCGCTGCCGAGCCGCACAGCGTCCCGAAACTGAACTTATTGGCACAGCTGTCCTGCGCTGTTGATGAAGGCACACCGGAGGGCGAGGGAGAAGCCGAGATGCCACCATTGCCATACACGGACTCCTGCAACGCCATGGTGACGGAGACCTACGGCAAGAAAGGCGCAAGTAAAATGGTGAAGGACAGATACCGGTACCATGGCATGCGTCGCAAGCGAGTCTGTCGGTCGTGGGGGGGGGGATGCGATGGATGGCAGTGGGGGCACGAGCGTAAATGAAAAGGGAGCATGAACAACAACGCCGTGAATAGCTGGAACATTAACTGCTTGTGCTCAGTCCCGGCTCGCTGGTCTGTTAACGGCAGGGGCAAAGTTTCAAATGGCGCTAATGGATGTAAATGGAGCAATGACTGCCTCGTCCTGCAGGTACATCGCTGCGGCTGCTGACGCGACTGATGCAAAGCAAGTACCTTCCACCCGGCTCGGCTACAACTCACCTTGTCTGGCGGCAGACCCATGGCTGTGGCGACGCCCTGCGCCACGCGCCCACTGTCCACGACAAGGGGAATGGAGGATGCTGCCCGGGGAAAGGAAGGAACGCAGATGGATACGTGGTGGCCGGATGCAAATTGTTGGCGTGTTTTTGCGGTGGTTTGTTAGGACGGACCTTAACATCCGGCTTGGTGGACTGGGTCGGGGCTCCAAAGAGCACAAGTTCTCGCTGTATGAACGAAAACCATACCCAGATTCCGGGAATATTATGTAGGCATCTGGTTTCGGGGTAGGCTTTGGCACCATTCATCATTTTTCGTCAACCGGCACGTCACGCAGGTGCATTGCCACAGCGGGGCTCGCCCATTATGTTGTCCAGGTAGGCTTTAAGAAAGACTTCAATACGGTGCCGAAAGAGTTGCGTTGGCTGAGGTTAGAGGAGAGGGGTTTCGTGGCCCTCTCCTGCAAGCCAATTATATATGAACGATAACATGATAGGAAAGCCTTTTGAGTCCAAACAAGGCTTTAAGCAGGGATGCCCTCTTAGTTGTTCGGGTTGTTTGTCCAAATCCGTGCGGATATGGCAGAAGAGAAGGACGCACGAAGCGGGGCGTCGAGCTTTGATGCAACTGCATCGGCCGGCAAATCGGCGTTAGGGGAAAACTTGCAGATGATTGGGCGTCCAAGCTGTTTCACTTTTTGGGGAGGGTACATTTTCATATGTGGGATTGATTACCCGCTGGGTTTACGGACGATAATAGCAAGGCACCGGATCTGCACGTTTTGAAGCTCCAAGCCGTGGAAGACGAAAAAGATATACTTTTGGACTGTCCAGCATATAGACATGCAGATTTCCTGTCGGGCTTCGGGTGGATTAGGCTACGAAGCATGTGATGGTAGCGGATGGCCAGTAAAAGTTGGCGAATTTTATCCACAGTATCTGGCTAAGGCGGGTCTCAAATAGCAGCCGCACTGCTATGCGTTTTTACGACATCTACCTATTTGAAAAGCCTTCAGCTGGCCCTTGGGTCTCCGGCTCGTATGGGCCCGCAACATCTTTGCAAGGTAACGCAACTCATGTGCAACACACACAGTACTGTCACTCAGCCCGTGACAACACTCACTGGTAGAAGTGGATGCCGAGGGCTCATTGGCTACAACGACTTGCAGCTGCGCCGAGATGGCTATGTCAGAAGGCGACGGTGGTGCTATCCTGCCCACGTTGCTGATGTTGACCTGTGAATGCGAAGCACAGATGGCAGAGTGTCGTTTATAAGAAATAGCAGGTTGACTGACACTGGGTCCAAAATGCGCTGCCGTCGCTCTGCAGCCAGCACAACACCCTAGTCAACAGAATGGCTTACCGCTCCAGACATCATGACCTGCATGATGGTCTCCTGGGGGCCAAATGAAAGGTGCAGGCAGGGGGGATCAGGAACGTCAGAGCAGGCATCAGTGCCACAGGCTAGGACTGAACCTGTTGCCCGCTGCATTGCGAATACGTTGTGCCCCAGCGGGATTGAGCACTGCAAATGCGCCACGCGGACCTACGACATCTATAGGATAAACGGAAACTACGTCTGCGCCTTTCGAAAATGGCCTGCGCAAACGTATGGCTGGCATTTCTAGGTGGCAAATCACGGGTTCTATATTAGGTTTCAATGTCACATAATTGAAACCTGGCGTGCCTAATATAGAACCCGTGATTTGCCATCTAGAAATTTAGGTTAGAGGCCTGATGGCGAGTGATAGTGACTCCAGCTGACCGCTGCAGGAGTTTAGATGGCGGATAAGGTCAAAAATATGCCCAGGACGAGCCCTTCAAAAAGAGGGAAGGATCAGCCGCAGCGCATCGAACCTGCTTTGTCGTGTCCTTGTACCCAATGATAGCCGCAACGTAGCCCGTACAGCCTTTGTCCGAAGCTACCACCGACAGTGTGCGAAGCGGTAGCGAAGGAAAGACCCACTCCGTGGCAGTGCTGGCGTTGATGCAGTTTGCGGTGACAAGGCTGGCGGGCCAGGGCAAAGCGGGAATAGCAGGGCTCACGCCTTTGCACATGATCGAGCGCAATTGGCCGATGATATGGGCAAGGGTTGGGCGGCTTCAACGGTACCCCACCCACGAACCCACTGGGCGAACCCAAGTTCAGACGGCGATGCATTGTAATCACTGACGCAACCGCCCCCGGTGTCGCGGCCGATCTTCGCCAGCTACTAGACGAGAATACGGTCAGATCATGACGAACGAATATCTCCAGGTTTGCTGCTCAATGGTCACCCCGAGCGGCCAGCACATTGACCGACTAAGCACCTTTCCCATGCTGCACCCGCGAGCTTGAGGACAGTCCGTGTACAGATTGCGTGTTTCCTAATACAAACCTCCGCAGTAGCCTACCTGCAATTCTGGAGTGAAGCCATGGCACACAAACTAGTTGCCATTGCAGACGCGATGGCCGGTGTACAGGGGGTGCACTGCGCCTGGGTCTGGTTGGCCAGGGGAGGGGGTCTCGAGGAGGTTAGGGGTGAAGTCGCACCTAGCGCTGCCTGCGACAGCCGCCTGCCTCCGGTGGCACCTCCAGCAGTCCCTGCGGTGCCTTCCAGGCGATAAATGGTGCCCAGGAAGGCGGCCACGACGGTTGTCGTGATGGATGCGCCGCTGACGCCCAGGGACTTGCCGATGTTGCTTGAAATCGCCTGCGAGATGAGGACAGGAAAGGCAGTTCCTTGGTTCACAAGGGTTCGTCAAGTGCTAGGCCTGGCGCACGGGAAGACAGATGCTAAAGAGTTAAACAAATACCGTGAGGAAACACGAATCGAAAAGCAGAGAACGGAACTCTCGCACCCTTACATACCAAGTCCCTTAACGGTGATGCGTGAACGTGAAGCGACAAGTGACAGGGAAGAAGAGCCAGGCAAGGACGGACAGCGCAAACGCCCTACCTGCAGCCGAGCCGAAGAGGGCAGCCCAGGCACCCAAGCTCTCATCACGGATTGGAAGCCCACCGGCAGGATTTGCGATGGAGGAGAAGGGGGACTAGGAGCCGGAACCGGTGCAACTAATGGAACAGGCGGGTTTTGCGCTGGGCTCGGCGCGAAGGAAAATAAGGGCGAGCTCGGTTCAGATGGTAACGGGGACGCAGGGGATAATGCAATGCTGGGTGGGAAGTCAGGGATTTGAGGTGGAGAAATAGACGCGCCGGGAAGAAGAGAAGGTGACTGCGGATATGCTGGCGAGGGTTGTGCTGGATCCGGTACTCTTGAGTCTGGTGAAAGCAATTGCAGTGGCACTGAGGGGGGAGACGTTGGGCTAGGAGGAGGAAGCTGCGGTGGTTGGGCGGGCGATTCCAACACAAGTGTAGGTTCGGATTGCGGAGGTGGCGCCCAAGGTAAAGAAAGCGCTGGCGAAACAAACTCAGAAGGTAGCAGAGGCAAAAAGGGTGTAGGGCTGGGCGGCGAAGGATTGGGTGATGGCGGCTGTGGGCTAGGCGGCTGCAGTGGCGGCGTAGGGCTGGGCGGCGTAGGATTGGGTGATGGCGGCTGTGGACTAGGCGGCTGCAGTGGCGGTGTAGGGCTGGGCGGCGAAGGATTGGGTGATGGCGGCTGTGGACTAGGCGGCTGCAGTGGCGGCGTAGGGCTTGATGGCGAAGGATTGGGTGATGGCGGCTGTGGGCTAGGCGGCTGCAGTGGCGGTGTAGGGCTGGGCGGCGAAGGATTGGGTGATGGCGGCTGTGGGCTAGGCGGCTGCAGTGGCGGTGTAGGGCTGGGCGGCGAAGGATTGGGTGATGGCGGCTGTGGGCTAGGCGGCTGCAGTGGCGGTGTAGGGCTGGGCGGCGAAGGATTGGGTGATGGCGGCTGTGGGCTAGGCGGCTGCAGTGGCGGCGTAGGGCTGGGCGGCGAAGGATTGGGTGATGGCGGCTGTGGACTAGGCGGCTGCAGTGGCGGTGTAGGGCTGGGCGGCGAAGGATTCGGTGATGGCGGCTGTGGGCTAGGCGGCTGCAGTGGCGGTGTAGGGCTGGGTGGCGAAGGATTGGGTGATGGCGGCTGTGGGCTAGGCGGCTGCAGTGGCGGCGTAGGGCTGGGCGGCGAAGGATTGGGTGATGGCGGCTGTGGACTAGGCGGCTGCAGTGGCGGTGTAGGGCTGGGCGGCGAAGGATTCGGTGATGGCGGCTGTGGACTAGGCGGCTGCAGTGGCGGTGTAGGGCTGGGCGGCGAAGGATTGGGTGATGGCGGCTGTGGGCTAGGCGGCTGCAGTGGCGGCGTAGGGCTGGGTGGCGAAGGATTGGGTGATGGCGGCTGTGGGCTAGGCGGCTGCAGTGGCGGTGTAGGGCTGGGCGGCGAAGGATTGGGTGATGGCGGCTGTGGACTAGGCGGCTGCAGTGGCGGTGTAGGGCTGGGTGGCGAAGGATTGGGTGATGGCGGCTGTGGACTAGGCGGCTGCAGTGGCGGTGTAGGGCTGGGCGGCGAAGGATTGGGTGATGGCGGCTGTGGACTAGGCGGCTGCAGTGGCGGTGTAGGGCTGGGTGGCGAAGGATTGGGTGATGGCGGCTGTGGACTAGGCGGCTGCAGTGGCGGTGTAGGGCTGGGTGGCGAAGGATTGGGTGATGGCGGCTGTGGACTAGGCGGCTGCAGTGGCGGTGTAGGGCTGGGCGGCGAAGGATTGGGTGATGGCGGCTGTGGGCTAGGCGGCTGCAGTGGCGGTGTAGGGCTGGGCGGCGAAGGATTGGGTGATGGCGGCTGTGGACTAGGCGGCTGCAGTGGCGGTGTAGGGCTGGGCGGCGAAGGATTGGGTGATGGCGGCTGTGGACTAGGCGGCTGCAGTGGCGGTGTAGGGCTGGGTGGCGAAGGATTGGGTGATGGCGGCTGTGGACTAGGCGGCTGCAGTGGCGGTGTAGGGCTGGGTGGCGTAGGATTGGGTGATGGCGGCTGTGGGCTAGGCGGCTGCAGTGGCGGTGTAGGGCTGGGCGGCGAAGGATTGGGTGACGGCGGCTGTGGACTAGGCGGCTGCAGTGGCGGTGTAGGGCTGGGCGGCGAAGGATTCGGTGATGGCGGCTGTGGGCTAGGCGGCTGCAGTGGCGGTGTAGGGCTGGGCGGCGAAGGATTCGGTGATGGCGGCTGTGGACTAGGCGGCTGCAGTGGCGGTGTAGGGCTGGGCGGCGAAGGATTGGGTGATGGCGGCTGTGGGCTAGGCGGCTGCAGTGGCGGTGTAGGGCTGGGTGGCGAAGGATTGGGTGATGGCGGCTGTGGACTAGGCGGCTGCAGTGGCGGTGTAGCGTTGACTGTATTCAGAGGATCTGATGGGCCCTGGGTTAGGGATGGCGGCCACCATTGATCTCCGGAATTCTGGTGCGAGGCTGGGCTGGAGGGAACTTCAGATACTAGAAGATTTCTGCTGGTCAGTGTTCGCAATGGCTTTGTCCTCCCATGTAATCCTGTCCTACGACCCTCGTGGAGAACGCGGATTAAAAAAGACTCGCTCGCTGTATAGACCTGCTCTTGAGCACTTGTGCCTGTAAGGGTAGCAGTGCAAATGCTGTGCGTAAGGATAGTGAGGAAGGCAATAGTGGTGAATATCTGCACGTTGGCCATAGCTGTCTTTCGAGGGCCGAATGCGTTCCGGGTGCAGCTGTCGGGACGACAGGGTCGCGTAGCCTGGATTGGTAATTTCGCCACTGCTGACTTCGGTTCGCCTGACGTTTGCTGGGCATGGTTCGATTTCGATGGCCTTTTTCGAAATTGCATGCTCTTCATGAACCCAGGTTGCCCTCCTGCGATAGCAATCCAAGGGAGGAAACGAATATCTTAAGAATAACGATTTCCCATGTTCTCGGACCAGGGCGGGCAGATTTGCGGAATAGAGCTTTCAGTAAGTGAGGAGTTGTTTCGATCAGAACACGCTTTATGTCGCTGCTTGACGGGCTGTCCAGCGTTCTTGCTTGTGCAGGTTAGTTTCGTTCATACACATGGGAAGACCCCATACCGCACGCATCGGGACAGGAACTGTAAAGCTCTTGAGTGCCTTTACGCATTTATACTCGCCAATTAACACGGATGGGGCTTTGACAACCGCCACACTTTGTTTGAGCACACAGTGAGCACACTTTGACAACCTAAGTGCTCCACCTGCTGCCGGACGCAGGCTGGTCAGTCTGCCGTACCTTCAGGTTGTTTTCGATCCTGACGGTGCTGCTGCTGCACTCTTCGATTAAACGGGAGCGGAGAGTATTTAACGTCCTCGTGCGGCGTCATCTTTCCGAGTTGTTTGGCGGTGGCTCCTGCCAGCCCTGGAAAACGGGCCGTATATATCTGACGGGTAGCGAGGCATCTGTACTAGACAGAAAAAATGATATGCACCTATTCTTATGCACTTTCCCCGCGGTGAGCGCATTGGCCCCTATTGGAAAGGTCCCCGAAAACATGGTTCCGCGTGCAATATGTACATCGCGAAGTGTGGGGGCAGCACCCTGAAGAGGGTACTCACCCCAACGCTACTAGCCTATCGCACATGGTGCTTGTACGATCAGCTTGATTCCAGCTCGCATACGACTTCCGGGTTTAGGCTTGCTCGCTGGCTTATCCTCGCGGTCCAGATTCCCAAGGACAGAGACTTCCTTAAGGCGTCTCTTGCAATACTCCACTGTATGACTTGACCCGCTGGTGTGTTGCTGTATCTTGTCAATGGTCAATTATCAGCGTGTGTGCTCGTCAAAGTAATCTGTCCCGAACATGTAGCATTTTGATTTAATCATTTTCTCGTATATTTACTCAGAAATAGTTCGTCATTACCGTGCGTTCGTGTTGCTTGCTTGCGATATCTGCGTGAAAGTCAAACACAATATATGTCAGCTGCAGACTGTGTGGTCACGTAGAAACATCATAGGTCAAGTTAAAGTCACTACGATACCCGTCTGAATGGCATCATCATGGCAGGCTGGGACTCCTCGCGCTGTCGTACCTGACAAGATAGAGCGATGGAGACGAAGCAAGCATGACAAGCTTGATATTGGAAAGTGATTATGTATAGTAATAGTGTCACAGTTTAGATTTATTACGTTATTCGCAGACATACGTGCATCCATTAGCCTACAGGACGCCGCGTGGTGTTAGGGCCACGTCCTTTACCTACTCACAATGCAATGTTTTCAACCATTTATTTTGACCTGACTGGCTCCTTGCAAGCTTGCAACTCCAAGGTGTCAACACGTCAATTCATTCCGTTCGTTGGTTTACATCAGACTCATTTCTGCGGCAATCTTTATCAACCCTCCGTTTTCTGCGCGCGCGGCATTTTTGCTTCATAAATTAGCTGTCCAGACCGACGGGGGAAAATGTGTATGCTTCGATGTTACCGTTTTGGACGGGGCGTGAAAAAACGTTATGCGTGCGGTCCATGTTCACCTGGTGAGCTCTCCCAAGCTCACCAGGAAGCCATCCGTGGCATTTCCCATAATCTGTCTTAACGCCGGCCTACCCTGCTGCTCATTTAAACCTAAAAACTTCAAAAACCTATTCACGTGTTAGGCTAATCTTCCACCCGACGCTAAAGCCCATTACCCCTTCTCGCGGTTTGACATCAGCTAGATTACTACGGCGGCGGGCCTATTCGGCCATGGAACAGGACGGGGGATCCTTGTCCTATGGTCAGGATGTTTGAATGCAAGTGTATCCTTGGGGGTGGGCGGCCCCCGTGAAGCACCCTCGTATGGCCTCTACTGCCGTCTCGATATTTTTGCCCACATCAATAGATTGCTTTGGCTGCCATCGCTATCTTTCAGGGAAGTCCCCGTGGTGTCCATGTTGATATCTGGGCTCCTTGGCCGGCAAGGCTGGCAAGAACTGTATCGCGATACACATCTTGTTAAGGTACGCCGGCTACAACCCTGGCCCGTACAATTGTCGCGTTGACTCCGCAGGTCCGTGTCACATCATTTTAGCGTCGCGTCAAATTTACCGTCTTTCCTTTGGTTTGTGTCTGAGACTGTATGCGTGACATCCGCAACATACACACCTACCGGTGCTGTATTGTAAAAACAGCCAGCGACGACGGCGGCGCGGCCAATGTCGTCGTGTAAGGAAAGTCATTGTCGCAAATCATCCGATTGTTATTGTGGTTTCGTTGCCCTGAACTTGCGCTTGATGGCAAATCATCCAGGACAAGTTGACACATGGAGATCGCGCTTGTTTGTTTGCCGCATTTGCCGTAGTCATCCGCCTCCATGGCCCGCTTTGCATTAAGACTGCAAGGATGATTGCGCCCTTTCTCCAGTCTCGAGCAAAACCTAAAACCCTAAAACCCTGACACCGTACATGTTTAGGGCGGTTTCCGGTTAGGGCTTGTTTCCGCTTTCCGTGGTTGCGCTCTTCCTATCCCACAACTTCGGCAACCATCCCCTCGTGAGGATGGAAACGTTCCAACTCCTCTTAGCGGTCTCCTATCTCGACGCTGCGCCCTCCTCGAGCGGGAGTCCTAAGAGAACTGCTGCTCAAGCGCCGACCCAACGCCGACCTAAAAAACAACGATGATTATGCGTGCTGGACAACCCCAGCCACAGCCAGTAACACGTAATAGCCCTCTGCAACATCATCCGACCACAGCATGCATGGGCCTCTCCAGAACGCAACCCGGGCACCGGCCCTCCGCCAACCCCACGCCGCGCTGCTCCAGGCCGTTAATCAACCCCGCCCGCTCACCAGCCCGTAGCCCACACAGGCACAACCGCGTTCCCAGCGCTGCTGCCGTTCGCGCCAGGCCCTCTGCAGCGGACGCTGCCCTTGCCCTGTGCCCGTCCTCGCAGCCCCACCACGCGTCCTCCTGCCTAACGGCACTACCAGAAATACCCACCCAGAGCCCCGGTACGGAAAGACACAGACACCCTAGGGCGGGTCTCGCTCTGTCCAAGACCCTCACCAAGCGACTAAAGAGAGCCTCAATGCCCTCAGCGGCAGAGGACGACCCTGCCGTCAGTTCCGATCCTGCCGCGTCCCAGCCCGCAGCCGTGACCAGCTTGAGCGTCTCAACAGATGTCACTCGCACCAACGCCGCATCATTGCTGGGTCCTCCGGCCAAGCTTCCGTCCGCTACTGCCGTCGCCACGGCAGCTGCCCGCTCTACCGCTGCCGCAGATAGGATATCTTCTGGCACGCAGGACAACAGCTCAGCTGGATCGGCGACATGCAGCTCCAGGTGCCGTACATTGCAGGAGCGCCGCAGAATCTCGGGCAGTTCCTTCCGCAGCGGCTGCACGCCGCGTATGCCGCTGCCGGCGCCGCCACCCCTGCCGATGACTCCGTAGCTCAGTGCCGCCGGTGCCGCCGCCGTCCTGCCCGCTACACACACGATCAGCCGCACTTCCTCCAAATGCGCCAGCGCGGCGGCCAGCTGTTCCGCCGCAGGCTGTGTGTCGTGTCGCCCGGTGCTGGGCATTGGTCCACCCGGCGCGTTGCCGTACTGCAGGGTAAGTGAGAGGGTACGCAAAGAGGGACACACTACCGACCACCACGGCGCCACCGCTGACCCACCGCCATAGGCGGGGCTCTCCGCCTCCACCACCAGGGAACGGAGCCCGGGCAAAATTGCTGAGCCACCGCGCCAACCACTACTGGCGGCAGGAGCAGCTAGGGTAGTAGAGGTGCCAACCGGCATCGTTGGCCTCACAGCCACACCCGCCGCCACAACACCACCAATCCGAAGCGACGTCAGGTGTATCAGCGCAGAGAGGCATCTAAGCTGATTGCTTGTTGTGAGCAGCAGCTCCGGAACCTCTAGATGCTGCAATACATTGAGGGTGGGCAGCACCGCCAGCATCAGATCCGACTCGGAAGGTTGTGCCCAGCCTAACACCGCCGCCGGCGCCGCCGCCGTGTCACATACCGCCAACGGGCCACAGCTAAGCGAGGCCGACGGCGTGCCAAAGTCGCCGCAGCCGCCGCCAAGCCCGGACCCACCGAAGGAGCCCCCGAGGCCTGAGCTGCCGCCGGCGGCGGAAGACGTCAACATCGTGGCGGCGTGCTGTGGTGATGGCATGAGCCTCAGGCACAGGTGTTGCAGCCCGCTGTCACCGGTGACGCTGCCAGGCAAGGCGGCGCGCTCACAGCACTTACAGCAGGAGCAGGAGCCACTGGCCCTGCCAGCGGCGCCACCGGCGGCGACAGCAAGCAGCAGTCGTCGGTGATACGGCACGAAAGAAATCACCCGCAGCTCCAGCGACCTCAAATTCGCGCGAGCCAATGTATAGAAGCTCGCAACCATGCTATCCGTTTGCGCTGTGACAAGACTACAGCTTCCACAGCCTTCGTTAACAGCTGCTGGCACAAGGCCCTGCGGCTTTGGGGCACACACCGACACCGGCTGCTGCGGCGAGTAGCACATCCCGTACAACTGGTGGTGGTGGTGGTGGCAGAGGTGCTGCAGCGGGTGCTGACGCTCCTGCGAACACGGTGCTGTGCCGGCGTGGGCGGCCCAGCAGCAGCAAAATCCGTTGCCGCCAGCGGTTACAGCGGCGGTGTCCCGCTCATCCTCTTCGGTGTCCACCAGCCCTAAAACCAGGCGGGTCAGCTGCGTCAGCAGCCCAAGACTGACTCTACAGCCCGCGCTGAGTACAGAGCTGCGGCCCAGGTCCAACGCGAGGCTACGCAGGCGGGCACATGAGCGCAATGCACCCAGCGATGGCACTGCCGGGAGTGTGCTGTGTCCTGGCGAGGCTAACAAATGCAGTGATACCAGCGCGGGGAAGGAGGCGGCGATGGCGGCGATATCACGCTCTGACGGTCCCGGCAGGGGGTCCAGCAGAACTAGATGGGATAGCGAGGCCCTAGCGGCTGTGAAGGGCGCCAGCAGTGGGGCAAGCGGTGGGGAAAGGAAGGCCTTAGGCATAGCGGTGCAGCCGGCGTGTGGTGCGAGGACGAGGGCGTCCAGGTTGCGGAAGCGGCCGACAGTGGAGGCAGCAGCGGTTGCAGGGGTAAGGTGACCGGTCGGAGATGCTGTCGAGGCCAAGCTAGATGACGGATCCGGAGACGAGGCAGGCTCGGCCCCGCCGTCAGCTTTCGGTTCATGAAATCGGCTGCTGGCCGCACAAGCAGCTCGCTCGCGTGCGCGATCCACCGGGCGGCTTGCGCATAACAGTGTTTGGAGCACTTCTGTGGGCAGCTGCAAGCGAGGCGGTTGCGACGATAGCCGCTGGGCTGTGATACCGTTTGGCGCCGCCACGAGGGTTCGCAACAGGTCCGTGTCGATGCGGAGCCGTAAAGCGCGGCATGTTGCCCGAAGATTGCGGCGTGCCGCACAGGAGAGGCGGGACCACACAGCCTCGAGCACTAAAGCGGGGAAAGAGGCAAACCTCTCCATGGTACTGGGTAATTCCATGTCCTTAAGCGAATTTCGAAGAGATGCCGCTGCCTACTTGAGCAAGAACGCCAAGGGGAACAACGACCAATAACGTTTTAGGGTTCATCACGGGTAGCAGTCACGAATGAGTGGCCCAATTTTTGGTTGGCTAGTGACACTTAAAATTTATTTGAGGAACACTTTCATGATAAAGTAACTAGATGTATTTGAGGTCTTTAATACGCGTATTTCATTGATGTCATTTGCACCATGACCGGCTGCTGTTCGTCAACGTTTTACCACCGCCGTATAGTGATGCATGACTACAAAGTACAGAGATGACATAGAAGCATGAATTCGAGCTCTTACATGTAGGAAAATACAGGTAACCGTCGAATTAGGCAAAGTCCGTTGCACCGCTGGAGGAAACTTAGCGTCCGCATACAACACCCACTGCTGCACTCGCGCTTGCAATCTCACACCTCGCACATCGCGCAACCTCGCCGACTCCGTTCAAAGCAGCGAACCTGGCTAGCCATGGCGCGCAAATGGGTCGAATCCCTGTACACGTCTGCACGCCCCTCCAAACGTTATGTCAAATTCAGCCCTGGGAACAACGAAACTTGCCTAGATACCACGCATGCCTGTTTGCTACAAATCACGTCTTCCTTCGACGATCCCGCGCCAACATGAGTACGACCGCGGCGGTGGGCACACTTGTGAGGCGTGTCACCTCACCAAAACACATGGCATCGTGTATGTAACACTACTGGGCGGGAAAGCAAACAGCAGCTGACGATTAGGATGCCACTCAAAACGGAAACCAAATGCCACCAGCTAATCCTGAAGCTCGCTAGCACCCAACTGCCTAGACGGAACAAACATCCCGGTGGGCGACCCACATGGCAGCGAGGCACTTTCAAGGAGCACAGCAGCTGCACAGCCATCATGCGCTGCAACTTGTCCAATGCCGTTGTCCTCACCATGGCAGTCCACAGCCGCATCCAGCGCCTCAGCGGCTTTTGCAGCACTGCTGCCGTCCACCGTGTTGCCCAGTCCACGTGTCTTGCTGGGGTTAGGGGTGGGCGGAGGTGTCCGATCGATGAACCCCATCGGCTTCGCTACACCGATAAGTTCATCCATCACTTGCGCACACCTGCATGCAACCCTATCCTTGGCAAGGTCTGGAGCATCCGCGACTGTGATGGCCGCGCCTGGCTGATCTGCTGGCCCAGGCAACTCCCGCATGCGCTCCTCCAGCAATGTCCTTGCATTCACCACATCCGTGGTGAAGAAGGCCGGCGCGAAAGGTTCAACATCGCGTGATTCTGACGTAAATGAGGTGCCCAGCTCGTACTGCTGGCGGAATAGCTGGTGCGCGTCAAATTTTTCCTTCTGCTCTAACTGCGCAGCTGACTGCTCCCGTACGGCAGCAGCTGACCACAGTGCGTCCATTTCGCCCTGCAGCTCTTCGGCAGCAGATAGGAGCTTTTGCTGGACCTTCATAATATCCTCGTGTTGTTGTCGGAAGGCAGCTGCCTCGCCACGGTACCTGTCAGCCACCTTCTTCGTTTGCTCCCGCAGACTGTTGTACTGTGACCTCCTGACCAAGCATGTATGGACGTACAGGGTACGTACGCGGTAAAAAATAACATCACGTGGAAAATATGGTCGTACTCGGGTCACTCCAGGCAATCTGACCCGTGGGTCACAGGTAACAAAGAACCCCAAACAGGATCGCTACAGGCGAACGCATTCAGAAACTAGGAACTACGCACAACTGAATACGTGAAGTACTTAAGCCTTGGCCAGTCGTAAAATTGCCTAAAAATACAAACGTGCGTGTGTTGTTATGCCCAAGGAGGCCTTTGATGCCACGCACCCACCTCTTTAACACCGCTGATTGTTCACGCATGAAAACACTACCCCGACCCAGGCCCCAGTAACAAAGTTCCATACTGCCTTCCCGTCTGGCTGCAATGACTCGAATGGCGAAATAGCGGAATGTAACCTTGCATCCTTTACAATCTTCGTAACACTGTCCAACTGTGTACTTACAGTGAAGGGTGGGGCTGGGCCCCCAAAGCGTTGCAGACGTTGATGTAGGTCGTCTGACGACGCCGGAATAAATGCTGTGGCGCATTCATCCATGCGGTGACCGGCTCCCCAAGGAAATTCAGTAATGACCCCATCGTGGTTTCTAGGTCAATAGGAACCAGCCTTTCATCCCAACTGGTGTTATTCAACATTCTCCGCGTGGACACAAAACAGCCCCGGGATTCAGCACCCATGCCGACCCGACCATCACCTGCAAGCATGAATGGGCATGTGTTGCATGGTCTGCCCAGGATATTTAAATCAGGGTCAAGTGGTGCATGTTGGCGGGCGAAATGGCTTGCCCATATGTACAGAGAAACATGAAGCAGCATATATCATCAAGGGTTCACATCATCAGCAGGTTGGCCAAGGCACATGACTGGATCCTGGCCACTAATTAACTGACCTGCAGCCGTTGCACGTTCGTAGGTGGCACCGCCCTCCCTTAGCTGCATCTCCCGTAATCCAGCAGGGTTGCGCGCCGTTGACGGCTCAGCCACTATGGACGGCTCGGCATCACTGTCGACGGGGTTCAACTCATCCATGCTGTTGTCTTCGTCTTCGTCGTCTATTGCGCTGGCGCCCTGTCCTGTGGTGCACCTGCCGACTGAAGCAGCAGCCCCGAGACGAGCAGCACCTTCACCATGGCCAGCGGCATCCCCGCCAATGCCAGCAGCAACCCCACCAGCACCAGCTGCACCGCCGCCATAGCCAGTGCCTACCTGGCCATCACCAGGTACACCAGTCACAGGGCCAGCTGCACCGCCGCCATGGCCAGTGCCGATCCTGCCAGCACCAGTGGCACGCCCGCCAGCACCAGCAGTGCCCCCACCGCTTTGCATCCCTGCACTTCTCCTGGCGGCTGGTGCTGTTTGACGTCCCCTTTCCTCCACCCTTCCCGCCCCACCCCCTTGTATGTTGTCGTGTCCATCTTCAGGTGCACCCTCAGCAGCACCAGCAGCACCAGCAGCACCAGCGCTGCCAGCGAGCACGTCACCTTGCCCACCTATGCCAGGCCCACCTGCTTAAGGCAGTGCTACCCCCCTAGCTTCCTCGGTGTTTTTCTTTCCCCGCTGCTTATGACTGGCAAGGGCGCAGGGGTGGGGCTTGTCCCACACATGGGCGTACTCAGGGATCTTAGATGCAGGCAGCTTCAACTTCGACAGCTCCCTGCGCACTTCTGCAAGGGACATGTACTCCACATGGTCCCTGCAGTTGCCTGTGTTCACATGCGGCAGCTTGTGCTTCTTGTGGGAAACCCTTTGCTCCTCGTGCACACACAAGGCAAGCACCAATAATTTGTGGTTTATATATAGGAACGTACTTCAGCAACAGCCGCGCGTCCCTGGCAACTGCAGTAACAGCATACCGAATGCGTTGCGCCTGCCATAGCTTAAAAATCCAAGAAACATTTATAAAATGGTCATTGTTAAACAGGTCCGGGTCATGCATCTTGCGTAGACTTCGTACGCTGGAATGCGGATACAACAGCTCGCGAGGGCTCCCCTGCGACAATGCTACACAAGCCCGCGGCGCTCTTACGAATGAGCACACAGGTCCCTTATATCTATAGTAGCTTATTGGGTGCCACAACGCTTGTGAAAACGTCACGTAGGTTTGCCGACGGCAGACTAACCACGTCCATGCTTTGCCGAAGTACGCGCACAAGTACGCTTACTGGACAACGCTTACCAAAACCCGCTATTTGTAACATAATTTGAAGCAAACAATTGCTTACGGCTTGGAGCCATGGAGTGGGAACCCATAATGTGTGAACGTATAGGGACGTATTGGATCTTAGGAACAACTGTGTTCCTGCGCCCGCGCATCCGGCGGTAACAGCATACCGAGTGCGTTGCTCTTGCCAGAGGCTAACGTTCCAGTAAACATGAATAATGTTTTGGGCATCGCTCAATAGAGCAGGGTCATGCATCTTGCGTAGACTTCGTACGCTGGAATGCGGATACAACAGCTCGCGAGGGCTCCACTGCGACAATGCTACGCAAGCCCGCGGCGCTGATATAAATGAGCAAACAGGTCCCTTATATCTATAATAGCTTATTGGGTGCCACAACGCGTGTGAAAACGTGACGTAGGTTTGCCGACGGCAGACTAGCAACGTCCATGTTATGCCGAAGTACGCGCACAAGTACGCTTACTGGACAACGCTTACCAAAACCCGCTATTTGTAACATAATTTGAAGCAAACAATTGCTTACGGCTTGGAGCCATGGAGTGGGAACCCATAATGTGTGAACGTATAGGGACGTATTGGAACGTACATCCTGTGTGCTTCCTGTGCCCGCAACATCCGGCGGTAACAGCATACCGAGTGCGTTGCTCTTGCCAGAGGCTGCCGTTCCACGAAACAATTTATAATGACAAAAGTATCACTGAATATAACAGGGTCATGCATGTTGCCTAGACTTCGTACGCTGGAATGCGGATACAACAGCTCGCGAGGGCTTCCCTGAGACATTGCCACACAAGCCTGCAGCGCATTTATGAATGAGCAAACAAGTACCTTAAACTTATAATAGCTTCTTAAGTGTCACAGGTTTGCCGATGGCAGACTAACAACGTCCAAAAGTACGCGCTTTCATCTCACATACCCGAGACTGGGCCCGCCCACGGGCAGAATCCTGCAAATGCGCGACCTTCAAGCAATATGAAGTTAATAAAAGCCAAAAGAAGTGCGCTGCGGCGCATTAGGCATTACAAATTCGCCCACCGCCGGCGTTACCCGTAATTACCCCACCGCCGGCGTTACGCACTTCGCCGGCATTTTCCTAAGATGCTGCAACGAAGCGTTTCACTGTATAAAGAGCGCTTTGCTCATACAAAGTATCGTAGTCTGCATTGTACCTACAGCTCCACAAGTAAAACGCGTACCTGCAGTGTAACATAAATGTCCTCTCAGAGGGTAAAAAACATTTTACAGCAGGTAGCCGACCTCACTCCAAACGAGCTAGCGCAATTGCTGAAGGGCATTTGCAACAGTAAAAACAAAGACCGGCTGCCAAAGGCGTTTCAGTCCGTTGAGGTCAACGAAGCCATCGCGACCTCAGTCCGTGAATACCTAGACTGTACTCGGCGGACCGGTGGCCAACGCAAGGACCTGAAGCTTGGCTGGAGTGCCGTTGCTACTGCTGTGTCAGGTATAATTGCACCTCGGGCCACTGATGTAATACCGGCGGTTGCATGTCCTTCAGCCATGTGCCACTATCCTTCCTGGCTGTTGGCATCGTGTGCAGGTCAAGCAGTAATTAAAGGGCGGCTTGTTTCCGCTGTGAATAAGCGATTAGGCTTAAAACAAACCGTAATTAGGCTGCACGCCCGCCGTCACGAGGAAGTCATCAGTGGGTCACACACACAGCCATATGAACCCTACCGGCTGGTACAACGCTGTGACCGTACAACGCTGTGACCGTACCAGCGAGGAAACTTTGCATTTTGTTAGAAATTTCTGGTTGGCGAACAGCGAGGCCAGCCCACGGGCCGACGACTACGTGAGGGTAACAGTGCATCACATCTGTGCGGTCATACCTGCCGCGCAAGTTCGTCCAGCGGAGCTACAAGCAGCTGTACTTGCAGTATGTCAGGTCATTGAAGTACGACGACCCTAAACCTGTGTCATACGGTGTTTTCTGGGGTGCAAAACCGCAGTGGATTAAGCCCTTCAAGGTATGTCAGGCTTACACGCGAACATGCTTGCTTGCGCTTATGCATTGGCATTTTTTGTTGGTGTAGACACTGTTTCCTACATTTTATATGTGTCCATACAGGAAAAGCAACGCAGTGTATGCGTTTGTGTAAGGTGCATCAACTATGAGGGGCTGGTATCTGCTGTGCAAAGCAAGCGTCAGCTCCTGCCACTCCACCCAAGCATCAAAAGGCTTCGCCGCCATTCAGACAGTGTCCGGCCGTTACCAGCTACGCTCACTGCTGGCTCACTGTACGAGGCAGCACTGTGCAAGGCCCCCGAGCAATGCCCCGCCCAGCATCCAGCGATGTCGTGCTTGGATGGCACCTGTACAAGCTGTGGCATACGAGGACTGGAGTGGCCAGAGTACCTGGTAGGTTGGTTTAGGGGTTACCTATCCAATTGAGTTTTGAGGCGCAAGGTGAGGCACGCGTTTCAGCACCTTTGCTCGGCCTACATCGCCGTGATCTTTTTCTTGTGGATACCGATTACAGCAACCTCCCACCATACACGTGTGCTGTGTTGAAGCTACAATCATGTGACGCAACAGTTGTGGGGTTCTGTACACCGGAGTGGAGGATAATAATCTTGCCAAGCCACAGCCGCCTAAGTGAAGGGATTGACCTGCAAGTACGCAATGACATGAAATTTCGAGTGCCTGAAGTACATGTTTGCCTCACTCCAATGTGCTTTGCCTAACATTCCACCCCACAATACCCGCAGTATGACACCTTGGCAGAGATTGAGACAGATGGCACTGACGGAGGAGAGTCGGGTGATGTGGACAGCGTAGTGGAAAGACGGTGACCAGAAGGAGTTCGAGCCCGGGACCCGAATCGTGAAGGGCCGATGGCTGTACCATGCTGATGGTTCTCATCTTCATTTCTATCGAGACGGCAGGATGCTTCTGTAATGTAATTGTAATGTTACAGAGTGGGAGGCTTCTGGGCCGCTTTATCACATTGTCAGTTCTAGATCATTTATCACCTTATAGCACCTTCCACCACTACCACACTGTACTTCGCCATACGAACTGTAAGTCCAAGGCGGCGGATCCAGCATCCAGGGACCCCTCCTCATCCATTCACCCGAACACCCGAAGAGACGGAGGGTTCGGCAATCGCCACCAATCCAGCGTGCGAATCTGGTCCATCAACTGTGACCTCAACTCCACATCTCAGCAGCTAGCCATAATCTCGCGCTCCCGACTAATTCGGGGGTCTCCCCAGGAATCGAACCCAGGACCTTAAACCGCTAATTGCAGTAGTGTCAACCCAGACCAGACCCAGATGCTTCTGTCTGCAGCACGGGTCGACGACCTCATCATGGCCAACGTGCCTGTGAGGACGAAGGACAAGAAGTTCTGCATATCAGAGGACACACATGCACTCATTTTGGGGAAGCTAACTGCCCGCGATGCAACAGCAGGTGGATTGGATGACTCCTCTGGGTCTGGTGTGGAATGGCTGGCTGAGGAGCGCGGAAGGCAACGCGCAAGGGGAAGGGCCCGGGGCAGGAGACACAGTCACAGCAGGGGCCAGGGAGGAAGCCAAGGGCCAAGGGGGGTTCGTAAGCCTCGTGGAGGGTGGGGACGAAGGGCAAGCCGTGGGTCAGGAACAGGAAGAAGGGGCCGTACGATGGAGTGAACATGGCAAGTAAAGTAGCCAGAGCAATGCACGTATGTGTCGCGAGCCAGGACTTAGGGTTTTAGGGTTTTCGTTCGCGCTTGTAGCAAACGGGCATGCGTGGTGTGTAGGGAAGTTTCGTTGTTTGGCGTCATATGTTCCCAGGGCTGAATTTGACATAACGTTTGGAGGGGCGTGCAGACGTGTACAGGGATTCGACCCATTTGCGCGCCATGGCTAGCCAGGTTCGCTGCTTTGAACGGAGTCGGCGAGGTTGCGCGATGTGCGAGGTGTGAGATTGCAAGCGCGAGTGCAGCAGTGGGCGTTGTATGCGGACGCTAAGTTTCCTCCAGCGGTGCAACGGACTTTGCCTAATTCGACGGATACCTGTATTTTCCTACATGTAAGAGCTCGAATTCATGCTTCTATGTCATCTCTGTACTTTGTAGTCATGCATCACTATACGGCGGTGGTAAAACATTGGCGAACAGCAGCCGGTCATGGTGCAAATGACATCAATGAAATACGCGTATTAAAGACCTCAAATACATCTAGTTACTTTATCATGAAAGTGTTCCTCAAATAAATTTTAAGTGTCACTAGCCAACCAAAAATTGGGCCACTCATTCGTGACTGCGAAGTGACTTCGCTTTTCGCTTTGACAGCATGTTCCACTGTCTGTAATACTAATGCAAACATGACAGGTTACACTTTGTGATACAAACTGAAATGAAGCCTTCTACGAAGTCGTTTCTTACTTCTTCAATCCTTGCCCTCGACTTCGACTGATTCAGGATCTAACAGAGTTCTAACAGAGTTCGAAAAATGGTAATTGAAATTCTATGTTATTGACATTTGGCAACAATGCATATGAAAGTCGACAGGCCTATTAGCAATGGCGCTTAACGGTGCCAATTCGAAGAACCCGAGCGGAAAGGCCTAACACCTAAGGCCACGAAAACAGCTACAGATCCTATGGCCAAGGTCATAAATCCAACACTCGTCGTTGCAAAGTTCGCTGGGTCCATCAGAGCCGTCAATATCCCGGAACCGTTGGTAACGGAGGCTAACTCAGCAATCGCAGCCTGCAAATCTTGGACAAGCCTCCGATGGAATCAGCATCTCCTTGTCCAATACTCCCTCGGTTGTTCACGTGACCTGCATTTTCGCCAATCCTGAAATACTCTGGCAGCTGCTGGCATCGTAAATGCGTTCCTTCACTTGGCGCGGGCAGACGATGCAGGCCGCTTGCCCATGCTTAATGCTACAGGCGCGATTCTTTCCATGCGGCCTTGCGCTTACAACACGCAAGCTTGACCATTCGCGACTTCAGTCAGCTATCACGTAACCACTGGCGCATCCGACGCGCCTAAGTTCCTACGACGTCATGAACGGTTCCATCCACAGTAGCGAACTGTTCAGGTACGTGACGGCCCCATGTGACGACGTCAACATATCTGCCGGTCCACGCCAGGGCAATATCGTCAAGGCCCAAGACAGTGCGGATGGTTATATGCACCGTAATTCCGCATGGTATGATAGATGACATGGCCATTGGCCATGATCGGATCAAGGCCCGTAGTTGGTTCGTCCAAAAATATCACCATGTGTATGGTGTTAGGTGTCAGGTAGCAACATCCCGGCTGGGAGAGGACCGCAATCGCCTGCGTCCCACCCGCCAAATAGCTCGACCACCGGCTTGCCCTCTTGCTGCGCTATGCACGCGACTAATGCGGCACCGGCCGCAGCTCAGATGCCTTCACATGCGTCCCCGCACGCCTGTCCGGAAAATCCGCTTTTGCGCCCCTCATCTGGCGCGCTCTCATGATTGCATGTTCATGCGAACGCACACGAGCTATATTTGCCTCACGGGAAAGCCCCTGCCACATGAGTACCCCACGCAAGCGTCCTCATCTCGGAGGACAAAATTTGCCCGAGTCCGGTCCAGATGCCCTCAGCGAATCCACCCGATGGCGTGGAGATCGCCCGGGGTAAGGGTCCGCCGAGTCCTAACACATCTCATGTTGGAGCTCTAATTCCCCTGAGCGCAGTTCAGTCCGGACAAGAATCCAAGTTCTTGATGCCCTGAATCAACAAAGCTGTCCGCTGACATACCTCTCATATGCCACATGCTGTACAAGCCCTTGCTACAATGCCGCTTAATCTTGTGCGCCAGCTAGCTTTGGAACGCCCGGATACCGGCATCAATACAGCAGGTTACCATTGGGCCCGTTAGCGACAGCGCCATCGATTTGATGTTGAGACTACTCACGCAGTTCCAAGTCCTAACTTGCATATCTGACTGCTTGTACTTCTCGGCAGTGCACTCACAACATTGCGCCCGTGTTCGAGAACCGGTATCCGTGTAGTATCAATGTTTAGTCCGGTGGAAACACCATGCACGGCTGCAGCGTCAGCGTAGGCAGGTAGAAGGGCTCGGCACAAACCCCTGGCCACAGCAGGACCCAGCACCGCCAGGCGCCAAATAGCCACAGTTATTAGAATTTGGGCCAGCAAAAGGGGGCTTGGAGACCTATCTACAGCGCACAACGGCAGCGCCTTGCTGGCAATTGGCTATCTGCCCTGGCCTTAGTTACACCACCAGGCCCGCAAGGACGAAGCTCTTCAAGGAAATATACACCCAAACACATGACAAAATGGCACATGCACGGTCTTCCTACAACGCCGACCCACCCCATATACCATTTCCTCGTTCAAATTTTAGCCACATAGCATAGGAAACTGCTAGCACATAGCTATGAATGTGCAGTGATGCTGCAGAGATGTGATAAGAGGCGGCGGGCCGTAAAGCCTTTACGTGGAGACATCGCTCACCGCCGCAAGCCCTATCGGAGCAGGGACCGGTCCACGGCAGCTCCCGAGCCATTCGGTGAGGTAGTATTAGAGGTGCAGGCACCGGCCGCAACTATGCTCGTCACACCCGTGTTGCGGGTTCCCCCCCGCCGGCTGAGGTGCCCAGCAGGGCCGGCTGAGGTGCTGCCTCCCCCGCCACCACTGTTGCCGGCCTGCGCGACCTCTGCTGGGGCCTGCAGCGAGCTGATTGGTCCGCCCAGCAACCGCCCGGAAGGCAACGCCATGCCGGCAGCGCCGGGGCCTCCACCTCCACCGCTTGCAGCCGTGCAGGCGCCCGGGCCGGACGCTGTTGCTTGGAATGGTACGGGAGACCCTAAACCTATCATTATCAAACTGCCAGTCCCGGCTGTTCCCCCGCCGGGAGCACCAGCGGTCGAGGCCCCAGCTGCGGGCGCCAAAGTGCTGGTTCCGGATCCGGTGTTGTGCGTGCCAGCTGACGCCGGCAAGGCAATTGCAGGTGGCGCCACATTGGTGTTTACTGCACCAGCAGCGCCATGCAACGAGATGTTGAGCCCGTCCGTGGTGTAGTGTCCAGGCAGGTGGCTGTAGCGGCGCTCCAACGCATCAGGCAGCAGGTCAGCCCGCGTAATCATGCCTACAACCTCGTGGGCCCTGCACATAGGTGCGCCGAGGGAGGCGACGACGAGATTAAGACTGAGTGCTTGGTTTGCCTTTGTTGCATGCGCCTCGAAGGTACGGGCAGCGCGCGAAGATGCAGCAGCATGCTGCTTTGAGATATGGTGTCAATCCTAGGGACGTGGGGTGATAGTACGAATATCCGGCACCAGAGCGCACCTGGGGATGACACAAATATGGCGCAGCCCCAACGTCCGCAGCAGCTGATAAATCTTGGACAGGGGTGCGTCCTCCTGGGTTAGCAGAAACGACAAGAATGACAACAGCATGGGAAGGAACGGCATAAGGGCATATAGCAGTATCTCCGCAGCAGCAGTAAGATGTGAGAAGAGTGCAGGATCATCAGCCGCCGCAGCGACATTGGCCTCCTACGTGTGCGCTACCCCCTTTTAAAACATAGCCACAGGTGCCACAGCTAAGAATGCGAAGCACATGTGGTCACCGCCTGCTGCTCAGGATCCTGTCGAGATAGAGCAGGCTAGGTTGACCAAACCTGCATCTTCAGTCACGTAGGCAACATGGCAACCCTGCATCTTCAGTCACATAGCTGCGGCCATGATACACAACCAAGCCACCAAGATGCTCAGCGCTAGCACAGCACAGCGCAGTGCAATACGGCGTACCTGTACGACGTGGTACGAAGTGTTGAGGAAGGGCCCTAGGTCCAGGTACATTTCCAGCGTCTCCGGGCTTAGCGCCCCGGGTGCCAGTACTCCCTCGTCGCAGCGGGGAACCGGGTCCGACATGGGCTTGGAGAACTCGGGCACACTGGAAAGGGCCCAGCAGCACCGTACAAAAAGCACGAACCAAGGGCCAGGATACGTGTCCGGACTTAGCGATTTGCACAAGGGGAAGGGATTCCGCTGATGGTGTGTGAAGCTGGCCAAGGTGCCAGAGACGTCACAGGTCTCATATGGACAGGCGGCAGGAAAGAAAGGTAGGAGGTGGATCCCAGGCAGCCAGCCAGGTGGTACCAGCCATAAGCCGTCTGAGAATATCCTGGCTGTCCTTCCGAAATGCCCTCCTAAGAGGCTCCAACAGACCTGTAGCCTGGGAGGCAAGGAAGGCGCTATAAACTCCCACACTGCGCTGCCCGTCCAACCCATCCGTCTCATCCATCCAACTGATTGTCCTACCTATACGACAGCGCTGCACGACTGCTGTTTTCCGATATCGCCGGCGTTGCTTGCATACTGCGGTTGCCAGTGGCCAGCAGAGTGAGCAACTGTTGACGCAGTACGACACCACAAATGTGGCGCTCGCCATCCACACCGTGGGCCATGACAGGGAAGCCATTGTGATGGTTGGAGCGCAGTGTCTCTACGAGTGACCGGACCTGGGCGGAGGGACAGTTGTGCGGGTAGGTTGCAGGTGGCTCAGCTCGGCTGATTGGCGAGACAGCATGAACAGCAGCGCCACGGACCGGTGGAGCCGGAAAGGTAGCCGAGCGGCAGCCGTGTCTTGTGTCAGGATACCAGGGAGTGGATGGAGTGCGGGCAACACTAAGATTTGTGCACTTGATGCGGGCGGGCGCGGACATGGAGGACAACTTATTATTTCCTTGGCCGCACCCCGTGGCCAACGACCCTGCGGACCTTCTCGAGCTTCATGCAGATCCCAAGCCCCTTATCTCGTCACAGAGCAGCACACCGCACCTTCTCGACCCTGCTGAAGGTGACGGGCGGCCGGCCGCAGCACTCCTTGGCGGTGATGTGGCGCATGAAGGCCTCGGGCTGCGGCTGCAAAAAGGGCAGCCCCTTGACCGACATCTGCACCTCGTACACCGGCTTGATACCGGTGCCATCACCCACGGCCTAGCAAGAACAAGGCGGGCCAGGGAGTAGGTAGGACGAAATGCGCGTGAAGACAAGCACACTGGAAGGGGTGACAATTATGCCGCGGCGGCAGCCATAGGCATGCTATAACGGATGCCAGGGCTAGCCTCCCCTATAACCCACCCACTTCCATGCGTCCCCACGTCCGCATGCGCGCCCTTTCCGACAAGCTTTTACGAGTACTGCGCGCTGGCCTTTCCCTGTACTGCACTGTCAGCGGCACTGGGAGCGAAAAAGCGGTCACGTTCCTTGCCCTTGTGGCCTCCCTACCCAGTTCCGGCCTCCTCGCTGAGACACTGCCATCATGTGACAGGGATCAGCGGTGCCCTATCCGGCCCTGAGACCCTGGCCCTTTGCCCCACACCTCCTGCCCGGCCCACCCTACCTTTGCCACCAGCAACACCAGCATGATGAGCGGCAGCAGCGCCAGGTTATTGGTGAGCTCCAGCAGCATGACACACGTGCACACTGTCAGGCGCATAGCGCCACCCAAGAAGGACGCTGCGCCTAGCAACGCGTAGGTGCCTTCATCGATGTAGTGCCCAGGATGCATGTCCGCGACGAAAATGCCCACCTAGTTGAACGAGATCGGCCGGGTAAACAAGGTAACGGAAATTGGAAATCATAAAAACGCAAGGACGTGGAACGGAGGGGGAGGCGGATGGTGGTGAGGTCAGTGGAGAGGGGAGATGTTGCCTAGGCAGGGCCAAAAGCAAGGGCAACTTGAGATGCTTGGACGTATGAGGCGCGCAGGGAAGGGGGCCCGACGCGGCGCAGGCCCGAAGTCTGGATCCAAAGTTACGACCCCAGGCTTGCCGCGGGTTTAGTCAGGTGCGTGCGCTCCGCCAAGGGCCCGCAAGCAAGCCCGTGGCGGGGTATGGCGTCAGGAATGCATGTAGCCGAGGAAAGAAAGGGGTAACGTGACGCAGAATATAAGCATGCTGCTTGAGGTGGCGCAGCTCGTCCGCCAGCTAGCGGGACCTGGCCTCGATGGGTTTTGCAATGGTATACCCCTGAGTTGAGGGCAAGAGCCGCACGCCGCCCCGCCATCGCCGTGCTTCCTCCTGCCTGAAGCCGTGCCGCACGCGCCCCGCCGTACCAGTCTGCCATACGCCGCCCCGCAAAGGATGCTTGGCACGAAGAGGCCCGTGGGTGCGAAGATGCCGTACGTGAGCGTGGCCAGGAAGTAAAAGATGGTCGAGAAGATGAGCAGTGCGGACACCTACGTGCGCGCGAGCGGACAACGAACGATGAATGACGCGTGAGGGACCCATTTCAGCAACTAGTTGATTCGCACACGTATGCAAGCACACAATGGAACCAACCAGGACGTGCATAAGACGTGCGCAGAAGTCAATGCATGTAAGGATTGTTCGGATCGGGTAGAGTGAAGACCGTAGCGGATTCCCCATGTAGCGAGGGCCATTGTTGCCCTAGCCAGCGACGCGTCCATGTTCTCTTACAAGCTATCAGATGGTGTATGTCCCAGGCACGGTATCGTGCCGTGCACGCCGCGCCCTGCGCGCACCGTGTATTCGCGCTTTGTTTTGGATGAAAACAGGTTGCGTATGGCGTCGTCCTGTGTGTTGAAAAACAACGTCGCCAGGTCGTTGTAAGCTCCTCGTCCCGCAACGTCCCTGCCAAACGAACGGAATGAGTGGACGTGGAGGTGGAGGCTGAGGAAGGAGGCGTGGTGGTGCGGATCAAATGTGCGCAGTCAGGTACGGGACCGAGGGGGAACCCGACGGAAAGCCCTCGAAACCTGTGTGGTCGGTACATAGTTCGATTTCGGCATGGCAGAAAACAAAATGGCAATAACGACAAAAAAATCCCTTCCCATGGATTCCCTAAGCATCGCCTTGCTGGCGGCTGCCAAACACCGCTCCGCTGGGCTACCTAGACACAACTCCCGCCTGCTCCGTAGTAACCGGCGCACCTGCACCCAAACTTGACAAAGTTGCCCGAGTGCAGGTTGTCGGTCCGCGGACATGCGCCCTCTGAGCCTGGCGGGCAGGCCGTACAGGCGACCAGCAGGGGCACCATGAAGGATAGTGTGGAGGTGAGCACACTGATGGCCAGGCCCTCCAGCAGCCGACCTCGCCGACCCAGCGGAGCCAGATTGCGCTTGCGCCACTCGCTCAGACGAGCATTCATGGCGATGAAGCCTATGTGGGATGGGGAGGGGGCCGACCGCGGGGCAGGTGGATATGGTTAGGAAACGCAGGCACCCGGGCAAGACGGAAGCGGTAGAAGCGTGGCAGAAGTAAAAAAACGGGAGTGGGAGGGAAGAGGTGAAGGGATAACGTACATACCGTGGGGGCCCCGATCGAGTTGCGTGGGTAGGGCCTTGTGCAGCTCATGGTGTCCAGGAAAAAGGTGTAGCGCGGGTAATGAGGATGAGAGGGGCCTAGTGGCAGGCAGGCGTGTGAAAACGAAGGCTGTGGCAGCTGCATCCACCAGCACGCTAGTGGAATTCCGCAACCGGTACTGCCGCTATCGTGGTGGGAAGGCCCGTACGGAACACCCTTGCTGTTGTTGTCTGGGTGCCCGATTCTCTAACGGTGCGAGGTCATCCTTTCACTTGCTTCCACCCCAACCCACCCAGACCCCAACTAACACCCACCTGAGCCCAGCAACCCGCCCAGCACCCCCAGTAGCAGCATGGGCAACAGCTCAAAAAACTCATACGTGTCCTGCCCCTCCTGGATTTCAAAAATAATGAATCCGCCGCTCCCAAAGAAGCCGCAGCCGTTGGAGCTGCACGCCTTCATCAGCACCCGGATGGCCACCGAAACCACTGCAGCGGGGATACGCAGGTGTCGGTGGACAGGGCGGGAGGGCAGCGGACGAGAGTGGGGGAGTAAGAATCATGGAAACGATGAGGAGTCCGGCCATGCGGTGACAAGGGATCCTAGTCAACCCCACCTGGGAACCCGAGCAAAACTGTAGGACCTCGCTACCTCTGCACAACCATGCCTAAGATCATATCCAGTGAACATGTAGCAGTCCAAGTGCCTCAAAAAGGGGACCCTCTACGTCCCAAACACTGGCCCTGCGGCAGCCCAAACCCTCCCAGCAAACCCTGGGCACCCCCCTCCATTCTCCGTCACCCAACCATCCCAAACCAGCCCATCCCTGGCACGCAAAGCGGTCCAGCCGGCCCGGCCTGACCTGCCGTTGTGAAGAAGGCTAGCCACAGCATCTGGTTCTTCCACCAGCTGGTCATCTCCTCCAGAGCAAACAGCACACCGCCTACCGGGGAGCGGAAGGCGGCGGCCACACCGGCGGCGGTCCCACACGCCACCATATCGTAACGGTCGCGGTCGTTCCAAAAGTGCCGCATCCAGCCCAGCCTCGCCGAGCCCGAGCCGCCCTGGTGTTGCGGGGCGAGCAGCAAGCGGACCCGGGTAGGGGTCACGGGTTGGGCCATGTGAGGAAGGATGGTGCGAGGAGGGTTGCCATGCATCAGCTGCAGCCAGACACGGCGGCGTTGCCTCGCCATCACCTTGCCAGGCCGTGCCAATGCACGCCTCAGTGGTCCCTGGGCGCGGTGGCACGTGCTCTGACGGTGGCACATGGACCACAACCATGCTGTTACCCGACCACCCAGGGCCCCACGGAGCCGCCGCTTGGCCAGCTGCAATCGGGCGGTAACGGCCCCACCACATCGCCCGCCAAGCCCCCAACTTCACGCTGATCCCCATCCCGCACCTGGCTGACAATCGCTGCAATGGCCGCGCCCGCATGCACGAACGGACCCTCCTTTCCGATGGCAAGCCCACCAGCCACACTGCCCACGGCGCCCACCACTTTGGCAACTAGGGTGTTAAAGTGGAAGATGTACGGCACATCCACGCCGTTAAGGTACGCCTACATGTGGACCGGTGGGGCCCAGACAAGGAAGAGGTCGCGAGCCGGGGTACCGGCGTTGGACAAAGGAGGGGAGTTACGACGAGGACACGGGGTCAGTGTTGCGCTCTGAGGCGGGATAAAAATGGACAGGGGCCGCGGCTGAGATGCGGCGGTAGGGACTACACCTGAGTCGTAAGACCCCGGTGTGGGGTTCGCCGTTTCATGTCCTGCACTGACCTTAACCATATGAACAGTTTTGCACACAAATATACTCACTTTCATGGTCGCTGGTTGGCCAAACTACTTGGCGTCCCGCTTATTTCCCCCCAGGATACCGCACCACCCTTATGCCCCTCGGGACAGACCACATCCATCCTTTTCCCAATCCTCCTGGCCTATACCCTCACGCATCACAGCCACCGCTTCGCAAATTGCAGGTTTCGACCCACGTCTGAACAGGAAAAGAGGACTGGGGCCGCTTGGCTACATAACCCCGGATTCGGCCCTGCCCACATGAAACATGACTTAGACTTTTCCTCCAAGATTCCCCAGCCACCCATACCGAAACGTAACGCCAGGCGTTCCCCGCCCCCGCCGGCGGGCCCCATCCTTCTCCCACACCAGCCGCTGCCTCCGAGCTCCTCTCCCCACCCGTAACAATTCCATTTATGCCTGTGTCCATCCGACTCTTTCATCATCCCTTTCTCCGCACCTTGACGTCTGGTATGCCCGAGCCCGCCGCCGCCGGGCCCACGTACAGCGTGATGGCCACCGACGCCGTCACCAGCGCGGCATTCATGGCCACGTACGCCAGGAAGGAGCCCAACAGGTTACCACCCTCCATGATGGTCAGTGTTGCCCAAAACTTGAAGCCGCTGATGTTTTCCACGCTCAGGTTTACGGCAAAGGCCGCCAGCGCCGTGGCGACGCCTGCAGAGACCATGAAGGCGAGGCAGACAATCGGAGGAGAGAGCGGCGTCGAAAGGCGCAGGGGGAATGGAGCCTGGTAGAGTGCGTGTGCAGCGGCTGCATGCAGCTGCACCTTGCGGCAGCAGAGTAGACGCCTTGCACACCATCACAACTCCGCAAGCATGTGCATTTTGCGGCAGGCGACCAACTGAGGCTGCGACCGACCGACGACGGCTGACTGCGGCTGCGGCTGCTGGCAGCCGACTGAGGCTGTGTTTTCCACTTGGACAGTGCAGGTGCTGGGCGGGATGATGGTTGCCTTGGTTGAGGTCGGTTCCATGAAAAACATAGGCACCGAAGATGGCAGTGATCGCCGCCATGTGTGGCGGCAGGTGTGGTGGCAATGGCTGCCAAAGTGTCAAAGTTCCTCATGTCCCCGCATGGACGCGTTACATGTGCGTTCTTCCTCTTGGCGCCGCGCCCCATGACTCTCACTGCTCAGTGCTCAAGTCCTCCAAGCTATTCGGACGCCGGAGGTTGATGTTGTTCGCCAACTTGGGAAATTTCCCCCGAGAATCCTAATGGCCATGCACGCACCAGGCTTTGCCAACCTGTGTCACTACCACAGAGAAGCCCGTTTGGCCCTGCAGGCCCCCTGCGTCCAGCGACGTCCTCAGCGCTCAGCACTTACGCTTGAAGAGAATTCATGGCTAAACCCACTCTACCCTGCAAATGCAAGGCACGTCCGGAACCCCCGCTCGGGTCCCGCACCGCGCAGACCCACGCATGAGCCCCTGCCCCACAGCCCACAACGCGCATTGCCCTCGGTCGTGATCCGGTAGTCATCATCCAGCACAGCCTTCAAGCCCCCCGAACAGCCTTCAAGCCCCCCGAACAGCACACATTCGGGCCAGCCCAGCTCCTGCCTGGCTTCCGCCCAGCCACCCTGTCCACGACCCACCGATGGCAAAGCACACCAAGTATTTGTTGGCGCTAACCAGCAAGCTGTCCAGGGACGAGCTTGCTGCCTGGTCCGCACGAAACACCGTGTCATCGTACTCCTCGTAATCCAGGCTTTCGTAACTCCGCTGGCCGCGGCTGTCCGTACTGCCGCCACCACCACCGCCTCCCCCTGTTGCCCCGCCTGATGACATATTCCCATCCAACCGAAGCCCTCCGTCCCTCCCGTCCGCACGGTCCTTCTGCAGTGACATGGGTGTAAATGCGACGGAGGCTGTAGAAATTCCCGCGTAAAGGAACGGGGACATGCGTGTTAGCCCGTTTGGGGCTGGGGCCACGGCACTGGCCTTGTTTTGATTACGCTGAAAGGCAAGGCTTTGGGATGACAACGCCGGGAATTACCCTGGCTGCCATAACCTTCAGACATTAACCACTACCCCAGCTCCTGCCTGGCCATTAACAGCTTCAACGACCCAAAGCGGGTCAGGTGAGGTCCAGTCGCAGGAAGGTCCCGGTGGGACCCCCGGGCCGGGCTCCGATTGCAGGGGTATTCCTGCCAGAATGTGTATCACCGCCGTGCGGATTCCCCTTCGGCAATCCACGGCGGCCTCGGGGCGCACGAGGAGACGCCACGGGCCAGGCCGGGCGGCCGTGGTTTGGCGGTGCATCCAGTCCCCATACAACATGATACGCGAGCGTGTCCGTATGCGGTAGAGTACATGTTTTTTTTACCTAGTGTGTTCGGGACTGTCGAGGAGGTAGATCACTGAGCGCCCAGTGGCGATAACAAAACCCCAGTGAGAGTACATACGCAGAAGCAACGCTGACGCTGAGCTCCCTGTTAACATTAAGGTGGTAATCATGTGGATTATGCAAGGAGCCGGACTAAGGTCGTGGGACAGGGGGTACCCTAGTACCCATGTCTCTGCATGATCCAGATGAGGTAAGAGGGGAGCGACGCTAGGAGGGTCCTGGGAGGTGTGTAGCACCATGCAAAGTGGGGGCAGTGGTCAGCTCGATGGCTTACCGAAAGCAGGCTGTGTAGCTCGGGGTCGTCGGCTTGCCGAAGCCGCGCAGAGCCATCCAGCACAGAGCATCCGGCAGGAACCACACCATAAGACATGTCGACCAGAGGATCAGGGAACACGCAACAGTTGTGGCTGGTCACCGACTGGCTCTGACAGCGCACGGGGTAACGGCGCATCACTCGCTCAGCCCGGCCGTCCCGGCCGACATTGCTGTGGCCCTAAAGTGAAAAAGTCTCCCAGCATCATATGTGATTTACGCGACGAAGTTCTAATTCGACAGTAGCACACTGAATTGCTGTTGCCCTGCCGGGAACCACACAACCGTTAACTCGCACAATAAATTCAGATTAAGTACAGATCGAGCACGTCGTGTTAGTAACTATATGGTCAGGCCGGTTTAACGCGTCATGGTGGGCGGGGCCATGCAGAGTGATACGAGCGTCCAACTACCATGACGCTCAGGGGTAACCTAAGTCCCGGCCGACTTTTAGGCACAGAAATCGCAAAACATAGCCTTCACGTTGATGGTTTTACCCCATATTAGCGTCCGTGATTCATAAGGGGGATTAGCAGTCTTCATGCCCCGTTCACGAAGTCGTTCCCGCTCATATAGTCCTAGAGCTCGCCCGACTGGCGGTATGCGGCGTGAAAGGGACCTCAGGACATCCCTTTTGTTTCGTAACCTGTCAAAGACCACGACGTGAGGCACTCTATCGCCCGTTATAGCCGCCAAAGTTGTTGTTGGCTTTCGCTCCAGTTTGACTCTTTCCTTTGTATCATGCATGCAGTGCTGATGACTTACGCCATACAACAGAGCGGTTCGGGCCCATTCGGGACATCTATTTGCCGAAGGACTTTTACACAGGGTAGGACTGTTTTGAACCCGCTCTGACCCGTCTGTCTGTGACCGTCAACCAATGATTGTTGCTTTCGACAAGTACAATCTAAGGAGTTGATCCTCAAAGCACCTGCCTAGAAAGTCTTACCGGTACTGAAAGGTCGGCCTAATGGTAACTTTTTCCAGCCCACCCCAGGTGTTTCGAATGTCAATTGCATCTCTGACTTCCATGTTGAGTTTTAAAGTTATCCGGGCGGACCTCGGCCCGGCGGCCTCAGCCCCGCAACCTGTTTTGTACGGCGTACAAAAGTTTAAGGTGGCCGCGTGCTTGCCACTTCATTTGGCGTCCCTTGTCTTGTGTCCCTTGCTGAAATTGGAGACCGTGAAGGTCAGTTGTCATGCCCTTATCCCTGCCACTAGATTGCCCTTCACACGTACGCCCCTATCCGGCTGGTCGATTGCTTGTCAAATCCTTGCTTGCTGCAGGGATCCTCGGGGCTTAGGGTTTGTCGAGTTCTCTGACCCCAAGGATGCGGAGGAGGCGCGCCACTCGCTGGACGGGTCCACTTTAGCAGGACGCGTGGTGCGTTTGGGGTCATCCGGGGATATAATTCAACCGACGCGTTTGTCGAGGCGGGCTAGCCTTGCTGTTGCGCCGGCAGAAAAGCGTGCCGCTGGCCTGTGGGATGATACGGAGTTTCGGTGACAGGGAAGAAAGCCAGGGCTGCGAGCCGTAGCGGAATTGCATGCACGAGATGGAGGGGTATGTCCGGGGCCATGATGGAAATTGGAGAGGCGAGTGCGCGGGAAGGGCCGGTGACGGAGTGTTCAGGTACAGGAAATGCTAAATCAAGCTTTCCATCTGTGGCTTCTGGCACAAGTGAATAATTGGCCTTCGCACTATCAGGCGTGGCATCAATGCATAAACCACGAAAGGTTTACCTTTCCTTGTTTTCTGTCCTTCGTGGACATCTACTGCGTGGCAACTCATGAGTGTGTAAAGCGTACCACCTGAGTTGCTTCTGCAAAGCAGCAATGAGGGGGCAGAAACGCTGACATGAGGCGATCACATCCGTGGTTGATTAATCTGCCATGTGCACCGCCACTACCATCGTACCTTGTCTTTGTTCACAGATTTCGGTCCAATTTGCCCAACACGGCCGGAAGCGGCCGGAAGACTACCGCAATGGGGGCAGCGGTGGTTACCACAGCGGCAGTGGGGGCGGCTATGGAAGTAGCCGCGGCGGCGGCTATGATCGGGACCACCGGGACCGGGGATACCGGGACTACGACTACGGTGAGTGAATCAGCGGGCAAAGTGTGGATGCAAATTGTGCTGTAATAGGATAGCCTCTTGCCATTAAAAGCTACATACGTGCTGTCCTTAGCATTTCCTTGCAAGGATGTACTTCCCAGTACATTCCTGCAGTGACCAACATGAATGCAGGCATGCCTACTTTAAATGCCCCTAAACCTGTTGGTAATGAACTGGCCGAGAGGTAGCAGGAAACAATATGCGTTCTGGCCTTTTCACTGCTAAAAGGTCGTGACCGGGACTATCGTGACCGCGATCGGGACTACCGCGATCGGGACCGGGACTACCGAGACAGGGACCGGGACCGGGACTACCGGGGCAAGGAGCGTGACCGGGACCGAGACAGCCGACGGCATAGTCGCAGCCCGCGACGTGGCCGCAGCCGGTCTCCGCGCCGCAGCCCTCGCCGGGACAGGTGAGATGCGAGGGAGGGGGTACGCGTGGGCTACGGACGGCTGAGACCTCTGAACGGGGTAATGCCTTCTAACGCGCAGCCAACCGTTTCTGCGGTGTGCCTGCGGACCGAGTCAAGTGTCACCTGCTGCTCAAAGCGCTTCTGTTGTTTCCATCATTACTTGCTCTTTTTACCCCCAGGTCCGTGAGCCGTAGCCGCTCCCCGCCGCCCAACGTTAATAACGACACTCGAGACCGGGAAATCCGGGACGACCGTGGCCGGGACCGGGAACGGTCACCAGATCAAGGCAGGAGGGATAGCGGCAGGGAGCTGGCCCGCTCGCCGGATGCAAGGAGCCCGACACCGAACCGGTAAGGGGTTCCGGGCCTAGGACGTTGGGCTCTGGGATTCAAGGGGCGCACTCTAGCGTGGCGTTGTCAGTGCTGCTTTCAAGGTTGTTGCACGCGCTGCGTCGTGAGATGGCGTTTGAGATCTCCGTGGCGTGTTGATCTGCAGGGAATGAATGCAGGGCAAAGGTGGAGACGTAACATTTGTGCGGCTTACAGGACGAGACAACAAGGCGGCTGCAAGGTTACGGCCCTGCTTGCCTCTTGGGGACGCCGTGGCTCTACACCGCTCTTCTGCCTCTGTAGACAGTGACCATGGCGGGTTGCGATGGGGTTAGGCCTGCAGCACGTTCATTAAGGGGCAGGGGGCTATAGGGTTCTACAAATTTAGGGATGTTACAATGGCAAGGGTTATGTCAAGGGCTTTAGATCCGGCGCAGCGGCATCAGGGTAGTCTGCCTGGAAGTTCCTGCGCTACATATGCTGGTGTTACTAGTGCCGGTCTGTACGTCTTGGCGTAGTGCAGTCTCTTCGCCGATCCCCGTCCTCGCAGGTCCAACGTCCTGTCGCAAGAGATGGTCCTCGCACGGCATGATGCGCTGATGAACATGGGCCCGTGATGAAGTTGACATGGACAAGGATTTGATGATGGGGCACATGGGCCGTCTTCCTCTGCCATGATGATGCTGATGATACATGACGGAAAGGTCTGCTAGCTGGCAATCCATCTTCTTGGTCTAAGAAGCTGTGGTACAGCATCGCCATTTTTTATACACTTTGCATCATACATGTGCTCGTCATACTTGTTCACGAAATTTTTAATATATATATTGTAACAAAATTACGGTAATGTGAATAGATACATGATTTTCACGAATACTGATAACGTTCGTTTAAGATCAAGGTGTACGTACTGAGTGTATTCATTTCGATTACAGAATGTATACCTACAAAATAGGGGGGTCCTTGTGAAGCAGCTGCCCGCGTTTCCAAAGCACGTATGGTGTTGGATTGTAAGGTGCCCAAGTACGTTTGCGAGGAAGAGAATGTGGCCAGGCTGGAGAGGAAAGTGCAGTGGCATATTGGAATGTGAGATTAGCGTAAGCGAGTTACAGGGCGTTTTATTGCACGGGCGAATTTACGTGCAAATCTTTCACCGTAGCATCAGTCCTCAGTTCATTTCTTGGAACGAACATCAGCATAGGTGCAAGCCCTCTCGCTTGGAGGGATATGCAAACAAACATCCTGATAGGGGTAAACTCGCACGCTACCGAGCATTCAACCGAGCACATGCATGCTTAGTTGGATGGTGAGATGCGATCCCCCCTTCATTTCGTGCTCGGCAAGCCTGCCACCGCGTACCGGATATGTTGGCGATGTTACAGAGACGCTGCACCTTGGTTTCTGTGCGCATTGCGTACGTTGCTCGACCCCGCCGACCAAAACTACACGTGCCCAACTGAAGACATTCCCGGTGGTTGTGCAGCAGCTCTTGAGGCTGTTGCTGGCTGAAATCCATCCTGAGCTGTTGCAACACGGCTAACGCGGGCACGTCCCTATGCACAGCAAATAGCTGTTCCAAGCCAACAGCGGCGTCCATGTCACCGACAAGGCTCTAAACGTCTTATCTGTTCTTATGTTTAATTAAGTTTATGTATGTTATACTTTGCGCAACTTTGTAATTTAACTTTACTCTGAACAAGGTGCTGCATACAACTGCCTCTTCGCCAGCGCTTCATCTTCCGCGGCGGTTTCACGAGCCCAGAGTTGCAAGCTAGGACGTTGGCATTCGGTGCTTTCAGTTACTGCAAAGCATCCAGGCAATAGTCCAGCCTGCATGCCGCGTGCGGCTATGGCCAACATGCCCACTTGCGCAACGCGCTGGCGCACGTGGTCCTCATCCGCCATGAAAATTTATATACACTTGTACAGGCGCATTTTGTGAATCGCACGCGCGCATCTGCGCGGCAAAATTCGCTCCTGATTTTTAGGACGATGTACGAACACTTTATTCGCGAAGTACGACCGGACACATTTCTGCGAGGGGCTGCTTAACCAGAAATTCTCATATGATGCATAATTAGCTCAGTATTCCTGAATATGCATCGCTACACAAACAACGAGTGGTAAACAGCGAAGGAAGCCGTAAAAAACATTGAAACGTGTACATGGGTCTTTTGAGTCACGATAGAACACATGAAAGGAATGGTACACCATACAAAACAAACACGTCTCTGGCTGAATTCTGTCGTTTCTTCGGCCGAAAATGGTGGAGTCTTGAAATGAACAAGGAAACGTCATTCCTTGGATTCACACGCTCACTCAAACCCTCGGAACCTTGCGCACGCGTCTGCACCTCACCCCTGGCGGCAAGAAACCAAAGGTCGTGTACAGATCACCAACAAGGCGAACCCGTGTTCACTTGGGAGACTCATGCTTAGTCACCCGAAGCCGTCCCAACGGCCAACCCCGCTGCTGCTTAGCCGGGATGGCGTGAAGTGCTAACGCAGGTCCACACTCATCGCAGCTGATGTCACATCTCATCGCCGACAAGCACATTATATCCTAAAGCCCAGCTTTATCGGCTCCGGCAGTCAACCAATATCCAGCAGCACACGAGATGTCTTTCCCCTTAGCTAAAAGGAACAACCAATACATGAAACCTCCGCCCTTCCAAAGCGGCACATTTATCAATTGGCGTGCCAGAATGGCCCTCTGAACCTTTGTACTCCGCGCCAGCTGAAACACCCCTAACGCTAGAGGTCGTCAGCTAGCGCACTACCAGTCCCCAAAGCCAGTCCATTACTGCTTGGGACTGGCAGTGGCAGCGGAACCGATCGACGGGAACTTGGGGTCCGTCTCGTAGAACACGATGTCGCCAGTGTCGGCAACGTAGTGGTCCTTAGTGAAGGAGCGCACCAACGGCTCCACCAGGTGGAATGGCAGAGGGCCCGGTGACTTGACAGGCTCACGGTAATAAGGCCCCATGACGGGCTTGACAGCCTCAGTGGCCGCCTCGAGGTTGTAGTGCGGGATCTGCAGGACGCACAGGCACACGCAAAACCATGTTGCCTTTAGCGCAGGCGATGACATGCTTACCGTTCCATATCCACAGCAAGGCCAGAACGTCAGAAGCGGGAAGGATGCGTATTTGCATAGCATCCATAACGCTGGGGTGGCACAGCACAGTTGCTGCAGCTGAACTTAGATGGCTCACTCGCCCCGCGCAACGCACCTGGGGAAATAGGTGATGCACGACGTGGGTGCCGATGTCATGGTGGATCTTGTTAAAGATACCGTAATCGCGGTCAATGGTCGTAAGCCCACCACGCAGGTAGCTCCACTCCTGCGCCATGCCAACCCACAGCGGTAGGGCGTAAAATACAAATGTCACAAAGTATTACGACGAACCATGAGTATTGCACATGAAATGTAGGACTGTGAGCGCTGCCGTCTTCGCCGCCCTCACCTCATCCTATAGTCACATCTGGCTGCCTCCATCCCAGAATCCAAAGCATGCTACAAAACATAGCCACCATGCCAACCACGAAACCTTTTCGCCCTCAGCCCATGAATACTGACGTGCATATATCGGAATGTAACATCCGCACGGGCGGCATGGGCACAGGTCCTCATCCGCTCCAGTCTTACCTCGCCACGGTACCAAGGCATCTTCTCATTCATATCGTGACTGCCGTGGTGGTGCAGGTAAGTAACGACATCGAGCCATACAACGTTGATCCAGTATGGCAGAAAGTACAAGTTCAACATGGCTAGCGGGCCCAGTTTGACGGTGCACGCCACGAGGACCGCGACCATTCCGAGTAGGTAGGCGTTTGTGGTGAGGACCTGCGGGAATGTTTACATGTTAGTGAACAACATTAGTCGGCGGACGTCCTGGGTTTGTGAATCCTCGGTTATACCGTAGAGCATACCTGAAAACCCATGTCCCAACACATAGCATGCACCACCGTTATCATCTGGACTGACTCAATAGGTTGCTTCCTAGCTGCCGCCCCGAACCCTAGTTGCTCCATTGGCCCGGCCTCTGACCTAGATGAAAGCATGCATTCCATCCACAATCAAATAAGGAGGCAGTCGGTTGCGCACGGACATTTCATATAGAGGCGCTTCGGGCGGCAAACCTCTCGGTTGACCCGTACCGCGGCTCATTTGACGAGCTTGTATCGTGTTTGGGCATTCACCTGCCCATTGCCAGATACTCATTAGGCTAACCCCGGCTTCGGTTTCTCTCCCGCCCACCTGGTTGCGCTCAGACTCCGTGAACAAATCGCACTCCGGGTCGTAGTGGCTACCCTCCTTGCCCGGGCTGCGCTTCCACAAGTAGAATGGGAAGGCGAAAAGAGCCCATGGCATGGACAGGCGGCCAACCCGACCCCAGGAGTCCTGAGCAGTGCAAAAGGTCCAACGAGGGTTAAGTGTCATTTTGGCATTCGGGGGCTTTCCAAGCCATGGGGGATTACGACTCTTTTTGAATTGCGCAGCGAGGGTAACGTAGCGTGCAGGCCCTTATCCACACAGGAGTTTGGATCATCAGTATGTAGTTCGAGATGCCGCGAGACCTACCAGTTTGTCGTAGAGTTTCTTGGTGACTGGGTGCCACGACTCATCGTTCTCGACGTGACCGTGGTTGGCGTGATGCGTGCGGTGGCTAATGCGCCAGCCATGGTATGGCACAAGAATTGATGAGTGCGTCAGATGACCCACGAAGTCGTTCAGGGCCTTGTTGTTCGAAAAGCTCTGGTGGCCGCTACAAGGGCAGCAGCGCAAGGGGCGAGGTACCAACTAAAGCCTGTCGACATCCGCGAGCATGGCTCTACGCACTGTCATACGAGGCACAGGCAGAGTACAATCAAGACGGCAAGCTTTCAAGGTGAAACTCCTCAGTGAAGCTGCACACCACTGGATTTGTACTTCAGCGAACGACAACACCGTGGATCTCTTTCGCTCACAGCTGCAAGGTGACATAACCATGCACCCAAACTAATATGGGAAAAATCTCCAGGAAGCTCTGTAGCAGCCCGAGTCGCGAAGCCACTTACCAGTCGTGACCGACAACGAACAGCGCCCAAAACATAGTACCCTGGGCGAACCAGTAAAGAGGCCACAGCCACCTGAAGGGCACAAAAATAATTGGTTATCATGTAGATGGGCTTACATAGCCGCTAAGAATGTTGTTCGCAGTGCAAGTCCCTCCTACCACTGGTTAATGGTGTAGGCAGCCGCAGCCAGGCCGAACACAATTCCAACATCCAAGGCCATATGCGCCATGGACTTGAATGTGTTCTTCTCCCAACATTGGGCAGGGATGGCAGCGCGCAAGTCTTGCAGGGTGAAGGGTGGAGGCGCCGAAAGGTCATAGGTGCCATCCTGCCGAAATTGGAAAACATACAGCAAGCGACAACAAGAAACGCAGCGGTGAGCCAAATCGGCACGGCCAAGCATTTACAACCATCCCATCCTTCCCTGTTACAGCACCCGGATAGGAAGTCATAAGTCCTTTAGTGCATTGCCAGGTGTTATTTCCGTTAAGATTATGTCATGGGCCGCATCAAAGACAGAACAAACCACTAGAGGTCATCAGACGGAGATATCAATGCCAAGTCGATAACAAGGCCCAAGTCTTACCGCATTGCGTTTGAAGCGATCTGTCGATGGCGCCTCAGGTATAGCTGCAACGTTGGCGACACGGACCACAGTCCTCCTCCCTACTGCCGGCGCGTGCGCGCGACGCGCGCGCGTAAGCGCTGGGACCCTAACACCACTGCTTACAAGGCACTGCATCTTCAAGTGCCGAAAGGTTGTACGTGAGGCGACAAAGAGCCGACCTGCTGATCAATACGCTGCCGGTCATTTTTAGCCGGGGAAATGTTTCCGTACGACCATCCGTGCATGGACAATCACATGTGTGCGAAATCCTCGATGAAGCTGATGAATCGGTAAGAGAACAATTCGACTGATGACAAGCGTCATTCCAAATAGAATTGATTGGTCACTTTAGGATCGGAGGCGTTGCACTTTAGGCCTTGGCAGCGTGATATGCATCTGCTATAGCTTTGCAGATAATGCTTCTCCAGTTGACCTTAAAACACTCAGTCGCTGTGACCTTTGGGCCGTTGGGCTCTCAGCAACCCCAACAGAAGTGTATGAAGTAAGTTTGTTATAAGATACGAACTTGCACGTTGTTACTAGATGAGGCCTGAGCGAGCTTGTGTATGAACAGCCACATTGCATTGCTCTGACAGACGAAGCCGCAAGCCGCAAGCCACTTCAGCATATTTGCGCTTGCGATCGGCCATAGCCGGCAGACACGGAAGCCACGAATGCGCAGTTGTTTACAACATACAGGCGCGAATCACGTACGTATTCGCGTAAAAAGATGGGCGAGATTTTGCGAGTTGCGAGCTTCGAGTTGCGACTTTAGCCGTACGTAAGAGTTCACTTCGCCTCGCATCCCGCAATTTGTTTGTAACCAGCCATAACGCGTTATATGCAACTTATTGTCGGCCATGCGATTTTTTAAAAATTACCAGGGGCGGTGGAAGGCTAGACGCTAATGCAGAACAGAAATACGTATTCGCTCGTCAACCCTCGTCTTGAGCTAGGCCAGTTCTGGTGCGTAACCCCACGAATATACAGGTCTGGCGACAGCAATATTATTGCCGTCGACAGGAAGCCTCGGCCTCCTCGCATGGCAGAATTGCTGCAGGCAGGTTTAACAGTATGGTCATTGATGGGCGATGCCCGGACTGTTGAGAGCGGCACAGGAAACCCGGATGCAAGCGGCCCAAGGACCCCGCGCCCGGCGCGCCGTGCTCCTTAAAAGCCAAAAGCTCAAGCATCTTTGTTTCATCTAGCCTGCCGGCAGGGACAGATAACCCCCTGCCGGCCGCATAGGCCGGCAGGGGGTGGCCGCATAGGTGGCCGCCACCTTCATCTTGCATGAGTGGTAGAATCTCGCGAGCAATATGCTCAAACGAAGGGAAATTAGCTCTGGTGGCGTCCAGCCCAGCCCGGCATTGTTTTCTGGCTTACAGATATCGTTGAGGAAAACCTTGTGACAAGATGGCCAACGGGCACCGTGTACCCTTTGTCAGTTGTCCAGCTTGCTCATCTTCCCTATTTACCCACTTTAAGAGCAATTGTTGCGTTCGGGTTCAAAGCCTGGTTTGCAAGCTTAGCAACCAGAGCAGCACGCACACACACCGTGACCCGCCGCACTAATGAGAAATACGCCCATGATACACGAACCCTCTCTCCATGGGGATGCACGGCTCGCGTTCGAATGCATTAAGCCAGTTGCAGACATAATTCCCAGGTCCATCGGGACTACATGTAACGACACCCAGGCAGCAATTACCGGTCCGGAAGCGCCACCGGTATAGATTATACCAAATACCCTGGATGCACGCACGCATATCATATGCGTTGCCTTTTCGGGTCCACGACACATGTTCACACCATACCAGTCCGTACAAACCACGTCCATCCCAGGCCCACAACCAGCTGGCCATCCCATACAAGATATGCACTTTAGACCGCATCTTTAATGCAATCGACAGGCGCCACAACGGGCATGCCTCGTGCACACAACCCCTACAACCACTCAGTAGTCACCTACTGCCAATACCAGTCAACTGCTCGATGTTCATCACATGTCGGCCACCACCGTAAGATCTTCACACGTGGGCAGTCCCCTTCGCTTAGGAAATGTTATGGAAGGGTAAGAGCGATGGGAAACACGCTGCAAGCAACCCTTAATGCAACATGCAATACTCTCGCTGAATCACCCAGCTGCTGCACAACTGCAGGGCTGTGCCATATGCGCCATGTGAGCAAAGACGTCCCTGCAGCCCATGACCATAAGAACTGGGCAGGGAGGCCCGGGGTTATTCCCCACCAGTGGCACCCCCTACGGCCGTCCTACAGCCTCCCCGCAATGCCGCCCGGAACCCAAAATAGGTTGTCGGCGCTGCCGCACCTCTCACGCCGGGCTTGGGGTCAGCTGCTGCTGCTGTTGGTCAAGGAAACCTTGGGCGACAGAGCCCAGAGCCTTGCCGTATTGTGCCACTGCCGCTGCCATGGCGATGGGGTACTGCACGTTCAGCAAGTACATGGTGGCCGCCCGCCAGTCCCATTTGGCCACCTCCTGGCGTGCGCGAGCACCCACACGGGCCCTGTTGTGCACGAAGAAGAAGAGGGGAGTAAGTGGTAGGCACGGTGGGTTAGGGGTTAGTGGGTACATAGCAAAACTACATTGCCAAGACAGGCGTGTGCATCTTGCGGCCCTGGAAACTGGGCGGTATACCTCTTCATTGCACATCGACGTCGAAAGCGGCGCTCTGGACGGGCAGGTTTGAAAAAACTGGCCAACGCCCCATCAGTCTGTCCGTCACGACATTGCAACGCTTATCCACATTCCACCACTATCAGTCTTGTCCACAATGGCCCTGCTGACAGGATCCCCGAACCCAGCATGGAAAGTGACAAATACCCCTATCGCACATCCAGCTGCTGCATCACCTCAGCTCAGGGTTGGCTGCCAGAGTTCCGATCAGCTCCGAAGCCTTGTCCACATCCGCCGGCTCGTACAGGAAGCCCGTGACGCCTGCTTGAGAGGTCCACAAGGGATTGAGGGCGGACAGTAAGGGCCTACAAGCGAAGCTGAAGCTGCTCGGTATCCTGACTGGGCTTCCTGTGCGCTGCTGAAGCAGGATCCTAGAGGCCATTAGTACAACCAGCAATGCAGTCTGCAATGGGATAGTAAGCCTGGCTGCCAGGTCCACCATGTCCGGGCCCTAGATGGTTAAACCAGCAGATGACACATGACATCACAGATTACTTAACTCCCCTTCCCGAACGTACCGCTGTCCTCGGGGCATATAATGTCCGGGATGCCTCCAGCTCGTACTGCTACCACCGGCAGCTCCGAAGCCATGGCTTCCAGCACCACGAAACCCAGCGTCTCACTCTCGCTGGGCATCACGAAGATGTCCGCGGAGGCGTAAGCGGCGGACAAGTCCTCACCCTGGTACGAGGTGTGTTCAGGGGAGGAAGGGGTGTTCAAGGGTCGGGATGGTTTGCCCACTTCATCATGAAGGGGCCGGGGCACGAGCAAGAGACGGCTGCACGTGCGGTTTGCCTCCTTCGCCCAGCTCTCTGCATGTAGGACTGGCACGGCCCACGGCCATGAAGCCTGAACTCTGGACTTCACCCCTCCATTCATCCCTCCCGCCTTCACACCCTTTACTCATTAACGCCATTTCCAGGCGCCTCCCGAAGTGCTGGAGAGAGATAGTGCTTCGTTCCAGGCCCCAGTCTTCTATCCCCCTATCAAGACCCTTCCCGGACTGCAGCCCTCACATGCAACATGCCCAAGAAGGTAGTAGGTGTGCCCTTGAAGGTGGCTTGCAGCTCCGAGCGCGCGGGACCGTCGCCCACAAACGCCAAACTGACACCTGGGTTGCGATTCAGCAGCTCCCTCAGAAAGAAAAGGTTCTTCTCAAAGCCCAGCCGCCCAACGTACACAATGACGGGCCGTTCGGGGTGGCCGCCCGTGAGGCGAGTGCGCATGGCTTCGGAGCGGAAGCGAGGGTGGAAGGTCTCCGAGTCGACACCCTTCTTCCACACCTAGGCATTGAACAAGCGGGGAAAATATGTACAGAAGAACGGACACAATAACAGTAGGGGTAATGGAGAGGGCGTACGGAAAGGAGGTACAGCGCGGCCATTTGGGCACGTCGTGCCCACTACGTGCTGTTGGGTGATAATGCTCAGCGCAACTGTTTCCCCTGACATCTAACCCACCAAGACTGCGATAATAACATCCACAGCCAATCCTATGAACCATGACGATGGCGAAATTTTACGCTAGGGCCCGGTCCTCGCAGTGTGCCGCCTTGCAGCAACGCTTCCCGTCCCAGCGCCCTCCCGACCCCAAGTCCCTATATGCACCTTGATACATGCCCAGCGTGCGATCCGCTTCACGTCAACGTACCTGGACCTGCTTGCGGTCATTCACCGCCCGGTTCGCCACTAGCTCGTCCACCATGGCGGGGCTGACGGTGAGGGTCAGGTGCGCCGTGACGTGCAGGATGCGCAGGAAGCCCCACATGGCGGGCACCAGGCACTGGATACCGTACCGCGGAAGGTATGACGGTACGTGCGTGTGATACGACAGTACAATCGGCAACTTGAGCAGCCAGGCGTAAAATTTTGCGGCAAAGACCATAACGCCTGGGGAGGAGCAGTGGATGAGTTCGGGCCGGAAGTCCCTGCGGGAGCCCGGGTGATGGTGGCGGTGGGGCGGCAACATAGCACGAGGAAGGACGGCAGCAGTAGCTGTTGAGGCGGCAACCTCCCAACAGTAACAGGCGCCGCTGGCCACATTCATCCAACCATTGCAATGACCCGTGGTTCAGCCGTTAATGGAGGGAAACCAATTACATAAAAGCCCTGCAAATCAGGCCCATGGCATTGAGACACGAAGGAATGGTATCACAGTAGACAGGACACGGCAAGAGCCAGTGGCCACGTGAGCGTTAGGTGAGGTCAGGTCAAGTCAGCGCTTCCATCCTCTTCTGTCATTCGAATGGTCTCTCTGGTAGTTCCTGAGCAGACTTCTGACGGAGTCAGCCCCTCCACGCCACGTTGCATAACTCCTGATCTCTTTCAGAGGACTTTGGTCCGAATGGCGCAATCCCCCGGATCGACCGCGTACCTGACCTCCCGCCAAATACGCGGGGACAGCGCGAAGCTGAGGGGCACTTGCAGGTACCAGGGGCATCCAAAGCTAAGCGCCGAAACCACTCGCGCACCACAAAACGTCTCAGGCTGGTCACAGAAGCTTGAGCTGTCCACGCTTGGGAGTGTGAAGCCCTTGCCTGCATGTAAGGCCAAGCCCCGAAACATGTCCGAATGAGGACGGAGCGGGAACGTCGGGAGAAAAGACCAGAGGCCAGCTGGACACGTGTCCCCTAGAGCTCCTCGGCGTTCGCATACGTCATTCACCGCAACTCATATAATGACGTGGTCATGACATTGACCAGAAGGCTATCTGGTGTGACCCAAATCAGACACTTATTGTTTGGAATACCACATGTTCGAAAAATGCTATACAAGGCGTTTTGTCCAAACGGATGTATGATACCCCCTAAGGCACGCACCTGTAGTGACGACCAGCACTTCGCAGCCCGCCTCCACCAGGTACTTGATCATGGTGGTGAAGCGGTTCTTGTAGCCGGATACGTAGGTAAAGGGTGACGGCTCAACGAAAATGCACACACGGCGTGGCGCATTTGGTGACCGGGTCTGCTGACCCGAAGTTGAGGGTTGTTGAGAAGTATCCCAGGTACTGGCCGCTGGGTCAGACACACTGGAGGTGGAGGCCCCGTTTCCATACTCGGGGAGGTTGTACGACGGCGTAGTGGGCTGGGAGCTACATGTGCGCACCTGCCGCGTTCGTTGACGCAGGCGCGGACAAGTTGCAAGGTGCCCAAGGACAAGGGTTGACGGGACCACAGCGGTCTGCACTTTCGCCAATCGGACAGCGCGGGTATGCGCCCAACCTGTCGTATGTCATCCAGTTTGGTTCAGCGCGTTTGGTAATCGATAGGTTTGCAGGCTGACACTACCCGGGCACTGGTGATCACAAGCAGACAGCGGTTGGGTCCCTCAGGTGCAAACGTGAGTTAAATTATGCCGATAATCGGTCGCCAATTCACTGCAGGCTAACGGCTTTTGACACCGTTCGCTATCATCGGGATGACTAATTAACCGTCAGCATTCAAGGCTAACAAGGATAAGCATGAAAATGCCACTCGACAAAGGGCACAGGGTCAGCGCGATGTCTTCATAGGCACACCTGTCACATTGATCAGGACGCCAACGCGCTGGGGCCTTGACGCTGCATCTGGAGCTGTCGCATGGTGAATAACGTTCATTTTGTCACAACATAAAGAGCGTCACTGATTTCTGATCACTGGGTTGCGTGAATCGTCAGGCCAAGAGGCCTATCGAAAGTATCTTTCTTGTCCTTCACGTTATGTAAAAAGGTAATATTTCAGGTGGTATTGCAGCACCTGCAGATTGCATATTAGATGGTTTCAAAATTTACGATCATGCTTCGGCATATGCCAATGTTATGCTTGCCGGGTGGACTATGCGCCGCACCTGATGTAGCCGCTACTCACGGCGTAGCCTCCTCAAAAATCAAACCGTAATCATGCAAAGTCCACAAGGACTAGAAGACTCGCATCCGCTCCAGCAGTGCTCCGGATCCTGTACGATACCGCTTGCCGTTGAGTTGCGCTTTAGTCAGGAAAGATGCAGGTTTCATTACTATATCTACATGAAGTCAATGAGCAATGTCATGTCCACAAATTGTCTTTGCAATACGTGTCGTGGACAATGCAGGAGCGCAATTTGCATAGTTGACAGAGAACTTGGATCTCTCAGCGATTCACACTCCTGGTCGTGTGCGTCTTCTGCTTATGAATTGAATTAGATGATCAGCGCATTCCTGCAATGCGACAGTGAACCTATCCGTGAAGCCTCAGCACGCTACAGGGCGCATCGCACCGCATGCGTCCCGCGACGAGCAAACAAAGCCGACAGTTAATGGGTTGCCCCCTGCCCCATCAACACTGGTTGACAGCTTAGCATGGCCGTAGGCGCCATTCCAGCCTGGAGTCGATGCGGCCCCGGACGCACGCCATGTGCGGGTGTCACGCGAGCCAACGCCAACGCAGCACAGCCTGTAGCCATTCACCCACCTGTAGAAGCCCCCGCCGTGGCCCCGCGGCCTCAACCGCCAATCTCCGCCATGTATTCCTTAAGAGCTGTGGCGCAGAAAAATGTTGCCACGTCCAGTAATAGGACCACCGGCGGCGGCAGCAGCAACGCCGTACCTGCAGCCTCCGGCGACCTCCGACTGGACCTCTGGTTTAGTCTGCTGCAGGCCACTGCCGTGCAGCTGACGGCTGCAACAGCTGCCGCCGCCACCGCCGCCAACGGCGTAGCGTTGCGTCTGCAGCGCCTATCGGAGCCGGCCCCCATGAACTTCCCGCCCGGGCCGGAGGGCGACCAAACACTTTCCCTCCTCTCCGACCCCCTAGGCTTCCTTACTTCCACCACTGCCCAGTACGGCCCGCTGGTGGGCCTGCTGCTAGGCGGTGAGCGTGTTGTACTCGTGACGGGACGAGAAGCGGCGCGTACAGTGCTAGTGGAGCAAGCCGGGTCGGTGTACGTCAAGGAGGGTACGGCGTTTTTCCCTGGCAGCAGCCTGGCTGGGAATGGGCTGCTGGTGAGCGATGGGCCGGTCTGGCAGAGGCAGCGGCGGCTGTCCAACCCTGCGTTCCGCCGGGCTGCTGTGGAGGCGTACTCCGGGGCCATGGTGGCGGCCACATGCGACATGCTGGACAACCAGTGGGTGGCAGGTAGGTTTGCCGTCTATCCTAGTACTTGGCTGCACAGCTGCGGGTGGGCGGGTGAATGGTCTAGGCATCTCACTGCATTTGCGTGCTGCGAGGGCGGGTGATCCTTGGGGGTCATCCTTGGCTGGCATAACCGGATGGGGGGAACTTTCACTTCTTTGAGTGACCCTTCCATGGAAACTGCTCAAGTGCCGGGACGCGCCTCGTGTACTGTCACGTACCGGGGAAGGTTGGATGAAGCTGGCATCGCTCCGCCTGCCCGGTGCACCCCACAGGCGGCACTCGGGACGTGTATGCGGATTTCAACGAGCTGACGCTGCGAGTGACGCTGGAGGCGCTGTTTGGGTTCGTCACCACCAAGCAGCAACACCATGACCAGCAGCGGCTGGCTGCGAGCGAACCGCCTTTATTCGCATCCTCCTTAAAGTCATCGCCATCACCGTCCTCAGGTACAGGCAGTGAGGAAGCGCAACAGATCGTGGCGGCAGTGGAGAAGGCTTTCACGTTCTTCACGCAACGGTACGGCTGCTTAGACAGATTTTGTTTAGGGGTCGTTTGGGGGAAGTTGGGCCCTTGAGCGCTGCCTGACCGACCGCTGGACATCACCCGCTTGCAAGTTTCCGCGCGCAGCCATACGCTAAGGGTCTTTCTTTCCTTTGAGGACGGCACAGGTTTGTCGCCGAAAATCTAAACGGAACGTGAGCGAAACCAGACGCAAGCCAAAGCAAAGCTTCAGCGACACGTGAGCCCCAGGGCATTGCATGTTGGTCCCCTTACGTGCCCCACAGAGCCGCGACCGGCTTCATCATCCCCGAGTGGCTGCCCACATGGGACAACCTAGAGTTTGCCGCTGCCGTACAGCAGCTCGACAGAGTGGTGTACGGCATGATCGCAAGGCGGCGTGAGGAGCTCGATGCTGCGTTTGGTTCACTTGCGGCAGCGGCAGCCGCAGCTGCGGCGGCCGGGCCCCGCGGCGGCGGCTCTACCGCCACTGCTGCCGCAGACGCCCTTCCTTCTGACTTGTTGACCAGTCTGCTGCTGTCGCGCGATGATGATGGCACCGGAATGAGCGATCAGGCTCTGCGGGATGAGCTGATGACGCTGCTGGTGGCGGGGCAGGAGACCAGCGCCATTCTGCTGGGCTGGGCGGCAGCGCTACTGGCAGCGCACCCCGAGGTGCAGGCGCGTGCGGCTGCAGAGGTGGCGTCGGTATGCGGCCGGGGCGTGGCGCCGACAGCTGCCAGGTGAGTGCGCGCGAGCAGGACATGATCCGTGCCTTGTGATGAGGAACTTGTGTCAGTAGTACTCCCCTGGGGAACGCGGTATACGCGAAGGCCACTACAGGGTGATAGTCCTCAATAAGCACGTGCTGACGCGCACCTCTAAATTCCTCTAAATTGCCTCAGTGTACGGGACATGCCTTACTTGGAGTCCATCGTGCTAGAGACGCTGCGGCTGTACAGCCCGGCCTATATGGTGGGTCGCTGCGCACAAGTGGACGCCACGCTGGGTCCCTACAGCCTGCCCACCGGTACGACAGTCCTTGTGTCGCCGTTCGTCATGCACCGGGATGCGGCGGTATGGGACCAGCCCAACGTCTTCCTGCCGGAACGCTGGCAGGAGCTACAGACCAGGTGCGAGATGAGCGGATATTGCGGGATGTGCTTCGTTGCGGGTCGGTGGCAGCCGTGGTGCCTGTCCCCTCAGCAAGCCCACGTGGGCAGCAGTGAAACCTACCAATGATGTAGCAGGCGTATAGTAGGGGCGCGTGGATGGACGGAATTGTAGCGGTGGTTGCCTGATGAAAGTTTCAGGCTACGGTGTGCGGGTGCTAGGCTGCCGTCTCGGGATGCCGTAGCTGCCGTCCTGGCTTAAATTGGCTAGACGGAACCTGGTGGCAAACCTTCCAGTCGTCGTCCGCTGCTCTGAAGCACAACGTCATCGCGGTTGATGAATGCTTGCCTTGCTCCCCCGTCCTCCTCCAGGGAGGGTTATCAGGGTTACATGAGCCTTATGAGCAACCTGGGCCCCAATGGAGCCTATTTGCCCTTTGGCGGCGGGCCACGCAATTGCATCGGCACCGGCTTTGCAATGATGGAAGGGATGCTGGTGCTGGCCGCAGTCCTGCAGCGTTACGACCTTACGCTGCCGCCTCAGACGCTGCAACAAGCGCAACATGCGGCTGTGGATGCAGCCGCGGTAGCCGGGGTCCTACCGGCGTCCTTCCCTAAGCCCAAGCCGCTTCTGACGCTCCGACCGGAGTCTGTAGTGCTGCGGATTACCCCGCGGTGAAGTCATTCGATCGCTTACAAGCAGAGTACACTAGGCGTGTGCCCCCGGCTGGCGCTGTCCCTGGCAGGGTAGATGAGCAAGGTGTCCCTCCACTGACACTATGTGGGATGTGCGGCCATGGACTGTCGCCGAGGAGGGGGGTAGGGTTTGAGCACCGAGAGATGGGAAGGGGCACCAAGCGTCGAAAATGGTGCTCTTGAAAGGGTTGTGGTCCACACACAAGGGCTTTGGCGGCGTCGGTTCGGTCGAATGGATTGTGGAAAGCAGCTGCGCCTTCGTGCTCAGGCGAATGAGGTCGTGGGCATGGCTCTAGCGCGGACATGAACTGTGGAACGGAGCGAAGGGCTACCGGTCCGTTGCGTAGTCTGTTTATGGCTAGCTCAAACCGCATTGACGCAGCAGTATGTTCACCTCTTCACATCCATCTTACACATTTTATGGAGTTCCGTTTAGTGTGCTACACAGTGCGCGTGTGACAACACGGATCAGCTGGCTGGTACGCTAGCTCGGATGCAGGTCCTGTACATACGGCAACCCTTATAGCCTTAAGTTTCACCGTCCGTCATTCGTTGTACCGGCAGCGGCTGGCTGCATTTTCAGTAGCGAACCCTGCCGCCCCGTTGGATAGGCCCCCGTGTCCTCTCCTCCCTTCGCCTGCTCGGCTCCTGACTGCCCTGCTGCATTGCTTGACTTAAGGGCAGCGGCGCAACTGCCACTGCCGTACACACGCTTTGCTACCCGCCACTCTTTCAACTGCAAGCAACTTACGTGGCAATGTGCTGACAACAAACCGCCGTAAGAGAGCAAAATGTTCCGGACTGCATGTAACTATTCTATTGGACATGCGACAGCACATCTCGTACAGAAGCTGAACCATGACTACTCTAGCACTGCAGCCCACGTGTGTGCGTGCAACACGGACACACATTGCGCCTGGTCGTAACCGACATAATGCCGGAATGCCAAGGAGGCTAGCGACGGCTATGGCGCAGGAGTGTTGTCGGTCGGCTCCGCCGCCGCAGACGTTGTGCCAACTTTTCTCTCCTTGGACCCATCCTCCTCCGTCAGGTGTCGTGCGGCGTTCCTGCGTTGTAGGAAGCCATGGCGGCGCGGGACTGGTCTTCAACAAAAAGCCGCAGCCCCCGCCTCCCAGCTTCTCTTCGTGCCGTGACACTAAGCGCCGTAGACAAAGCCGAAATATGTCAACGCCCACCAGACATCGAGTCCTGCACTGCTCCCCATCCAGCACGACAGCATGTCCCATGGCATCGTGGTATCATAGGACATTGCCCGTCGAGAGCTTTCCACGCGAGCATCTAATTCCCTGCGCCAGATCTCACCCAAGCATCTGGCCAGCGCTCCTTGCCGTGGTCCGAGCCACGTCCACAACGCCCTCCAGGGAGCGCGCCGCCTTGCTGCCCATCACCGCCGCGGCGCCGGCAATCCCCCCAGGGTTTACTTCTCCGCGGGACCCACTAGAGTCGTGTTCGCCTGGGTGACCTGCAGCCGGAATCGCATTTCCGGCACTGCCTTCGCCGCTGCTTTCCGCACTGCCGGCGACGCTGCCTGCCGCAGAGCTGGTAGAGTGGGTCGACAGGCTGATGGCCGCCTCTACGGCACGTACCTGCGGGAGGCGGTGGAAACCAAGGGCCGTGTGGGGCCCTGCATGATGTGCCAATAGATGGTTCTGTGGTGAATGCATCCCAGTACGTGAAGCGTTCTTGCCTGGGGGGAGAGCGAAGTCCTGCATAACCAACGAGCAGCGCCAAGTTGCTGGCGGGGATCCGGGCATACGCTTGAATATGCTTGCAGGTGCAGGTGGAACCCTGGTCACACCAGTTTGCTGACAGCGATGGACCCTCCCTGACTATTCTTTTTCGACAAGATTTCACAACAGCTCACAGATCTGCAGCTTGCCGTGTGAACGTCAGTCGCTACTAGCATGGGTTTACAACACGCCCAGCTGCCCAGCATGGCAGCTACGGCCAGCGAGGCACCTAACTTCACATCCGAAATCGACGGCCCGGCGCCCTGACAGGCCCCTACTTCCTCACCGCTCCCTGGGAACCCATCACTGTGGCGGTATGCTGGTCAGCGGCCAGGTGGCCCCGGTAGCGCGGCGGTGGCGACGGGAAGGTCCCTGGGGCGTCGCTATGGCCTCCGAAGCGCTCCGGGTGCGACAGCATATCTCCGGTGTTGGCGGTTCCACCGCTGATGAGCTGCTCCACCTCCCGGACCTGCAGTCGCAATGTGGCAGTGGGGCGACTGGGAGGGGCCACCCGCCAGTCGACATAGGATACATAGACCGCAAACCTGAAGACACGGCTGCAACCTCTGCTTGCACACAAGGCGGGGCTCAGCGCAATGCAATGCACCCTATACGGGACGCCCGGAGCCAGAAACGTATACGCAACAGTCCAGCAGCACTTGTGGGGCAGATATAACGGCAATACAATCGGCAGTGAGCTCATCCGTTTGGAGCCTAATGGTGTGAAGGAACTCAGGTGACTCGCACCTGCGCCTCACTGCCTAGCGTGATGCCCTTGGCCGCCAGCTCGGCAGTCTGAGCAGGAGACCACTCCGCCGCGTGCGCATCATCCATGATTCCGGTCATGTCCGACATGCCGGAACCGGAAGAGGGGCTGACAACCTCAGCTCCGACAGAGGTGCCCCACAGAGTGCTGCTTCCGCTGCGGAAGCCGCCGCCGCCGCCACTGCCACCTTCGTATCCATGTCCCCTACTACCCAACACATCTTCGTCACGCTCCGCGCCCACGGGGCCGCGGCTGGCGTCCCCGTGATGGCGCTCCACCTGACGCCTTGGTTCCCCCGTTGCACCTGGCTCCTCGTCCTGGGGTCCACCACGCGGCCGCCATAGAAATAGTCCCGCGCATCATTCGTCAGGCCTTGGTAAAATCCCAGATCGGAGGTGACTATTGCTAAAATACATGCTTCTACGGGCATTTAAGAGTGAATCGACAGGCGAAATCCGACATTGGCATGAAAAACCTATCGCAGGTGCAAGTTCACAGAACGTGCGCATTGTTTCGACAGCGAATACCCCTCGGCATGGAAAATGGGGAATACCTGCCCGTTGGGCCATAGAGAACTACACTGCTTGACACATGCCAAAAGTGGCTACGGTAAAGGCAAACGAAACGGGTCACACATTCCGAAGAGCATCTCGAACAGCATTCTTGCCACAACTACATCGTTTGTTTTTTGCTGCTACAACAAATCTGGTGCAACGGTGAAAAGGCGATATCGTCTACTCAGAGCTGCGAGCAGGAGCTGCCAGGCAGTTGCTAGAACGGGCACCCTCCTGCGCTGCAACGACACTCTTTCAACGGGGCCAATGCTAATGGAAGCTTCACATAGTTTCATGCCCGCAGAAGAACAGGATCCAGGAGGCGGGAAGACGCCCTTCCAGAAACCTTATCGTGGAACCTGCAGCTTGCAGCTCTCTGCCTAAGTTTCAACCCATGCCTACCCCGCCTAGCCCCGGCAGACCCCGTGCTTGATCGATGTCCTCCGGAGCGATATCCTCCATACGCCGCAGCACCTGAGGACATACGCCGCAGCACCTGTGAACGTCAGCACTTGGTGTGAAAGGCGGTCTAACAGGCACAGGTACAGCGCGAGGGCCGAGATTACACGGTAAAATGCTCCCACGTAATTGTATTGGATCCACTGCATCTGAAACCCCATCTCGCAATGATAGCCCCTATATCTATCTTCCTTCCCCTCTCGCCTCTGTTGCTCGCTTCCCGGCGCCTGGTGGGATGAGGTGGTGCAGATGCATGCCCACGGCCACATCCGCCTCGGTGTAATCCAGGCTACCCTGCAGCGCCGGGCAGCGGTGCTGCAGTGTGCCGCGAGGGCCAGAGGGTGACGTGGTGGGTTGGGGTAAAACGTAAAGCATCCACCCCGCGACATGCATAACGCAGTTGCATAACGCAGCGTTGCATAACGCAGCGTTGCATAATGGCCAACTGTGCTGTGTGCAGTCGCTAAGCATGCCTGCAAGCGGCGGCTACGTCATGCTAGTAATGGACTCTCACAGGTAGAATAGCTTAATCGCAGCTATCACACCGGTCAGAGTTCACCGCGCGATACCGGGCATGCACGACTCATACGCTGACCTTTCCCGTGTCGGAGTAATGTGTGTGAATTTCTTCGTAAGCGCTTACGTCCATATGAGGTGAAACCTCTTGCTCAGCTCGTGTATCAGGTTGGGCCCTGCTATTACGCAGCTGCGAATCCTCCCAGTTATGCGATCTGGCAACCTGCAGCATGCATCGGCGTGGAACGAGTTTGAACGAAAGCAGCAGTTTCCAAACCCCGACTAGAAGCGCGCACTTATGTCTCGAGCATCATGCATACTGACATCATTCATCGTTTGCGATACGCGCGCCCGCGACAATGGATGCCGTCACGGGGTATCCACGATAGAGGCACTGTTAATGAACATTTCAACGAACATGGAAAGGCTGACCCGTGGGCCGGTCACATTAAGAAACTCCTTCCTATCAGGCTATATCTGGCGAAGACTCTTTTGAGCCAAAATTTGAGGCTGCGAACCTGTAGGTGACGTCGCTTTTCGCCACGTGCTGGTCGATGTAAAGCATATGCTCCAAGCCGAACCTTGCCAAACTGCTTACAATAAAAGTTGGTCGTGCGACCTATCATGGTCGTGACAAAAACCTATTACCTTGCTTTGTATTGGTCTAGGCAGGTGTTGTAAGGTTTCTAGCAAGGCTCCTAATATGTAGTGTTCAGTGATACGGCTTGACCGATTTATATTGAGTAGAGCTCACAGTGTTGTGCGGAAGACGTTCCTTGAAGAGTTGCATCCGAACCGATCGAGATCCACCATAACAACCACGTGCTATTAAAATACTTCTCCGCAGAGGTGAGCAGTTTCCGTACACCATGGCACTGCCGTACCAAATGCCGGAATGACATTGGCTCTCGAGTTGGTGTTCTGGATCCTCTGTCCCACTGCCCACTCCTTTTCTTGCACACAATGTACGGTGATCATTACAGTGCAGTCTTCCGACGCTATCACAACGCAGCAGATTTTCGCCGAGCCGCGATCGCATGCGACTACCCCACTGCAGATCAAATATACACACGCATGGCTTTCATATTGTCAATCTTAATGTAAGCAAAGTTTTACATCCTTCGTCTACCGAGCGCCTGCCCGAACAGTCATCCTGCCTAAATCAAGTCATCGGTCTCCCATTTCTCGTTAGCTTAAGAGTCAGGTCACGAATGGTCACGTCTATCTAACACGGTCATGTGCCCAAGCAAGCCCCACGCGAGCAGAACATCTATCCTAAAGAAGTCTCGCTCAGTCTAGAGTTCATCATGTCCACTGGACTCCTCCTCATCCGGCAGCTTAATGGTGCCGACGTGAGCCGGCTCCTCCTTGGAGTCCTCGTACTCATCGTCCTCGTCCTCCTCGGCAGGCTCCTCGGAAGATGGCGGCGGGGCCTCCTTCGCCTTCTTCTCGTCCTCCTCCTTCTTTACCTGTAACCAGTATACATCACCGTTGGGTTATCCTAGGCGAGGGTCTAAGGACCTGTGTGCAGAGTGGAGATAACCAAGCCCGGCTGTGCTGCAGACACTGACCCGCCAAAATGATTCATACCTTATCAAACATCTCCTTCTCAGCATCCTTGGTCTTCTGCCAGGTCTCCTCAGCAAAAGCCTTAGCAACATCGAAGTCATCTGTGACAATGATGTTATCGAAGATGGAGCCCGATTTCACCTGCGAAAGCACGATGGAAGGAACGATTGACCACTTAAGCAGTTTGCCACCATTAATGCCTACAGAGCTCCGCATCCCATCCGGCAAACCATTAGGGCCTTCACTGTTTATAGAGTCCACACCTGCCAGAGCTCGAAGCCCACGAATTTGAGGTCCTTGAAGTTATAGAGGGTGTCATCGTGGACGTACTCGGGGTTATCAATGTCAGGGGCAACCCATTTGCCCTTGTAGGCAGGGTTCGGAATCATCTTCGGTTTCCACTCGCCCTTGTACTCAGGGTTCGGGATGGTTGGAGCCTCCCAGGCGCCGTCCTCCTCGTCATCCCAGTCATCCGGCTTAGTGGCAGTCTTATCCGGGATGGTAGCGGGGATGTCATCCCAGCCATCGGGCTTCTTGTCCTCGGGATCCGCAATCTCCTCACGCTCGTCCCAGTCCTCAGGTTTCTTGGCCTTAGGGTCCTGCCGATACAGTTAATACTTTCGATCGGCATCATTTCATCTTGCACCTAGCAATACTCACCGCCACCTAGCTTTCCGCTACCCTGGGTGCAGGACACAAGTTCCTAGCTTCAACAGACTTATTCAGGGCCTACCTTAACAGTCTTTGGAGGCAGCATGTCCCAGTCCTCGAAGAGAGAGCCCGAGGCAACCTCCTTCAGGTCGACGTAAACCTGCACCAGTGGGAACCCAGAGACGCCCGTCGGTTACAGATTCCGCTTTTAAGGACAAGCACTGCATTACATAAACTTTAATTACCTTGTAAGTGTTGTCGGGCTTAATCACCAGGGTGTAAACGTGCGTCAGCTGATCAGACTCCGCCTTCAGGTCCTTCTTGATCAAGTAATTCTTACCCTTGTAAGTAAGAATGACATGAATCTTGCGAGTAGAGTAGCCGCAAATATCAGGACCGAACATGACGGAGTAGGGTGTCTCACCGCCGAAGGACTCCATCTGCTTCTCGCTGCATGGTCCGAAGACACAGATCACACGTTAGCTAGAAACTAAGCTAAAAGCATTGTGTAATCGTTTCTCTCACCTGGAAGCTGGAATCAGCTTAATGTAACCGCCTCCGCAGTCCAGGTCTTGCTCATGCTTCACCGAGAACTGCAACAAAGAAACAACAACCTATCACCACTGAACCCAACGAACGGTTCTGACAATAGTAAAATACCTGCACAACTGTATCCTTGCCAGTGTTGTCGAAGACCTTGTCCAAGGTCGCATAAGTCGCAAAGAATTTGGAGTCCGGTCCCGTCTGGATACCCTTGTCCGCCTCAGCGTCGCCATACCATTTCCCGGCGCTGAGCGTAAAATCGCCAGCTTGACCCTCGCTCTGCTTCCACTTAGACTTCACCCAACGATCCGCCCAGGAATCTGTGACATTCACCAGAACAGTCTAGATCACGACTACGTTCAACTTCCCTCCTTCCCAGTTACAAGCACTTCTCACCATCAAAGGTTTCCTTAAGGTAGACCTCGGCGCTTGCGGCCACCGCCAAGGTGGCCAACAGGAACGCCACCTTCATTGTTACGGGCAGCAGATCACTACACCGACTCAGGCAAGGCAGCCTGTCTGTATAATAAAATACTAAGGCCAAACCTGACCACCTAAGGAAACTATTCGCCAATTGCGCGATCACCACTTTATTTAACGCGTTCTGAAGACAAAAGCGAGGCACGTACGGCGAATGTACGACGGACACGGTGTTTTCGCGGTTACAGACCGTTGCGGAAGGGTCCAGAAGATGACATTATGCCCGTGCTTGCTTCCCTAATGTATTTATGAACATGGACCTCCACAAGCTGCTTGGATGCAACTTACAGATAGGTAATTCATGTAGGATGTTAATATAATGGCAATATCGTTAATTAGCTCCCTAAATACGGGTAAATATTGAAGTTATACTTCGCATAGTAGACGAACTGGCCCGCTGACAAGGATATCAAAGAGCCGGCAAGGGAATCAGGAAGGTCAACATCGACGTCTAATTGTAAGATCTAAACCAAACAAATAGATATGATTGAGTTAGAGGTTTGTGCTGATATATCTTGGCAGTTACTAATGTTATGTCCCGCGGGCCGGGCAACGTGCAACACGACTGCCGCGTCCCCTTCATACGTATTCACAGCCGTTCAGAGACCCACTACTTGTATTGTGCTATACCTGACGAACACAATCAGGAAATAGTCTTTTGGACTTACGAGTGCTTCGCTTGTACAACAGCTGGAGAGACGCGCGCCACCCGTACCAGACGCTTATTACCGTGTAACCTCTAATGGGACAGGCCGGGAAATGCTACTATCCTTCAGTAGTTGTACCACGCATACTCTATACCCAGGAGCCTACACAGCATTTAATGCGTCCTTATCCTTCTTGGGGTGCACCAGGGAGAAAGGGTTCACGACCCTTCGAAATGCTTAGCCAAATGCGCTCAGTACGGATAACGGACTACTTAGGTACTGGGACTGCCAGAGGGCGCAAACCTGCGACCTGGGCTTCCTGTACATATGCACAGGCAACATGTACGGCATGTTGCTTTTACCTTAACTCGAATCGGTCCTTGGTGCCACGGTGCATACGCCAACAATTCCCTTCAAGGATACAAAAGGCATCCTGTGCAGACTTAATGATTAGGTGTGAAGCATTATCTTGTGGTCGGTCGCTGATGCGGCCATTCTCCTCCCGAGCACAGCAGGGCACAGTTTGGCCGCCAGTTCATGAGCCCTTCCGGTGCCATCCGCGTGCTAGCCTTCCCTGCTGTCGGCACGTGCCCAAAAGCACTCCGCCTAGCTTCCTAAGCGATGCTTTGGGCAAAGCGCACCTCCCAGAAGCGATTACCCCTGAGGAACCACGACCTCAACACGACGCCCTCCACAAGGGAAGTAGGTACGTGAGCCAGCCGCACTTCAACACGGCCTCATGCCCGCCACCCCACATATGCGCGTCCTCCACATCCCTAGCGCTAAAATGGTACATGGCCGAAAAGTTAGAGAAAAAGAAACCTGAGGCCAAGGCAAAATCGCCCCCTCGCCCTGGGACCGGTTAAAATAAACGCAACGCACGAAATACCAACCCCGATTGCACAGCATGCGACAAAAGCACACCCAGGAGGAAGAATCGAGCTAGGGTTAAAAGTGTGAAAGGCGTCCTTTATTGAGCCCCTGAGTCTAGCTCCGACGCCCTGGCTATACTCAGCTCAAAGGACGAAATGCCTGGTCCGGAGTCAGTCTTGCGTGGTCCAGATCCGCGATGACATTATTCGTGTATGATGCCTTATCATATTCGCTGGGCATGCTCTATAAACCCAATCTTTGCTCACTAAAGATTGACCGCTGTTCCTGCGCGGGAGACTGCCCTCCCTAAGCAACTATCCCGAGGAAAGCTTTACCACGATGCTTCCTGAGCATGAGGCCTCCATATACGTCCGGACTCGGCCGGGGAGCATCAGGCAAGAGATACACCAACACCTCAACGACCTGTGTACCCACCCACTCTTCCGGGTTTCGTGTGATTCGTCGTAAGCTTCCGCGTTCACCAGAATAGTGAGCACAACACCTCCCGTGTCAGACCAATAGATTAAGGCGTCAGGTAATCACAAGTGATGATTTTAGGAATGTTCCTTGCCACAAGCCCGAAGCGGAAAAAAGCGGCGGGGTCCTCGCGGGTGAGAAGAGTCCAGCCGGCATTCCTTGCCCGCGCACAAGCGGATGAACCACGATGACACCAGTACAGACCTGCATCATGTCAGTAGCTGCCGCGCCCGCCAACAGCGCAAGCCTTCCTCCTCGCACGTTGGCAGCACGCGTTTAAGGCGCAGCGGTTGTCCGCCAGGACGCGACCGCAATTCATATACGAAGGTGAAGGTGTTGCTGACGAACGAGTCCACGGCCTCCGGCTTCGTGACACGCGCCTCCACCTCGATGACCACACGGCCCTGGGTCAGCGACGGACAGGGACACGCTCAGGGCATGAGGCGGAAGCAGCGGCAGGGATTTTCGAGACCGCTCCAGCCTCACACTACCCGTGGCACGATGCCCACAGGACTATGCGCAGATTGGCGTTGCCATGCGAACTCGCTAGTTGGCGATCTGGTGTTCCTGGAGACATCCCTTTGCAGAGCCTGCGCGGCCGTGTGTCCTGCGCCTTGCCAAGTTACAGGATGATGCCGGCCGGCTGGCAACACACCACCGGCGGCGGAACCCTCCTTCGCCAAACAGGCATTTTGCCGCCACATCCTTTCCTCGTGATACTCGCCCTACTCACCCGATCTTGCTGCTCGCCCAGAGGCGCCGCGTGAGCTACCGTGGAAGTGAGGCGCAGCAGGTCGCCCACGTCCACGGGCCGCGTAAATGTTATCTCGTCCACTTTCTGGAACGTGGGTCGTACACCACCGAACATGTATGTGGTGGCGAAGGCCAGCTCATAGGCGCGCCTGCGACATCGGGCACCCCGCGCAGCGCAACGCTTAAAAATAAGCACGACCGCGAGCAGAAAACGTCCGCGTTGATCCAGCCCGGAATGCAGGAGAAGGAGGAAGCTTCTCCACCAGATTAGTCGAAAATGCTTACAGCGGAACGAGACACGTCAGCCACAGGTCACGGGGCCTGGCTGCACAAGCGCACTTGCACTACTCATTTGCAAACCGCTGGGCCTTCATCCATACTCCACCGCCGCCAGCATTCCACACGTACTACTTCACCAACCTCATAAGGAAGCCGCCAAACACTCGACCAGAGGTATTACGGTGCTGCGGCTGGCAAATGAAGGTGTTGTGCTGGCAGGTGAAGGGCATGAGCACCGCATCCAGGGAGGCGAGCGCGGGCAGCTCCTGCAGTCGCCTCGCTGCGCGGATCCACTCGCGAGCCTCGGGTGGCACTGCGTGCGGAAACAGGTTGGGAGCCCAGCAGGCAACGGCCGCAACGCGCACTCGTTACGGTTCTAATCTCATATCAGGAGTCTCCATGGCTGGGAGCCACTATTGTACTTTACGACACGGACAAAGTACCAAGAGACAAAGTGATGGCTTAGTCGCGCACCTGTCTGCAGCTCCCCCCAGCCGCCTTGCTGCAGCTGCGCCTGCTGCCGTGCAGCCCTGCGCGCATCCGCCACCGCTTGCCGCTGCTGGAAGACATCCAGGTCCGAGGTCGATTCGGGTCGAAGCGGGGCCACGGGGGCCGCTTTGCCCGTGACAGGATCCAGGTGCACGAAGGAAAAGAGCGCCTCCAGGCTAGACTGCGGCGCGTGGTGCGCCTGAGGAACAACAACAGCAGCAGCAGCAGCAGCAGCGAACCGAGCAGATGGTACCACTTCGTCTGCATGTTGTTCTATATTGCTTGAGGGCGCTCAGCGACCAGTATCGCAACCTTCCACAAGGACAGGGAGCAAGCACTGGTGCCAGCAGGACAGGCTCTTCTCCGCTTCCTACAGCGACCGAAACACCGAGGGAGGATACCCAGATGGCCTATCTTGGTGATCATGGCGGCACATCAGGCGAAACTCCTGCGCCTACCCGCCCTGAGGTAGTCTCACGCATTCCCAGTTGGTATTCACAGATTCACTAGTTGCCCGTACCTGGAACAGCTGCATTCGTATGTCCAGGGAGGACTTGCCCGTCCACACCACCTGTCCGTGCACCACGATATCCCGCTCCACCTGGAGCGGGTGACGCACCGTGATCTCGTCCACAGCCGCCGTCACCAGCAGCGGAGGGCCGCGGCCGGTGTGACTGAGTGCGGATACGAGTTGGGTTGGATTGGATTGGATTGGCGTGGGGTGGTTTCACAGCCACTGGTGCTAGTCGCAGGTAAGAACATAAGGTAATGGCCTGCCAGACGGCCAGGCGGGCCCAGCTCGCGCGAAAGACGGTAATTGAATCTGCCGACAGAAGTGAGCAAATGGACATGCTCATGCCTGCAGTGCGTGTATGTATCTTGTGTTTTTCATGCTCGCCGTACTCTGCACTGGATTCCCGGCAGATCTTGACAGCCCCCCGGCACCTGCACGCCGGGTGTACACGTTGGACCGACGAGCTGTCAGCACTCAGCACTACGGCCACCTCGCCACCCAACGTTCCCTGGGGGACATGGCACGTAGTGTGACCCAAGACATGCGCATGAGGGAGGCTTCCAGTCTTCCTGCCCCTCTCACCGTCGCAGCCTCCTGACCATGGTCCATCCCCCCAATCCTCCTGCCATCATACTCCCCTCTCCCCGACCTCTGTTTCTGTCCTCCCAGCCTACCAATGCTCAAACGCTACGTTGCCTGCCAGGGAGTCCAGATCCTCCAGCAGCCTCCCCACACGCAGGTGGCCCCAGGGGTTCCTGCGCCACAAGGAAAGGGGGGAGATGAAGATCTCAGAGACGAGTTCAGGCGCTCAACATCCTCAACATCACTCCACAGGCCGTCCAGCGGGCGGCCTGCCGAGCTAACATCACGCCGGCTGCACTTGGCCCAGTGCTAATGTGCGCAGGAGCTTGTGCAGGGGCTTGTTCCGGCTGTACATACATAGATAAATACAGCGTGCTGGTGTCCGTCCACCAGGCCGCGTCCCTGGCTGGCGCTTCGGCCCCCGCCGTACCTGTACTGTGAATTGACAGGCACGGTGGGGGGAAAAGTCCAGCGGCGGACGGCACATGCGCGGAATACGTAGGTGATGAGTACGGGACGCCATTGAAAGCTCATGGAATTTAGCGTGAGCGGGATTGGCAAGAATTTGTTACAGAGGGGCGGCAAGAATATGATTGGCCGTGCAGAGCAGCGCAGACCAACCTCGCGATCCAGTTAATTTGTCCATGATGGAATTCGCTGTGCTGTGAAAGCCACTCACCATGTCCTGTAGCGCTCGGTCTGTGGAGAAGTTGTAGGTCACACTTATAGGCTTGGGTGACCGGCCTTCACCTGCCTGCTGTACTGGGGTAGCCCCTGCACGCTTGCTTGCCCGCTCGACCCAGAGCTTTCTGGTGATAGGCGTGTAGGCGCCCACATACGCTTCGTCCGCTCCTCCGGGAGCGCTAGATGTGTATGCGCGTGCGGCGTTCCACGCGAATGCCAAGGAGGTGCAAACCTTTCGGGAAGCAACTGTGGGAGTGTTCAGCTCCATGAGGACTAGCACCGCTTTCCCGGCTGTGCCAAGGAAAAAGGCTCCCATGTTATCCCACGCTACCAGCGGTAGCCACGGCTGTTGAGGCTGTTGCTATGTTCTCAGCTGGCGGGACTGCGGAAGGGTCAAAGTATGATCTCCATTTCGTGCACTAGCGCAACACTCGCATCGGTATCCCTGGCTCAAGCAGGTAGGCATGTTGGCCGATGTACCCAAGCCTTCACAGGGTCCCGGTGGTCGCTTGCGTCGTACAACCACCTTGCTAAGGGAGTTACCAATCTTCTCTCAGACGTTGTATTTAAATTGTGTTTCTACGATACCGAAGCCTCCTGTTGAGAATCATCCCAGGCATTTCGAAATGGGTAACTTGTTGTAAGGTCCACCCTGACGCCAGCAGTTCTTTAGTGCCAGCGTGGCACTAGCTAAAGGAAAATGGAGAACCCAAGGGTATGGTTTGATATCCAAATAGGTAGTGAGGCCGCCGGCCGCGTAGTCATGGAACTCTTTGCTGATATTGTCCCGCGCACGGTTGAGAACTTCCGTGCGCTTTGCACTGGTGAGAAGGGAATTGGTAAATCTGGCAAGCGGCTACACTACAAAGGTTGCGTCTTCCACCGTATCATTCCCGAGTTTATGTGCCAGGTGCGAGCTGAGGACAGCGTGGTGCTATTGATGAAGTAGAGAGCAAAGGCTCTTATCCGTTACTTCGGGTCTTTGCATTTTTGCGTTCAGTATATGTCTTCTTGCGGATCTTGGCTCGCAGGGTGGGGACTTCACAGCGGGTGACGGGACCGGCGGCGAATCTATTTACGGGGAGCGCTTTGAGGACGAGCGCCCGGGCCTAGCTGTGAAGCATGACAAGCCAGGGATCCTATCCATGGCGAACGCGGGGCCTAACACGAACGGGTGAGGGCGTGCGCGAGGTGTGTAACCCGTCCGTCTCCCTTGGAGCTTCCGTGGCTAGCTGTCCGCCATATTGGTACTTACTGACGTGCATTGTTGTGGGCACTTCCTGCAGGTCACAATTCTTCATTTGCACGGTTCCGTGCCCCTGGCTGAACGGCAAGCACGGTGAGGTGGCAGGGATGCTGGTGGAGGTGTCGTATGCTTCCAGCTGTTGTCCACGAGTGTATTTTCTATTGCCACGTTGTCTATATACACTCTACTGCTATTACCCCAAACGTGCGTGGGCAGTTCCATGCAGTCGGTATGGCTCCTGCGCTGTCCTTGATTCTCTTTCTGTTTCCATTTCCAGTCCTTGCCCACGCCCCTTGCATAGACCAGGCTTGTCCCCACCACCTGTTTGCAGTTGTCTTCGGTCGTGTGGTGGAGGGGATGACCACCGTGAAGCGCATGGAGGTAGTGGGCCAACGGAGCGGCAAGCCAAGTCGGCGCGTCACTATTACCGATTGCGGGCAGGTGCGAGTTTCGGGAAGGGTGTGTTATGCTTGCCGCGAGGGCCCTATTGGACACACTAATCAACGGGCTGCGATGTCTTCTGCGGTGGTTTTATTTACTATGCCTCTTGTTTTATTGAGTCGCAGCATACGTGGTGACTGTGAGTTTATGCTTGTCACTGATCTCCTGCCGCGCAGTTTCCGAGCAAGCTGCAAACGATGCTGAAACTCAAAGCAGAGAAGGAGGAGGCGACGAAGCTGAGGTCTGACCCCAACGAAGTCAACCCGGACCAGGAGTCACTGCAGCGGCTCAAAGCTCTTCAGCAGCAACAACCAGCCAAGAAGCCTTCTGCGCCGCCAGCCATGGCTCTGGGGACTGTCGCAGCTGCACTGGGTTTCGGCAAGCCAGCGGCACAGCAACACCAGCAGCTGCAAGAGCAACAGACGGGAGGGCAAAGCGGATCAGGGATGCGGGAGAACAGCCGGGAACCTGCCGGAGCGCAGAACGGAGGTGAAGAAGAAGAGCGAGGGCCAACGTCAGCGCCCGAAGCGGAGGACAATGGAGGCGAGCCGGACAGTGGACCTGGCGCCGATGATGGTGTAGAGGGTGCAGATCCGTACGCGGGGATGCCGGCCAAGCAGCGGAAGCTTCTAGAGCTGCGACAGCGGTTACAGCAGTGCCGCAAGCAAAATCAAAATGCGGTGATTGCGGAGAAGAAACGGCAAAAGGTAGGGACTGGAGAAAGTTATTCAGTTGTTCTGTCGTCGGCTATCTCCGAGCCCAACACATACGCAATAGGAAGGCCTGGTGTGTTACGAAAGGAAGGCTCTGCACCAATAGCTGTTACTGCAAGTTTACGACTCCCACTGGAGTGCGGAAGCGTCTGTAAGGCGCGGGGCAGCCCTGATGGGATAATCATGGTTACTTGTGGTTTTATTTCGGTGTTGGTGTTATGTATGTTACCTGTTCATTCGCTACTGTGCGCAGAGCCCTGGTGCAGAAGCTAGAGGTGGCGGCGATGACAAGCGGCGGTGGTACGAGGAGAAGCAGAAGCGGCGTGCGGAGGAGTTGGAGAGGTTAGGGCTGGACCCCTCGCAGGCACACAGGTGGGAAGAGAGACCATGTTGCATCCCTTTGCTAGGGGCGCAGGACGTGGGAAGTTCGTAGGAAGGGGGAAGTCCGGCGGTCAGCATACGGCGACGCAAGGAGAAGTTGACAAAGCACATGTTCCAAGGTTGAGGAAGGCCGTAGCAGCAGGCATGCCGTCCCCTGAAACCTCTTATCTGGAGCCGGGCTTGTGCGTACGTATGTATTGCAGTTGAGCGCACATATTATACATTAATTTACACGCATATTAACCGAGGCCTGTTCCACGGTGACGCCAGGCTCGAGACCGCTGAGGCGGCATCACTCAAGCACGAGAAACGTGAGAAGAAGGGCGGCCCCACGGGCTGGGGTGTATTCGCCAGCGAGAACCTATACAGAGCGTACCTAAAGCGCGCCGAGAATGTACCGTATACGCAGGAGGATTACGAGAAGGCTAAGGCAGCGGATCCCGACTTCTACAGGTAGGGTCCGAGCTCAGCATTTGTTGACTCGTTGATGGTGGGAGGCACACGATGTGCTGTAAGTGTGTTGCGGTGCGTCGTCTGCGATTTTATCCGGGCAAGGACTGGATGATACGGTACGCGCTGTAGATTGTCTGCTTGCAGGATTGTTGCATATAAAGTGATGCCATGGCATGGGAATGGCAAATGTACTCCATGATCGATTACTGCATGCATGTCGAGGCGGAACTGTTCGTCGAGTTTTCGATAACGTGAGGGGCAATCACTTGAGGAACTGGTAGACGCGGCATGATTGAAGTGTCACTCTCTGTGTTAAATGCAAGCACCACTTGCTGCTCACTCACTTTTGGAAATGAAATCTTACCCCTCGGGGACGTATGCTGGGCCATGTTGTCCCTTCGCTTCCACCATCCGCAGAGATGCCGACAGCCTGATGTATGGTCAGAACCCTAAGCTGCCCGCGGAAAACGTGGACAAGATGGTGGCAGAGCTGGTGGACCGGTGAGTATTGGAGCTGGTTTACATGTTTACCAAGCTGCAGGACCGCATTCCTGTCACCGCGTCATGGACACCTGCATATCCTTGTCCATAAGTCCTTGTAGGCATGCTTTTTCGAGGGGCTGCAAAAGCAATCATGGGGGAGTATGGCGGATGGCGGTGTTGCCAACAGCAAAGTTGTCATGTCTCTTTTCCGCGCCGCCTGATGTTGCTGCCGCAGCGACCGCAAGAAGGATGAGTTCAGCCGGCGGCGGCGCTACAACGACAGCGCCGATGTGGACTTCATCAACGACCGCAACGCGCACTTCAACAAGAAGATACAGCGTGCATTCGGGCAGTACACCTCGGAGATCAAGGCAAACCTGGAGCGCGGCACCGCACTACCCGACCGGTAGCGCCGCCCAGCAGCGGCGGCACATCACCCTGCGGCGGCGCGCTGGGCTATACAAGTTTCACGCGAGGGTAAGTGGCCGCGCAAGCTTGCGGTATAGACTATCTCGTCATCCCTGTGGCCTTGCACAAGGAAATGTGGGTGAAATACTTCTTACGCCCCTCTGAGCTAGGGAGCGAGTTGCGGTGGGTCCATGCACAAGGCTGTGCCTCCGGGAAGCGCACTGAAGCACACAACTACAACCGCCAGCGGCCGAGTCTCCAAGCCGAAAGACCAAGGCTGGGGGTGGTATACGGAGAGAAGGTATTCCCAGCGCACGTACGTGCGCTTGGCGGACATTGAAACGGAGAGTCCTCGGGGCCGTACGCCTTAAGCGACAGGCGTACATGGTACTGGAACCTCTCCTACATGGCCCGCATGTACACACGCATTTATGCATGCAGATTTTTGTACTTCGCTATGCGAAATGCGATTACCGTTTTAAGGAGTGGATTGTGAATTGCAGACCAGATGGGGAGCTGTGTTCGCAAGGTATTGTAAGAAGTTAATATCGCATCAATCCCTTGGCCCGGTTTAGGCTACCCTTTGTTGTCGTGAATTGGCCTGGGAAATTGTGTGCGACCATGTTCTAGTTGGCTGGAAGAAGCTGAAAACACCCGAACGTGTACCTCTCCTGAACTTCATGCCCATCGTGTGCTTATTCCATCATGTGCTTATTTGACATTTTAACACATGTCGGTCTCCGGGTAAGTTAACATGTATGGTGCAACTCCCTCTCCTGCAATTTGATGTCCGTCGGACGTATTCCCGCGTGCCCTGTGCAGGTTGTGGTGTTATTCACACGTGTGTGAAGGGGGCTGGAGTTCCGGGAGTTCCGCAGATGAGCGTGCATGTTTGGCGCGCCCGATGAGGTTTTCGTTGCGAGTATGGCGGAACACATGTTGTAATGTAATGTTACAGGAGCGGAGAAGTTTCTTTGATGGTCATTTCTCGATACGCAAGACGTCGGCTTGACTGGACTGCATAAGTATGTCTTGACGGCATCTTAGTGTTCGCTGTTGAATATGTTGATATATATCACCATAACAAGTTTTGCAGCGTGGAGTGACGCTCAACGGCTTCCGACGGCAGGGGCTAGATGTGCGCTTTATGATGTGTGAGACAGGGGGGTGTATCTTCGCCCGTGGCAGCTACCCGGCGAAACCCTGCCCTCCCCGGTATTTCGGGGCACCCTCATCCAGTCACCCTAGTCAACATCTCAGTGGATCGCTCAGGTTCCGCACCCACCACCAGCATCCAACGGAATCTGCCGGGTCGACAGCTTTACGTATGGATAACTGCGGTATGCCCTTCCTGCATGCACGTGTGCGGTTAAGATTGACTTGTTCTAATAGCACGCCGTTTGATGGAAGCTGACATATTGGCGCAATGGTTCAAAGCGTGGATACCAACTGGATCAGCCTAAGGTTACTGTAAGTTGTCCATCGCTGTAACCTGCATCGCCAACTCCGCAGCGGTGTCCTGTCTGTCATGAATGAAACATAGGATGAGACATATTAAGTAATATGGACCCACAACTGGGGTTTACCGTCATGTTCATATGTGGATGACCAGGCGTTCTCCTATGTATGACCCCAGGGTCGGTGCAAACAAGCTGTGGGTTATCAAGGCGGTTATGGAAATATTTCTACGTGGATTATGATAAGGACTCAAGCTTATGGCTTCATCGATGTACACAATTAGAAAGGTCAAGATGCAGGAAAGTGACATTATGTATGATACGTTCTTCCCCGTTTCATCGCATCCCAAATCCTCAGCATGACAGAATAAATAGGGAACAATTGTTATTACGTCGGTAAAAAGTATACGGCGCCTTAACACTTAACCCTTGCTATGAATTCGGAATGACAGCGGAAGACCAAGAATGCTCACGGCAGTGGCAAGACATACTATTCGATAGTACTGGCTCTCATTCCAGCGTCTACAGATGGCGCTTGCAATAAGAGGGCTACTGTGTCGACATAAAGGGTCGCCAGCCTTCTCCCGCGCAGTTCTTACGCGATGGGTACGGGTGTGCACTAGGCTGCCTAATACCAGACGTGAGAGGGGCTACGTGAACCCCGCCGCATATGCTAAGGACCTGGCTGCCCTGGGGCTGTCGGCAGAAGACCTCATGCGGGTGGAGGATGTTATCGCAAAGACCCAGGCGACTGACATTTCCGAGTCCATCAGGGTTTTAACGTCCTACGCGGGGTCAGAAAGCGCGGCAAGTGTGTTGCTTCGAAAGCACCCCAACCTGCTGTGCTGTCAGCTCCCGAGCTGGGTCGAGTTCTTGACGGCTTTCGGCCTCACCAAGGCAAGGGGGACTTTGGGTGCCGCCGCTGCTTCTCCGGCTTGCTGGTGCCTGTTGCTCCCCGTCACACTTCCTATCTCCGCCTTGCAGGCTCAAGTGCAGCACGTACTGTGCCAGACGCCGGAAGCACTGATTGAGGGTGACCTGGTGTGTGCTGGCGAGTCTTTGCTGGTATTTCGTCGTCTGGGCTTGAGCGATTATGCGTCCGCGCAACTAGTCACGTATTATCCCCAGGTACGCGGGCGAAGCCACATCGTATCATGTGTTTGCTGGGAAGCTTATCGCATGGGAGGGCATGGGTCTATAGCAGAAATGCCGTGGCACGGCTGTACCAAGGGCCGATTTCCTTTTCACGCCCGACTTGCCTTGCATATGCAGTTATTGAGCAAAGGAGAAGAGGATATCAAGGCGCTGCTGGGGTTGCTTGCTCGGTACCAAACCGGCATCGATTCGCTTGGCTGCTGATATCGGCATGATCGCATCGCCAGTGGGTACATGGCAGCTCCTGACTATAGAACGAGGCGCAACATAGTCCCTGCAGTCTTGGCCACTGCTTTCACTACATATCCAGTATGAGTACTGCGATTTTTAGGCTATGCGGTGTGATGGCGGACAGGAGTGACATGGCGGGATCGCACTGCGTGTACATATCCATGGCGGAATGTTCGGCTTGCCGTGCCAGGACTTGCCATTGTATGCACGAGGCCGGGGCACGGCGCAATACATAGCTGGTTTAAGCGGTTTGCATAGGCGAAGTTTCATTTGTGCATATTGTTTGGAGCAGGATGGCGAGATATTTTATTGCGGGGTTGTGCTATTGTTTAAAGAAAGACCCGCGCTCTTTGTGACGGGACAGCAGCGTCGGGAGCACGGTAACATCGGATTGTCTGTTTAGGACAGCTACCTTTATACCCTACTTTAAGTGGTAGGCCAGTTGAGCTTGCCCTTGAGTGACAGGAACGAACACGAACGGTTACGGAACGTGCGGCAGGGTTGTTTTGGTAACCAACGGCACAGCTATGACCACCGGCCTGCGCAACTATGCACCTGCGCAACTATGACCACCGGCCTGCGCATCTTGGGGCGTGGGCATTGCATGGGCCAACAATCCATCGGCATCGTATAAACGACAGACGGTCGTTGTGGGTGAGCATGATCGGTGCTAGCAACGTGACCTAGTCGACCGCATGGCGTAACCTTTCCTATCCTGCTGGTTAGGAGAGGCCTTATCAAACAGGTTCCTTCAATGTGCTCTTCAAATACATCATGACAGCTCAGGTCAATTACGGCCATATTGTACGACACCAAGCCCTCTTCACCCCGTATACACACTTCCAATTAATTTGGACAATTCCTAGATGCTTTTCACGGTTTCCACACGCCGTGGATGCTTTTCACCGTTTCCACAACTTGTCGGTTACTGTACCGACCGGCAGCTCTTCATTAAGACTAGTACTGGGCGGGCCGCGTCGCGTATGAATGGCTAAGTTAGGGATGCTTGTCATTCCACCCAAAGGTGAAATGACGAGCATCGGATCTTAAAGCTGTTTGTGAACTTGATTCACGTTTTGAAATTCACCTTTGTACAGCGTATGTTAAAAATCAAATCTCAAGGGCAGCCTAACTAGGAAAATACTTATCTGTCAGCATGCACCAGCCAGCACAGTAGCACGCAACAGCTCCGCAGGCAGGTCTGGTCGCTTCACTGAACCAGGTGTAAAACAAGGCACTTCTCATGCATGGTTAAGCACTTCCCCTTACATTCCATTACGGTCAACCGAGTCTTGTCCCAGCCGGTAACCATTTGGTAGGGTAGCCTATCGGTAGGGTAAAGGCTCGGTAACCCTACCAAAGCCCCACCCTACCGGACCCGGTTACCGAGCCATAGGGCTCATGGTGCATCACTAAGGAAAAAAACTCTCAACATTAGATCAAACCAATGGCTTTGCGACTCGATTTCATCAATCCGGACAGTTATGGCAGTGCCGCAGATTGTACGCCGCCCATGATACATGGACCAAAGCGCTCGTACATAACCTCCGAAGAGGAAAGCAAGGGATATGAAATGCACCTGCAAAAAATGTCTTCGCAGGCCCTTGAAATGGCGTTATGCCCTAAATTATCCGGGGGGAGACTGTGCGTACATGCCTTGGCTTCACACTACACGATGCAAGCAAGAATGGTCATCAGCACTCAAGTTAACCGGCATAAGGAGAAGCTCGCTTTCCATCGCATAATCCTGCAAATACATAACATCTATCACATTCGTATGCCTGCAGGGAGTGCATCCATCAATGGGGTGAGCGGCAATCTTGCCGCATGGCAGTCACGTGGACCTGCTGGCCCGCAAGCTCTCTGACGGTCTCACGGAAGCATCCCTTGCTTAATCCGCATGCATTCGCACGACGCATAAGGGATGAGGAAGCATACAATGCGTCCCCAAACAAACACAAATGAAACCTTCTTTTCAATACAATACAATGCAATGTGTAACTGCCCACATTGACACCACGGGGGCCCTGACAGGGCCGCCGACATAGTCCCACTACGCGTCCAGATCCTCTTCCGCTGCCTTTGCCTCACAGGCAACGCGCTTGGCTGCCGCAATCGCAACGCGTGCTCTGCTCTGCACGTAGTCCGCTACGAACTCCTCCAGCTTCTCGACTGTGATGTTGGGCATCACCACGACGTGCGCGATATCTCCCTCACAAGCAAGCTGCCACTTGCGCACAAAAGCCTCCTCCTTGGGCCGCTCGAACACGACGGTGTTCGAGAGCTCGTTGAGCATGGTGCGGATGCCGGCGCTTTCCAGCATCTGAAAGCCACGGACGGGGCAGGGTCATTAGCCAGGAGTCGCCGGGACTGACCTGCATGTTAACTGTCATAATGAAGGCAGTGCAGGTGAGCCGGTTGCACGGCTCCAAGAGTATGAGGAAGCTTTGGCCCCGGTTCCCTCGGCTTACATACTTTTTGGCAATAGCCGTAAAGCTACACGGCTTCCTGTAAACGCGGCTGCCTTTCAACAGTCCGGCACGCGAGCCTGCTCACCTGCTTCAGGACGTGGGCATTGCGCATGCAGCGCTCCACGTCACGGCGCATGCCCTCGTAACCCTTACGCGTCAGGGTATACCACAGGTAGATCGGGGCATGGCCATTGCGGCTGCCCATAATGGTGGCATCCCGGCTGTTGAGGTACTCCACATCTGACGAAAGCGCCATGACGTGCTTAAACCTTAAGAGGCAGCAGGGAAGATATTAGAAATGGCAAACCCAATCAGTTAGGCCGATTGAGCATCGGCACATTACCATTTGGGTTGCAACGCAGGCCGCAGGGCTAAGGAATCCACCTTGCGTCAGGTACAACTACGATGCCGTGCGTGTGTTTGCGGCGACGACATTCCAAGCTATATGACCTCCAGGTCCGCCCCTCCCCGTTGGCTACACGGACTTTGGCTTCAGATGCGTATGAGCGTTAACACTTAGTATGTCTCTTCGCCTCTCCCGCCATCGGCGACATGCTCACCTGGTGATGACAACACCGCACGGGACGGGCGCGCCGACAAACTTGTGGCCCGACACCGACACCGATCCAATGGGTTTCCTGAATGTCACCATGGGCGCGTCACGGCGCAAGAAAGGCATCATCATGCCAAAGAGCGCGCCGTCGCAGTGAATGAAGAACTGGTCCTCACTGTATCCCGCCTCCTGCAATGGCCGTCGGGCACCAACAAGGCACGAAGTTGGGTGCTTGCGACCGTAGGAGTGAGGCGGTAGGAAAGGCCGGCATGGGCGCAACAAAACCCATGTCAACACTTTCGCAGTCGATCTAAAAAGACCCTTTTGCAGAGCACATCCAGGGCGGAAGGGCTCCCTCATCGAAAGCTGGCTCCTGACAGCACTCAAGTTGAAATAACCCGCTCTGAACCGCCCTATCCAATGCGGTGATGAAAACCCTAAAACTCAGTTACGGGGTCCCAAGCCACACAGCTCGTACCTTAAGCACCTCCAGCACGCGGTCCACGTCATCAACTGCGCCCTTTACTGTCGTCCCAATGTTAAGGTTTAGGACGGCGGGCTTGCCCTGGTTTGCTATAAGGGCGGTTTTCAGCTCCTCGTAATTGATCTCACCGCTTTCCAGCGTCGAAATCTGTTAGAAAAACCACAGCAAAACAAACGTTGCCATCACGTAAGGTGTATGACGCAATTTTCTGATAGGCTTTGCGTGCTGCTTTGAGATGGTCAAGCGTGCCCCATACACGACGTCGAGCTCCAGCAGCAACCGGGAGTGAAAAGCCTTTTCGGCCAGCCCTCGCACCTTCTCAGCTTGCATCCGGTACATGCGCGCCGCCTTGAAGACCGAGTAGTGCGACTCAGCGGACGCATACATGATACCGTCCGGGAAGTTCTCACGGCCCACCAGGATACCGTGTAGGTTGCCCTCGGTGCCGCAGGTGGTGATATACCCCCAGTACTCCTCCTCGTCAATCTCCCACAATCGTGCGAACCAGTTGAGGACGCCGACCTGTGCGGGGACTAGCGTGGGAACTCAGCCACCAAAGGTGCTCGCTAACCCAAGCACAGTTGGTCCTGCAACAGCACCTCAACCATCCCTGCACACCAGCTCTATATGGTTTTCAGACGTACGTATATTGCGGATCCATACCTCAAATTCACGCGAGTGAACACCATAGTTGCTCTCGATGAATGGGTCGCCCAAGTTGTTGATGCTGTATTTCGTAAGACCCTCCAGAAGCCCGTAGTCAAAGTCCAGGTTGTAAGGATATCTACAAAGATACAAGCACACGGCAGCCATCAGGGCTTCCCTGAGGTCCAAAGAAGACACACCAGCCGAAGGAAACCCACCCCATATGATGATGCGTACGCTCCGCCAGCTTCTTCATATAGTTGCCAATCATTTCCGCAATGCGTGCCTCGCGCTCCTACGCAGACGCAATCATACGCCATCTCTGCCTCCGCTAAACCACACGCGTCGCATCGAGAAGCGCGGGCGCCGCCTACCTCCTCGGTCATTTCTGGGTGAGGCTCCATGACGGGAAGCGCAGTAGATTTATGATGCGTGATAACTGGACCAGCGACCGGCATAGCCTGGTAGGGTGCCACCGCCGCGACGTTGTAAGTGTCCACCTTCAGATGAGCGGATCGGAGCGTCTTGGGCTGCTCCGTCACAGCAGACCGAGAAAGCACTGGCGGCATTGCGCAGGACGTGGCAAGCTCTACTGGGTCCATTTGTCGGGTGCGATGATGCGCAGAAGTCAGCGGTCCGAAGGTCAAAGCAATTCAATCAGAACGTGCTTAACAGGAACGAACTTCTAAGGAAGTTACCAAACGTCCTCTGGTCTACTGTGCAGAGTTAGAGAATAATTTTGTAGAAATGCGATGTTATAAGATGCCAGATGCGGTTGTACAAGTAAGCGAGTACGGCTTGCTCGCCTGCGGCTATATAACATGGACACCTGTAATGTTTTATTGTTCCAAATCACACTAACACAACAGCCAAGCTTAACGCAGCACTGTCAACACAGGGACACAGCGTACGGCCTAACTTGTGGCGGTTGGGACGTGCAAGACGGCTCGTTTGACACATTAGCACGCAAACCTTCGTTTCATAAGTGCCCGCAAAGGTCAATCTTTTCAAAGTTATCTATGGGCTGCACCCTCAAAAGGGAGTCGAAAGCAGCTAGCCTGGCCGGTGGAGTGCGTTTTGCTACTGATAAAGGTCGGGGCGGAGTCTGTAGGGATCGTGTGCATTGCGGTTCTGCTGGTCTGTGGTTTTCTTGGAATTGTACTTCTGGTTAGCAAGCAGGTGGCTGCAGGCAGGCGGGCACGGTCGGGCTCAAGTGAGCGCATTGATATGGCGCTCAACATCATAACAAAATCCCCAGGAAACGGGCGGGCTAGCTACCTACCTATGAAGATTGCGTAACTTTCTAGCTGTTATCTTGTCGAATTCAGAGGTCAAGGGGGAAGGCCCCATATTTTCCCCTGCTTCACGCCTACTTGGTGCGTGTCTTTCATAGGATGCAGCTACCTAAGGTTATGAAGCATGTTACAAACATTGTCAGGACAAGAATCTTGGAACTCTTTGTTCGGCAGTGAAAGACAGCTACACAGCAGACAGCACGATCTGTTTATCCCGTACGGAAAGGTGGTTGGCCTTGGGTTTCCTTGTAACCAAACGTCAAAGTACCTTGCACTCCTACCTACATATGTAATTATACATCTGATTGATTTTAGAGGATGTGACACGATGCCCGCAAAGAAAAAGAAGAAGGGCCGAGCTCAAAAGGCAACTGCCTCCAATGCGGTGCGATGGTTGCTTTTAGACGTGCTTCTACATATACTACTTTTGCACGTTGTGAATTGAATTGTGCGCGATTATTGAACGATGTGGACATTTTTTCGCCCTGTGTTCGGCAGGAGAGGGAGGAGGAGGTGCTTGCTCTAGCTGCCATATTTGGCGATGACTTTTCCAAGCATCATGATGGGCTTGGATTTGACCTTATCGTCGTGCCTCACCCGGGCATGCTGGATGAAAACCTTGTCCGCGTGAAACTTTCCATCCGGTAAGATGGTGGATTACTGAAAACTGTACGCGGCATGTTGCTTTCACGGCAAGATTTGCATGGAGCTGTCGGGGATGCGAAGCGACACTGGCTGCAAGCGGCTGACAGCCCACCACCTGCAAAGCAACTATGCAAAGCCTCTTATCTGTTTCTGATGCCCCCTACCTCCTGCCTTTCATCTGCACAGTTACCCTCACCACTATCCGGCACAGCCGGTTACCCTCAAGCTAAAGGAACCTGAAGGCTTGTCCGCCGAAGAATGCCGGGACCTCCTCTCACATCTGGCCGAAAGCGCCGCAGAACACGCGGAGTTGGAGGAGGTAGGCCGGGCACCTGCTCCGGTGACTGGCAGCGGGCGCAAAAGCCTGCTTCGTCCCGCCTATCTGGCTCCCAGCCAGAGGGCTTCATGCGCAGCTTAACTCCCGGATCAGCTGGGCTCCAGCAAGCAATCCACCAGTTGGGTCTTCGTGGGAGGTCAGCTGTGGGATCGAATGAGCACTCGGGGTCGCGTCGCTCGATGCGAGGCCGCCTGCAATACGCAGCTACTTGGTGAAACAGCTTTTGCATCTCTAGAGTGTTTCATCTGAATCACCGTGTCGGCAACGGCCGGCGCCCCTCTGTACAGGTGTGTGCCTTCAACCTTGCGGATATGTGTCAGGAGGTTTTAAGGGCCGCCAACGAGCGCCGACAACAGGGGCTGCTGCAGGAGCAGCAGCAGGGCCCCGGGGGCCAGCAGCACGGCGCAGCTGCAGCATCTGATGACCAGGTAGGGTGGGAACCACAAAGCACCCTGTGCTTGACCGGTACAGGCCCCTTAAGGCTGCAGTACTACACAATGCTCCATTCCCGGAGCTCCAAGAGGGCTCCGGGTTGTGAATGGGCTAGCTTGTCGAACTGGGTTACACCTCCGATGGGGCTATGTGTCTCGGAACTGGTTCAACACCTTCGAGGCAGCACGGCGGGACATAGTTGCCACTGCGCGGTGGGGCGATTTCGGTTCCCCGAAGGTGCCAACATGCTCGCTCCTCCGCCTGACACGCCATAACTGCGTTTGACTGGATTTGGTATGTGGGTCAGCTTGCCATTATTTGACTGAGGCGATGTCCGTGCATGCCACTCGGGCCGCAGGCATACGGCCAGTCGCTCTGGCACTCCATGCAGCGCCGTAACGGTGGTCTCGGGCCGGAGGAGCTGCAACAACCAAGGTCCTCTATGGAGCGTCAGGGCTCCATGTTGGGTTCCTTGCCAGCCGCGGAGGCCTCGGTGATGTCCCTAGGCGACGAGCTGCCGTCTATGGGTCAAGTTGGTGGCCTCAGCGGCGGCTTGTGGGGGTACGACGACGGCCTGTACGATATGGACGACAGCGTCAGCATGGATGCGGGCATGTTTGAAGCGTCGTCGCCGCCTCCGCCGCAGCTGCAACGGCAGGTGTCTTCGGCTGCGGCGGCCACTGCCGCCGCTGCCGGGCCTGGGCCAGGGTCTGCCAAAGCGGATTCACGGGATCTGCGGGGTGGTGGAGGAGCACTGGCCGCTGGCACGCAGCCAGGTCTGGATACAGGTCCCACGGCCGTTGCTGCGCCAGCAGGAACTAGCCCGCAGGCAGGTATACGGGCGGCGGGTGGAGTCACAGGCTCCTCGGTGAGCCCCCCAACGGAAGGGTCGGGAGGCATGGCGGCGGCTCAGGGGACTCATGGTCGGGGCCGCAGGGCGGAGGCGGTTCCGGAGCCGAAGGGACGTGGCGGACCAGCCACGGTGCGGCCTTCGCCCTTCGAGCGCCGAGTGCCTGCCTCCGTGCTGGCGAGGAGGCTGCCCAGGTGCGTGTGTGGCTGGGCATTGCTATTGCTACTGTGGCTATTCCGGTGGCGAGCATGGGAGCGGTAGTTCGCGCTGAGACTATCCAGCGCTGGTGGGGATGTGGGTTACGAGATTGCCAACGATGAGTTGGCAGTCTACCGTACCGCAAGCCTTCAAAACATAAACGTCGGGCATCGGAATTTGTAAGAGGCGCGGGGCAGCTGACGAGAGAATAGCTTCTGGCATGTAATGTAGACCCGTAATGCCATTTAGGGTTCCAAGCTTACACATACGTGGTGCTTCACTATCATTTAGGAAACCTCCCAGTCCCGTCATGTGAGGAAATAATGCCTGTTGGCCGCGTTGCGCAGAGCCATGCGCGCCCTGGTCGCCGGCGGCAGCAGCGCCAGCACCACCCTCAGCGTTGATGAGCGCTCCCGTCGCCGCCTGCGTCGCTCTCGTGCCGACGGACCTGGCAAAGCCTCAGCGGCCGCAGCTCACACACACGGGCGCCAGGGGAGCGATACAAGAGGACGTGACGACAGCGCCAGTAGCAGCAGCAGCAACAACAGTAGCAGTAGTAGTAGCAATATTGGAAGCGGCGACGGCGCCAAGCAGCCCAACAGCAGCCGGGCAGGTGTGACGGCGTCAAGCGCTGGGGATACAGCTAAGAAATGGGTCCCGCCTGGCCGGTTGTGGGCGCGGGGTGGCGATAGCAGCGGCACCAGCAGTGGTGGGAGCAGCGAGGAGGACAAGACGGATGGCACGAGCTGCGAAAGCAGCACCGACAGCAGCGGCAGCGAGAGCAGTGGCCCCTACCCTCCGAGAAGCGGTGGCGTCAGCGGGGCGTCTTTGCAGAGGGAACAGGGCACTACGGATGTGAAGCTGCCACTGCTGCTGGGCCACCTGCTCACGTTGGCTGCAGCGGGTGAGTGGGTCGATTGCTCTATGGATGCTGGGGTGAGGAATTGCGAATGGATGGGTGGTCGTGTCTGCCGCGAAGCGCACTTCGAAGCGCACATAATTGCTGTCGCTAGTGTGCCGGTGACTGCTGCTGCTGCTGCTGCTATCGCCGCTGTTGAGGCACCCGCCCGCGCCTTACGTGGTGCAGCGACAACCTTCCGCAGCCCTGTCGCTCGTCAATGACGAGATCCCGTTCCTTGGCTAAGGCCCTTGCGCTGGCTAAGCTAGGCTATGCCACCTCCGTGCGGATCCCCCCTCAGTTTCACCGGCCCCGCATACCCACCCCACAGGCTCAAGCCTGGACACCGGGGGGAAGGGGCTCGCGGCGGTATGCGACCACCTGCGGCGGCGGGGCCTCCTGCCGCAGTGGCTGCACTGGCTAGTGACCCGCCAGCCGCAACTATTCGAGCGGGCCTTCAACCGGGTGTTTGACGAGGTGTAGATGGGCGGGCGGCGGGGGTGGGGGCAGGCGGGGTCGCGGGGGGACTGACGGCTGAGGGCCAAAGCGTTGCATGCAACGCCTTTTGCCTGGGAGTTTCGGTGTTGAAGGGTAAGGAGGCGATGCGTCGGTCTGTGGTGTGGCGTTGACTTAATCGCATCGGATGCATGTCACCGGCTAATTTGGCACATGTCTCTTTCGCGGTGTGGCCGCTCCCGACAGGACATTCGCGCCGCTGCCACGGCGGCGGTAGCTGGCCGGGCCAGCGCTGCCGTGCGCGCCGATTCGCAGATGCTGACGCGCTTCTGGAACCGCCAGAGCATCGCAGGATTGTTGGGCCAGACTGACGCCGGGGGCTCGCACAGACAGCAGCCCGTGGGCGGTCGCACCCACCAGCAGCCGCAGCTGCCAGGCGCGCGGGGCCGCACTGTCAGCGGCGGAGGCGGTATGGCTGGCCTGCTAGCGAGCCGCTACCTGTCGGACTTCCAGGAGCTGCGCAGGCTGGGCAAGGGAGGTTTCGGGGTCGTGGTGGCGGCTGTAAACAGGTACGGACATGATGGTGGTGTAGTTGGTAGTAGCTGCGTGCACGAGAGCGCGTGCACTGGCTCGCAGGCCGTTGCGGGGCACCGAATAGAGCCCAATGTCCTTTTCCGATGGAGTAGGGCTTTTCCTGGCCCAGAGTCCTGAGGCTCCAGACGCGGCTGGCATGCAGCGGGCCCCGTTGGTCCACTTCGGTGGGGGAGGAATGAACCCAGTGGTGGATCGCATCCGTGGCGTGTTGCCTCAGTTGCACGGACCGAGCAGTTGGGCCCTGCGCAGCCGCGGGACACCACACGTTGCTCCCTGCCTGCCCCCTTTGCAGGCTGGACGGTCGGCAGTACGCTGTGAAGAAGATCAAGCTAGAGAGCGGCTCGCCGTCCGCCTACGCGCGCATCACGCGCGAGGTGGCTACGCTGAGTCGGCTGCAGCACCCCAACGTGGTGCGGTACTTCCAGGTAAGCGGGTGCGAGGGGCGGGCTGGAGGGTGTCGGAAACATCGGGGACTAGGTACCCGGGGGAAATGAGGAGCCTTCCGGAGGGTTGGCGGCGCGTTTCGTTCTCCACGGCCCACGCAGCGTTGTGAGGTGCGCGAGGGCGCCACCGTCCTCGGCATTATACAGCGACATTGGAAGCCCTAGGCCGCACTCTGTGGCTAGCAGCTTCACACTGAGGTATTCGAGGGCTGAGTCGTTCCGAGGTCCGTGCGAGGTGTCACTGGACACAGACACAGGGTTTTTTCAGTATTGCAGCCCGACGTACCGTACGGCGACTTGCACGGTGCTGAGTAGTAAGTACCCAGGGAGCTGCTCCCGCAGCCCCACACAGCCCACAGTCACGCGGTGTGCCCCTTTCTTTGCAGGCGTGGTGTGAAACCCTGCCGCCCGGTTTGGGTCCAGACTGCAGCGAGGATGAGGACGAGGAGGACGAGCTCGGGGGGTACTTTGAAGACGGAGACGTCGACGAGCAGGAGATGGACGGCGAAGAGAGCCAGGCCACAGACGACATTGACAAGGAGGAGGAAGACGATGTTGCGTGGGGATTTGGCTACGCCCAGTCGTCGTCATTCGAGCGCCAGCAGCCGGGTATGGTGGGCCGTGGGCGGAAAGCGCCATTCCCTGGTACATATTGCCCTAGCTGTGCGGCGTGCTGTCCGTCGCCTTGCATAACGGCTTGTGTTATACCCCTGCTTATCCGAGTCCTCCACTGGCCTCCCTACGGTTGTTCCTCTTGCATGTCCAGACAAGTCCCGACAGCGGGCGCAAGCGCGCGGCCAGCAGCATCAGCGCCGTGGTGCCGGTCCTGGAGGGCCCCTGTCGGCGCTAGGGGCTGCTGGGCAACAAGCTTCCCAGCCACACCAACTCCGCCACCAGAACCAGCATCGCCATCAGTACCATGACCCTGCGCACATTAGCGGCTTGGCGCCGGTGCGCGAGGAGGCTGGAGAGCTCACGTCCGCTTTCGGCAGCAGCGTCGACGACCCCGTCGAGAGCGGCTGCTCCGAGATGTCGGCCTCCGCCAGCCCCGGCGGCGGCGGCGGCGGCGGCGGTGCAGGGTCGGGTTCTGGGGCTCCACATGGACCTGGCTCCGGTGATACCGACACGACGGGGACGACACACGTAGGGCCCGAGAGCGACAGCGACGGTCTCACGATACCGCACGCCGGGGGCAGCGTGGGGACGCGGAGGGCTGTGCTGTCGAGGTTTTCGGAAGGTCGAGGGGGAGGAGGAGGCGGTGGGGCTGCTGGCAGTGGTTGTGGCAGCGGTGCTGGAGGCTATGGTGTCCGGGGTTTCGAAACCAGCAGTGAGACCAACACGACAGCGAACACCACCACCACCACCATCACCACCACGACTGCAACCACGACGACGGCCACAACTGCGACAACGACAACGGCGGGCGCGGGACAGGGCGCGCGGCGGGAGGTACGGCGTGTGCAGGTTGAGAGGCCACTTTATCTCCACGACTTTATAGATTTGGGAGGTATACATGCCGCCCTGCAGCTATTTCCAACCGGCTTCTCCTGAAGGGCACGCATTTTTTAGCGTCCTTCTGTGTTGTCCTTACAAGATGGGTCTTATGCGCGGCAGCGGTGTCAGCGGTAGAGCTACAGGGCGTGGGATGCAAGTACCGTTTGTGTTTACACCGCTGGCTATGTACTGGGTACTCAGTTTACTCGATCGCAACACGGATCACTTGCTGGACCCTGGTCTGTCCTTCTGTCTGCGAGTGGCGGTCCACCGTTGCCTGCGGCTGATAACCGAACCCTTGGAGAGTCCCGGTCTCCTGCCGCTGCCCTCCCATTGCCGCAGCGTGGTGACCGCCGCCGTCGTCCAGGAGGCCGTCGACGTGAGGCCAGTGGGACCAGCAACAGCGGTTCACCCACGCAGATGTTGTACATACAGGTACCATCATTGGGTGACTATTTGTATGGTCGGTCATGCAAGCATGCGAACCATGGGGCATGAAAGACGGTGACAACTTCTACCCTGCCCACGCCGGTCCTGTGACCCACGGGTCGCCAACCCCTCCTCCCAAGTCGTATGGGGTTTCATGAACTCGCATTACTTGGTTCGCACCTTGCGGCGTCATATCGTTTTTTTGCTTTTTTCTCGCTGCCGACCACCTGACCGTTTTCCGCTGGCCCTTCCGGTGGCGGCCGTGTTGTCGGTGGTACTGGTGGGCGGTGACCGGTGGTGGCGGGCGGTGGCGGGTCTTGCAGATGGAGTTCTGTCCCCGCACGCTGGCGGAGGTACTCCAGGAGGGGCCCCTGCAGGAGGAGGACGCGTGGAGAGTGCTGCGGGGCATCCTGGCTGGTAGGTTAGCCAGGGCGCCGCGGATCCAGAGTATGGACGACGCCCCTTACCTACATGCACATGAAACCCCAAGATACCAATTTGGCTGAGCACGTTATCAACGTGCTCAGCCAAAGGCGCTTTTAGCAATGCTGAACAGATCCTTCCAAATACCTTGTGGCACGGTTACGGCACGGCACCTGGCACGCCAGCCACGTCCTGATGGTTGGTCGCAGAACTGCAACCCTTGAGTCCTCGTCCTCCGCCACACTACTCCGTTTGCGGCCAACGGGTAATCTTAACTCGGGATGATGTTCGTGAAATGTGGAGCTTCACACGGCACATGCTCGGATCAACACTTTCCTCTCCCTCGCATCCTTCGGGTCTCTCCCATGTCGGTTGCCTCTTTCGCCCCCAACGCCCAGGCCTGGCGTACATCCACAGCCAGGGTGTCATTCACCGCGACCTAAAGCCCGCCAATATCTTCTATGGTGCTAACGGCGAAATAAAGCTGGGTGACTTTGGCCTGGTGCGTCTCCCAAGTGTGCGAAAGCCTGACTGTGTTACGTACTTATTTTGTGAGTTATTGTTCTCAGTTATGGATGGCCAGACCAGGCGCCGAGTAAGGACCTCTCCTGTGATGGACTTTGCGTGCTGCTGGCTACCGAGGACTGTTTGAGAGGACTGTTTGACCTAGCGCGCGGAGACGACTGCGAATGGTGGTTGCCCGCGACATCCTGAATGAAGCGGCATGTCTTGCCACATAAAAGGCCACGGCGGCGGCCGCGTGCGATGCCGCTGTTTGTTGTGGGTACACCACCTGCCCCGTCTCATCGCCGTTCTTCCATTGCTTCCCCATGACCTGGACGACATTTGGTGCCAGCTTGCCTTGCCATTGCCATGGCCCGCCCACTCGCGCTTCCACAGGCCAAGTTCCACAGCAGCGCTTCCGCAGAGGACGCAGCCGCCTCGGCCGCGTTGACCAATCTAACAAGCGGGGCCGGCGGGGTGGCCACCAGCGCGGCTGCGGGTGAGTGGGGAACAGGTCCAAGAACAAGGGGGCTGAGGCACCGACGTGGCGTATAGATCCTACCGTTTCATGGGCGGCATCCGGCTGCATGTCTTCCGTTTTGAGTTATCAGGGCCCTGCTAACAGTTCCGATACCGTGTGAACAGCTCAATGAGGTCCGAGATCTTTCTCGCCCTGGCTGTTGTTGCGTACTCCAGCTGCGCACTGCATCACACCGCCTGGAGGCGCGGTCGCGTCCGCTCCAGGGGTCCAAGGGGGGTTTCCGGGCGGCGTGTCTGTGAGGGATGGGATCAGGCCATGTGTTGCACCCCCGTTAGCCAGGCCACCATAAAAGCCTGAGGCCGCCGCTCTGCACCTTTGTTTCACTACCCGTGCGTTCATGCCTAAGCGACATATATCGGACATATCGTACATATATGTGCATGTGCAGGGACTGCTGCGGCAGCGGCTGGCACGGGCGGGGGCGCGGCAGGCCCGGCTGCGGCTGGTGCCGGACATAGCTGGCGCGGCACTGGCGGCGCGGACGGCACGGCGCCCAGCGAGCGGACTGGTGTTTGCGGGTCGTTCTTCTACATCTCCCCCGAAATAAAGAACGTGTGTCGGGCAGCAGACACGCTCTTGAGGCCGGTAGCCCGGCTTTACACGTGTACCGTTGCACGCCCACCCAAAACGTTGTGATGCTCCTTGTGAGAGTTCTTTCGCATCTTTGGCCAGTTAGCCATGATGAGGCATGTGCTCCTCAGACGGTCATGTGTCATTGCATCAAGCGATGCGTTGCTGCAAAGTTCGGGGTAGCGGGTTTATGTGTTCGGTGTCCTTTATTCAGCTTGCCATCAGGAGTGTTGAGGTAACTCCTAGCGCGTCCGAGGAATGCACTTATTATGCCTAGCTCGATATGGGATATACCGTGTCTTGCCGTACGCAGGGCTGGGCGCGGTACGACGAGAAGGTGGACCTGTGGAGTCTGGGCGTCGTGGTGTTCGAGCTGTGGCACCCCTTCGCTACGGGTGTGTGGATCCGCCGATGTGCGCTGTGCTGCGCATGCTGTGCCGTGCTGTGTCGTGCTGTGTCGTGTTATACCATGCCATGGGCCCAGGAGGTTGGGCTAGCTCTTGCTACGTTCTCTTTGCGTTGCAGCAAGACTGTATCGCTGTATCGCTGAACTGTATCCTTCCACGAGCCTGGCTTGTGCGTAATCAAGGAAATCCACGGCAAGCGTCGGAAGGGCGCACGAGCCCAGTGCGTACATGCGTGGTGTGCGCTTCCGCCTTTCCTGTCCATTTGTGGTTCCACAACTGTTCGCTATGAGCTTCTTTCTGTCAGTCACATTTTTGGGCGGTAATATTGGCAATGATGAACCACGGGTAACCAGGCATGGAGCGCGCTGTGCTGCTCAACGACCTGCGGGATCACGCCCGGCTACCCGAGGTCTGGGAGCAGGCGCACCCGCGAGTAGCCCGACTGATCAGGTGGGCGAGCGGTGGAGGGGTTCCGGGGCTGGGGGACGCAATGCACAACATCGGGGGGCCTGACGTGGATTGCGTCGGCTGGCGGAGTTGTGCACCTGCGGGGTGTGAGAAGAGGTGGGGGCCGCACCTGGTCCTTGTCTCTAGAGTGTTCATCCTTCCATTCCGCCGCCGGCCTCGTCTTACACAACGCTGGTGTCCCCCCTGTCTCCGGCCCATCAGGTGGCTTATGGCACTCAACCCCGGGGAGCGGCCCAGCGCCCGCGAGGTGCTGGCATCCGACCTGCTGCCCCCGCGAGTGGAGGACGAGCAGGTGGGACGGCCTGGCTGGCTGGGTACAAGGTTGATGGCAACTCGCGGGAAGCTGATTGGCGGATCCTGCACCGCGGCAGAGAGCTAGAGGGCCAAGGTCTTCCTTACAGCCTTCCTTGCTGACGCCCTGCATGAAGCCCAGCCCACTCCCCTTGCCGTCCCTACCCCCCTTAGCTCAAGGACCTGCTCCGCTACCTGCCCTCCAACCCGGATGCCACGGAACGGGTGGTGGCAGCGCTGTTCAGTCTGACGGAGGGACAGTCTCCAGGAGCGGCGTCGACCAGGATTACCAACCCCGGCGCGGGCGGCCCGGCAGCAGGTATGTCAGGATATTTACGCATTGCTGCGGCCTGCGTCGTGACCAGATCCAGCCCTGTCGCGTTTGCCCTTGAACTAAAAGCTCGGCTGCGTTTCCGGAGCCCTACACTCGCAGCCCATTGCCCATGATGCAGCGCGCGTTTTGGAGGCCAAGGTCATATTGTCCAGAGGATGCTTATGATTACGATGGTGATGAGACGCAGAATGTCCCACACCGCCCTTGTGTGTTGATAAGTTGCAAACGCCTGTTGGTCACATCCATAATCCTTGCGCATCCGGTCCTTCTTGTCTTTCGTGGATGGTCAGTGCGCACTCCCAGCGGCTCGAACAGCCTGGACGGTGGCGGCGGCGGCGGCGGCCTCCTGACTTCCCTGCCCTTTGACGGCTCGGAGCTTCCCGGGGCGCCCCAGGTGCAGCATGCTCAGGTGGGTAGTGCCCGACTGGATCCCCCACCCCACCCTGCAGCTGACCAGCTCTCACCGACTACGGCCGCAGCGGAGGGGGAGGGGGAGGCGTGTCCAGAGCGTGACAGTTGTACTAGGTCACTGTACATGGACAGAGGAAGGGGACTCCTGTGCGCCTCCAACGTCTTTGGACGTTGCCAAACGCCTGCGGTCACAGACACGGATTTACAATACATGGCGGAAGGGGTGTGGCGCCTTCGGCCACCGCGTACCTGGGTTCCCACAGGGCAGGTTACGTCCCGTTGCTGTATCGGTGGGGGACTGCCTGGGAAAGGGGCCCCATGTCAGAGGAGGAGGATGCCAATCTCAAAAGGGGGAAGGGGTTATGCTCCGGGGAGTAGAGGGTGGGGACAAGCACGAGCTCGTAGTCGTCGGGGCTGTGTTTAGACTGTATGGGAAGGGTTTGTGGACTGCTGTCCTGCCTCTGCCGCGGACGGTAGGACCCACTCTCTGGCTCACATCTTAAAGGAGAACCTTTTGCTGCGGCCATGCCCCGGAGCCCCGGGTCCCCTCAGCAACCTAAGGGCAGTCCCGTGGTGCCATTCGGCCATTAGGCTCTGCTGCCGCACTGCCCACACCCTCGCGTATCGAAACGAAACTGTTCCACTAGCTCGCTAATCAGGTGCTCCATCATGACCGCTCGTTCCCTGTTTTTTACCCGGTTTCGGGGCTGGGTACGGCAGGCACGTGAGGACGTCATCCGGGTGGTTCGCTCCGTCTTCGAGTGTCACGGCGCCCGGAGCTTCTACAGCAACCAGGTGGGGTGGGGCGGGGCTTGGGGTTGGGGATAATGTCGACAGTCATTGGTGGGTCATGGCGAGGGCAGAGCTACGAGGTAACGACCTTTGGCCTTATGCTGCATTACGGGGTAGAATTAGGAATGGTGGTTAACCTCTTATCCCTGTACTCTGGGTCCTGGCCTTGTGGCCGCAGCCACCCTGTCCGCCCCATTATCGCCGTACCGCAGGTGGGCTACGCCTACCCCGGCCTGGCTCCGGACGCCGTCCGCCTGCTGTCCCCCCACGGCTCTGTGCTGGCCATGCGCCACGAGATGCGGTACCCCTTCGCCGTGTGGCTGGTGCAGCAGCTGATCACGGAGCAGGCCGTAGGTGAGCGGCAGCACGGGGGGGTCCAGCGCGCGACCGCACGTGTGTGCTTATGTACGCTTGGAGAGTTTGCCGGCTGCTCAGGAGGCAGGAGGGATCAGGCTGCAGGTGTATGATGAGCTTGGGCCTCCGGCCTTCCCGGCTGCTGGCGCAGTAACCGCAAGGACGATTGAGGGTTGCGGTGCAGGCCTCAACCCACTTCCGTGCCCTTCACATGCTGTCAACAGGCACGCTGGACACGTTACGACGATACGACATCAGTTATGTCATGCGCTCCGGCCGTGCCCGGAGCCTGCCCACCTCGTACTGCCAGGCCGACCTGGACCTGCTTCATGCGGCCGGGGGAAGCGGTAGTGGTAGTGGCAGTGGGGGGCACCCGGATAAGGGGCGGCTGCTGGCGGAGGCGGAGGCCATAAAGGCGGTCACGCAGGTGGAGGGCGGTGTGTGGGGTTTGACGGGCGGGAGGGGGGCTGTTGACCGCCCCGGGCAAGACGGACATGATACTCGTGCTAGCAAAAATGCAGGGGCAGTCCTATTTATGTAGAGGTATCCTGGCATTGCGGGGACGGACGCAGCGCAGGCGGCCGTGCACTGGCCCCCCGCAGGATTGCTGCAACCAGCCCTGCACGGCCCCACCCGGGCAGGTTCTGGACCACTTCGTCCCGGAGCTGGGCCGCTACGAGGTGCGCGTCAGCCATCGCGCCATCGAGCGGGCTCTGTACGACAGCATGGGTCTGTCGCCGGCGGCCGTAGCTGCCGGTCCCGGTGGCTGTGCGGGTGGTGGTCCCGGTGGTGTGTGTACCACGCGGGAGGCCGAGGTGGCGGTTCGGCGG